AAAGTGGCAGATATTGATGGAGTCAGGGTTTATGGTTTTTATTCAACATACGATTCTCGTGCATTATAGTTTCCTGTTTGAAGATAGTCGTTTTTTTATTAAATATTACTTAAACCATAAAAAATATTACAACTACTACAACATATAAGAACTTTCGCCCTGAAATTTTTACAAATAATTCTTAATTTATAATAAATCCGATCAAAGATGTATCGATTAGCATTTTTATAAAATAAAACAGCCTAACTTAATGATCGTGCAAAATATTTGCATCAAATCTCCATTAAGCCAATATGTGTTTAGTAAAATTGATTAGAATACAGGTTCACTAATAAATTTATCTAATGTCAATGTCAACTGTCAATGTCAATTTAAATGTTTTATTTTTTATAGATGCATTGCATGCATGCAAGTGGAGTACTAAATGAACATTCAAATATGTATCTTTAAAACAGTATACTTCGAATCCTTGAAACTTCCGTTATTTTACAACTTTCTACCTTGCCTTATATATAATATATAAAAACTCTTCTGCGAGGAATATTTAAACTTTAACATTTGATGCTTGGGATCGATTTAACGACTGCAATCGTTAAATAAGGAAATACTAATTTTTTATTTCGACCATAAATGGAGTTTTTATGCATATAAACGTATACTTTACAAGAGCTTTTATGCCACATTCTGTACATTAGGTTTTTTTAGAGAAATTCATCAAAATATTTTCAACCGTTTCCTAAATTGTTAAATCAAACAGATATATCGGACAAAACGTCAAAATTGCCTAGATTCTAGTTCATACATGTATATATAGGAGAATATATAATTATATTATCTGATTTTCTACTTTTTACAGTCGTAAAATTTAATTTTACGATCAATTTAAATTCAACATTTTTCTTACTTTTAATAGACTTTTTTAATTTCAATTAAGGAACTAATTACCGGATAAAAAGATGACATCCACTTTTTTACGCTAATCATAATTTAAAGGCTCAAGTAAGATTTATTGTACTATAAACTTCTACAAATCTACTTTTAAAATATATTAAGAAGCTATCAATTATATTTTGGCTATAAAATCTTTGTTATGTTCTTTATGGACTTTCTAGACTTAGTTCCATAACAGATCTTTAGCAAATAAACACCCAATTTATTTATTTATTTATTTATATTAAAATAAAATTTGTAAATCACACAAATAGATTTATAATCGGTATTAATAAAAATTTCGTTAAAAGAATACGAACACATTCAAGCTAATATGATATTGCACAATAGAGACCATATATGTTTACATATAAAAAAATAACTTTTTGTTCTAATTACATCAATAACACATGATTGCTCGCACGCTCCATAGTTTTCACTTTTTCTCTAAAACGAACCATCTCAGTGAACGCATTCGGGTGTAATAACCGACGAAAGATTGCATTATTCATGACATCGCTCGTTCTAATCTCACTAAGAGCAAACACACACTAACTACTAAGACAAATAAAACGTCATATGTCTGGACTACAGAGTCTAGAGCATAAAAAATATTGTACCACCACCATAAATTGATTCAGGTATAACTATTATTTTATAAAACTTATGAAACTCCATAAATATGAATTTATTCATATTATTTTATTTCATTTTACGTTGTCTCTCGTGTATTCATTGCGGTATGAGTGGCACTCCGTATTAATAAATGCAAAATTTGAATTATGTAACGCTAATTTAATGACCGTTATAATATGATGAACTTTTTATTCTTCGGAATTACAATTTGTTGTAATATACCTTTCAAAATAAATTAAGATTCTTTGTTTGAAAATCTATAATAAATGTTTTATAATGAGCTACTTAAGACATATTTGAAATTATTTATTTGGGGGATTTTTAAAGGAATTATGATATTTTTTCAGGGGAAACTATAAACGTTTTTAAAAAAATAGTGCCATCTATTTTCACAGTGATGAATTAAATGAATAAAGTGTGCTCTAACCATTCAGTAACTCGTTAGAGAATGTTCATATTAGTTTCACAAAAGTAATACAGATGTCGCATATGATAAAATAAGAACATTTCTGATTATTGTTGAAATCTTATTTTATTTTTCCTCATATGTATATATCACTATAAGAAGCCGTATTCTCTTTAAATATATTATGTTTTTTTAATATTTTTTTTTACAAACGTCCTCAAGGTTTACCAAAAATACATACACAGACACGCCATTAAGAAGACTACGTCTTTATCGTTTTAATGTACCTACCCTTCTGAATTTTTGCTTTTGTTAGTATATTTTAGTATTTGTAATAAAAAGGATTAGTCAAGTTTTAAGTTAAGCTATACAGCTTTTTGGATATAAGGCCATTGATTTATAGAAATAATCTTATTTCATCTGGAGATTTCCTTATAGTTTTAACTTATGATGTCGATTATATTTTTATTTTTTGTTTTTTGGTGTCGGGTTGGAAAAACCAACCCGTGTTCCTCATCTACCCGTGTGCCGGAGAGGCAGATATCGCCGAGGCATTCATCGCTACCTCCCCGACAGGCATTGACCCGCCATATGGTCAGGCGGGCCCCGTCACCCACTCTGTGGCCGTCACCCGGCCATAAGCCTCAACTATGAGGCTCGCGGATGTCGATTATATCTATTTATATAAAAATGAACCCCTTTATCCCTTGATCACGGCATCACGCGTGAATGGCTGGACCGATTTCACTTATTTTTTTTATATTATTTTTTATTATTAGGAGAAGGTTCTTATACAAGAAAAATATTACGAAAATTACTAGAAAAAAAAATACTACAATATTTCGTTTTTTTAATAAAAGAATGTGTTACTGGTTGCAATATTCACGTAGTTGCCATTAAAAGAAAGAAGAAATTAAAACAAATTTACATGCTCTTTGCAAATACATACATATATCGGCCGGAGTTGCTCTATGGCCGGAGTTATAATAACAAAATACCTACATAATTCATTTACCATTTCTTAGTGTACTTTTCAAAATGGTTTCTACAGGATTTGTAGTGTGTGTAACGATTCTTCTCACAATTATTTATTGAAACACTCATTAATAGATCAAATGGTATTAATAATGTTAATGAATATAAGTGAAAATTATATAATACTAAAATTGTCAGAGAATATTAATTATTTAATAAATAAAGTAATATTGAAATATCAGTTCGAAATAAACATAACTGACACGTAATTTAAAACAGAATTAAAGTAAAATTATTCAATTACAACAGATGAACAGAATAGAATAAAAAATATTGCTTTTAGTCTAAAAAGTCAACAAAGTGTAATTCAACGAGCTTTTCAGATTACAAACTCAGAATTAATAATTTCATGGGCTTTTCATTTCGTTTTTTAGAAGTTGAGATATGTATTTTCTTTATATATCGTTCTTATAAGAAATTGACAAAATATTTAGAAAGCTGTTCTTTTATAAGGAAGTTTATTTCGGAAGCACGAAAATAAGGAAATAGTTTAATTGCTACATTATTAGTTAACATGTCATCTGTCAGTAATACTATTACATATCTATAATAGGTACATCTCATTAGTATAAATATATGTAATTTTATGAAATATATCCGTCACATAGGAAGAAAATATTAAGTTTTAATAATAATTGTTTTCAACTTTCTAATTTAGGTCTAATTCAAAAATACATCAGACTACACGCTGTTTAATTAAGGCATCTCAAAATCTTGAAAAACTTTTTTTTTATGAGTGTACAATTAATCGAATGAAAGTCAAGCGTGTCTAATTTAAAAATCAATGTTTTAAATTTCATTGATTCAGTGAATCTAAGAGTTAATTATTTATAGGGGCAATTATAAATGTTATAACTTAGCTAAATTTTCTGTTTAATTTAACCCATGTCTACCTCACTCATTTATAGTACTTAGTACAGAAAAAATATGCTTACTTTCATATTAATTTAGAGTAACCCAGGATACTATAATGAAGTGATAAGATTTATGAATGAAAAATTAAACTTGTGCTTTATACGACGTCGTGTGACACAGACGATAGATGTCGCTACTACATAGTGGGTTGACGTACCCATCTATTTTTTTAAGTACAGATTAAATTCTCTTCAAATCACATTCCGAAGTTCAGGCGGAGCAAGTCATGTTAAAAACCTAGTCTTACCTAAACAAATAAATTGTGAAATAATACTTTCCACGTAATACTGTTTGAAATCTTATCAAAATGTTTGTTTATTGTCCCCGCTATTGTTGTAATAATAAATTTCTAATCATGTTTTTGTAATAGTCTTACATTATATGTACTACTTCTTAAACCTAAGAGTATTTACGCACCCACCAAATATTATATTTTGCCGTTCTTGACGAAGGAATGCATGAATATAAAAATTCAATAAAATTGTTTCACATCACATACATATTTATATTCAAATTCATTCTTATATGAAATATTCCAGATATAAAATAGTAATATTTTTATGGTCAAGAAACTTAAAAACATAATATATTAACATATTATGTAATATTTCTTTGTAACTATTGTAGGGTGAAAAGTTCATGATGAATATAAAATTCACATACATATAGGCATATACATACTTAAGAATAAATAAAGTAAAATATAAAAAGACTTTTAAAGAAAATTATTTATTGATAACATACTTAAAATACTGACCACTACAAGTAATAATACTTAAAGTATAATAATAGTACGACTTATTCAACTCAAATTCGTGCTAAACCTTACATAGAATATGTTTAAAATAAGTTATATTATTTACATTAATCATTAACATTATGTTTCGTAGCCAAAGCTTATAACTTAGGATAGCAAATACGTCTCCAGATTATTTCTCGAAAAGGGGTCTCAGTCGATTGGCAGTTGGGTAAAAAAATAATGATAAATTTTCATATGAAATAACATTAAACAAAAAAAGGTTAGGTGCTGTTTCGAAACTGAATAAAGAAGTAACAATATAAAAATTATGTGCTTTTCCTACTTGGGAGCTCTTTTGTGATGTCCAAACGCTATTCCACCAGCGGCAGTGTGATAAATTTGATTTGGAAGAAAGCCTCTCTCGTAATGCCTTGGGATAAACTGTGATTGTGCCAAATGTCTTCCGCTTGATAATGCCTCATAAGCAGATAAGGGATCCGCAGCTAATCCCCTTTTTAGGTATTCTATTTGTAAACTTGATGGTATGTATGAATCCAATAATGAAGTTGGCCGTCTGTTCAAACCATGTGAGAAAACTTCAGATGGCTTAGGAGAGAATGAATTAGGTATGAAGCCACGTCCACTCGTGTATACAGGTTTTGTTAAGGGACGATTGACTGGGAGAGTCTTAGGAATATGAGCTAAATGAGATGGTGTTGCCTTTAATATAAGTGGACCTGGGTGTGGCAGTTGGATATGGTTAGAACGATATTCTTCTCTAATAGGCACCCTAGAATTATAATAACGAGGGAAATCTTGTCCTGAAGGTTTAGAAATTTCTTGCTGCTTAAGATAATGTTTATGACCCTCGATTTCATTCTCCAGATCCTGATTTGCTATATTAGATTGTGTATATTGTTGAACTTCATCAAAACCTTTTTGCGGAGGAGATGGGATTGCATTTTGATAATGAATAATGGGTGCTTGATAAGTAAATACTGGAGCAGCAGTTGGTTGAACAGGAGCAATGGTAGGTTGAGAATAACTTATGTAAGTTATTGGAGATGGGTATGGTTGAACGTAAGGAGTTGCTGTGGGAGTTACATATGTAGGTATTTCTATATAATTTGACTGATGTTGGACTTGTTGCTGAGATTGTTGTTGTGTTGATTGTTGAATTTGTTGAGGCTTTGAATACACTTGAGCTACAGTTGGTACTGGAATATGAAGTCCAGACTGTCCTTCCTGCTCATTGTGTTGATTATAATATTGCGGTAGTAAAAAGAACTGCACTGGGACATTTGATAGATATTCTACCATGGATTGAGGGGAAGGAGGTGGTCCATACTCTGGTTTAGGAGATACTGAAATGCGTTCAGGTTGCTCAGATACAGCGTATTGTTGAACATATCGTTGTTGTTGTGGTGTTGAAGATAATCCTTGGTAGTATTGAAGAAAACTGTTCTTCAAAACTTCTAGAGGCACACCAGAATCACTTGGGCCATCCTGTTGAGATCTTGCTCCTGATTTATCGTGATCGCTTTTCTTCTCACTCTTCAGATTATCTTCTTCGATATCCTGCAACTCGATCTTCTTATCAGCTACCACAGCAACGGCGAGGATCAATAGAATTCCAATCTGGAATAAAATGTAAAGCATATGAGTATTTTCCGGTAGAAATGTATGTCCGTTGGTCACTGCACCGACGCTTACAAACGACGTGCGGGAGGAGATAACTAGTTCCTGTCTTTAAACAGGTGAATGGCAAAAAACAGAGTGGTCATTATATAACCGGTTATTGTAGAAGCGCATGGAAAAAGGAGTGTGCCAGCTTTTACTCTCAGTTCATATAGTTATCTAATTGCATTCCACACTCTATTAGATGTTTTACTTGCGGTTTCTTTGATTGCTATTCCTCAATGAAACCTTAACTACTGTAATTTAATGCGTAATAAAAATAGACGACGTACCTACTGCGTACGTGTATAATTTGGTAAAAAAAACTTATCTGTATTCTAACAGATGGTAATTGTTTTTAATATGTGTAATACAATCTTGGATTGTTATTTGTAATATATAAGAGTTTAGAAATCGCACTTTTTGTTGTGAGCGAAAGTATTAAAGAAAAGAAAACCGTCTAATTTGAATCTAATTTAGGCATCGAAAACTTAATAATCTTTTTTCTATGTTCTATAATCTGTTTACAACTTAATTTCAATATATGGCTCAGTTTTATTTGAGAAGTTTACAGTATAATATACATATTATATATTGTATTATTAACAAATTGGTGGCTTAAGTATTTGATTTCATTATTATCATATTTATATAGAAGATACTTTTTATTCAGAGACTACAAGTATCGTCAAAACTAAAAAAATACTAGTGAACAAATTCTACAAATAACTCTAAGTAGATATGTAATAAACTTTACACAACTCCATTATTATCTCCGATTCAACATGACATTTAAAAAAGAAATACATTTTAAAAAGTTAGTTGTTAATAAAAAAAATCACATTACTTATTAGCCTTAGTGATCCTTGTATAGTTTTATTTATAAAATTTGCATAATTACCACAAGTTCGCACCGTCACACTAAACGAGCAGTTCCAGTTTTCATTCATAAATCTTCAGAAATTATATTAATAATGTAGGTTATTAAATAAGAGTTAATATACTTTTCGTATATATCGTGATGATGCAAAACTTGTGATAAGCAAATTCTTGTAACTTATCACAGTAAGCGATCTTGAAAAACGAGTTATGAGTCTCTTATACAAAGAATCCAAACATAAAAATTAGTTAAAATCTATTACTACAAGAGATATTTGACTCATATAACATAAAAATAATAACAATGTAACGGGCAATCTCAATATATTGTTATTAATAAATTGTTAAGCTAAATAAAGTTCACCTACAACTGTTTCAACACACGACATATAATATAAAAAATTACTTATTTATTACTTAAACAATATAACGAAATAAAGCCATAAATAAAATAAATAAAAATTTAAAGCCATCTAATATACAAAACATTATGAAAATTTTGATTCGACCCGAATTGGCAAGTCGTTTACTTAAATATTCAGTATTGCGAATTTGAGAATCTAGAATAAATTACGTAATTAATATTTTGATTTCGGAAAGAGTTGGTTTTATGTTATTATTATGCTTTTTAGGCAATCTATAATCAGTAATATGTAACATGAATATGAATATGAATTTTAAATATGAATATTAGATAGGTGAAAAGACTTTTTGTCCCTTATTTATAATTACTTTGTTTGAAATCTATATAATTTTATATTTAATTATATATGTGCCTTTTCGTTGTGTTTATTATTTCAAAATTTGTATTATTATAAACATATATATAAATTTATCATTAAAATTAGTAATAAAACTAAGTTACGAATTTGATAGTTTTAAAAACATCAAATGCTAATATAAAATAAAAAAGAAATATGAAATAAAATACAATACACCTATAATAGTAATTTGTAATTTCCAATTTACTTACAGTGTATCATTTTACGGATTCGATATTTCACAAGGACTGTTTAACAAGTTTGAACTATCAAACTAAAAATAACTCTTTTCCTATTAATACTTTGATGTGCAGAGATAAATATACCTATTAAAAATTAGAAGACAATTTACTTTAATTCAACGATGTTAAGTAGTAGCTACATTACAAGTATAGAAATCAAAATAGCTTATCGAAAGTGATTGTGATTAAAAATAGTAATTTATTAGAAGGTAAAAGTCATTAATGTATAGTTCGTATATAGGACAAAGTCACAGCTACAAGTAGAGTAGCACTGCAATCTTTCAATATATATAATTTTTTTTATGTAGACAATATTATTCACAGATAGTTACTTTGTGTGATAGACACAACACTACGAAATGCTGAATTTCATTTAATAACGGCAACGAATTTAAGTACGAAAGTTTATTTGAAATTCCAAAACAATTCTTAAAGACATAAAGAGTCATAAAGCTTCAAACCGAATATACTTTACGTTTTATATTAGATTTTATTAATATATGCATGCTTTGTTGTAATATTTTAGATTGACATTTAGTCTTAATATAATATGTTGGAAGTTGTTTCAAAACTTGCATATTAAATCCTAAATTATCTTAATTAAAGTGACAACATGTTTTATGTTGTATAAAAAGCGTCATGAAATTTTACTCAGACGCCAAGATGGCTATGGAATAACCAGAAAATAAGCAACCCAATTCACAAATTGTACCTATTTATTCTTAAGAAAAATAGCAATAGATTTCAAAATGTTCAAAAACTTTTTTCATTATAATCTACCTACCGCATTAGTTTTTTTCTATTTTTACATTCTATTTCATTTATCTATGATATAATAACATATATCGAATTAGAGAATTTTTTGCAATATTATCGTTGAAAGCTAATGTAAAGATATTTATGACTAGAGCCCTATCCTGGCATCAAATAAAACAAGCTATAATAAATTTTCATACTGACTATAAGAAAACAATTTACGTAGGTAATTATAGTTATTATCGATACTCGGAGCCAATATAAATATAAGCTTTATCAACAAAATTTCTTATATCGTAGTCCTGTATTAGTTTAGCTTTTTGGTTTATATCAATCACACTAATATGTGAAATATTAATAGAATTAAAAATAATTTTAATAATAAAACTAACCTTCATAGAGACCATATTTGTTTTTTCAATACACTTCACGATGTTACAACACCTAGCCACTGTTGGAGGTCACTGCATCATGAACTGTCGCTATAAAATGCACATCAAGTCGCCCGTCCGTACCAAGCCGATGGAAACCCTATAATTTTAACACACCAATGATTCCAGACTAACACTGGCTTCGTGACCATCAACCAAGGACAGGATTCATTACAAAAAAAAAAAAAAACTTTCTATTTTATCTGTGACAGCTTTAAACCTGGCAACTTAATATAAAATTATAAAAAAAATAAATGATTTACTTTTTTGTTAATAAATTCAAGACGTATAACCAGCTTGTCGTTTGGTACCTAAATGGACGCGCCTATCAGTAGGCGGTCTGTTAAATACATTCTACATACAAGCATGAAAGGCGTAAACTAGATACAGATACATATGTTGGTATGCAATCATATGTTGAAAAAGATATCGAAATATTTTAAAACTTCACCGTAAAGCTTGGATAATCTTACGACCGCAAAATATGTACATACTTACGCCAATTCTTAAAACATTATTAGTTCTATATTTTAAAGAATTTTTGTTTAAATGTCACTAAAATCACTTTTTGTTATTCGTTATTATGTTTTACAATTAATTTATTAATATTAAAAAATATATTGTTTTTTCATTCATTCAATTTCGAGATAATTGCTTTATTCGTCCAAGATCCTTTTCCATTGAGAAAATATAAATAATCCTGCTTATAAAATTAGTACAAGGCATAACATTATAAACAAAATACATAAGTTACCAAAGTCAATTTCTATTAACTTTCGTATTATGATATTTCGAACTAAATGTCAAATTATTACGGACACAAAACAATGGGATCGTCGGTAATGTTTTCGGTAATATAAAACAACTGCCGCGTGAGAATAAAAGCTCATAATAATTTGATCATTCGCGAATTATAGGTTTAAGAATCGATACGTAATAATAATTCGACGTAATGTTAAAATTTTCAAGCGTAATTTCAAACGTATACACCTTTTTTTGTAACATGTTTCACAATATTATGTGTCTTCAAGATTATCAAAGGAATGCAATTTTTTTCCAAATAATTACAGTTTTACATATATGTACCAGTATATTTTAGATTCTCTAAAAACCGCTTTTTATGTCTGTAATGTACGTTAAAAAAAATTAAGGTATGATACCAATGAACAGTTCTGAGTGATAGTAACTAATAAAATATTTAATACTAACATTTTGACTTTATTTTTATAAATAACAGTTTTGTGACTCAGTTATACTCAGCCGATGAACTAAATAATCATTCATTTGACGTTTTTTTTTTCAAACAGATAATATACGTAAATTATAACAGTAGGAAAAAATATAAAGAGAAAGAAGTCACGATGAATCCCAGAATAAGTTAATTACCTCCTAACAAGGATCATTCTACTAAAAGTTTGTGTCATTTAAAACATAAATTTTCCAGTTTTTCCTTTATTCATCTACTCTGATACTGTCGTGTGTGAAGTTTTATGAATCAACAACAGTTGTAATTTGGAAGAGTAATGCAATTTTTAATTTAGTGCAATATTTTTTTCTTATGCTCAATAAAAATAACAATTATGAATTTGGAAGATAAAAATTCTTTGAAATAATTCTAGAAGAAAAGAGGTGATTTAAATAGTACGTTACTTTAAATTCTTGATTTTACACATTATGTTACAAATGATATTTTACGTACTTATAATAATTCATGTACTTTTTTGTTATTTTAGTTCGTGTTATATTTTCTTAGATTTTTGGTATATAATTAAAACAATAAAGACATTATGTTTCTTATTAATAAAATATATACCAACTAGTATTCTTATAATTCACTAAGTTCATAAAATATAGATCCGTACTCATATGTAATGCGGTAGGAAATCAATGATATAGTTAAAAAATACATATTTAAATATTATATAATGGAGTGTGCGAAAATTAATACAAATGATGCTTCGTTTGAATTTCCGATATCGATAATTAAAAATACATAACTTCATATACTTTTTATATGAAAGTAAACCAGGTTGATATTACGTGTTAGGCTATTTAATATTATCTTAATTTTATGAAAAAATCTAATTATATATACCTTACATTTAACGTCATGAAATATCACTTACTATTTTATTTAATTATATTAATGTTATTGAGATTAGTGAAAGTTATGTTTATAAAGATGTTTAATGATAAGTCTCTTTTAAAATAATTCAGTCTTTGCCTTCTTATACCTTTCATAGAAGTTTGTCTCTATTTAAGAATATGATTATTTACAATGATTTATTAGTTTTCCATAAGTAAATACTTTATCTATGTATATACTTTTATATATTACACGTGACATTCTAGATGTGAATGTAATACTTTAAAGTAAATAAAGACATTGCCCTGAATATCGGTTTCACCTAACACTTTCTAACCCAACTGAGCGAGGCCGATATCCTATAGCCTAGCGATCTCTCTTTGTAAAACCCTTTGTATCTAATACCTTTAAGTTATGTACTTGGTACTACATTACATACAGTATAGTACATACTTTAATGTTATGTGCTTGGTAATAGTAACACTCTTGTTAAAACAGATAAATATTAAGTCTTACATACTCTTTAGCCTTTCAAAATAAAATAAAAGTAATCGGAAATTAAGTCCCATTTCTTTAGAATATTTCTTTTCATCTTCCGACTTCTCAAATACATATTTATAATATAAATGTAGATAAGGAAAGTTATCAGCATCAATATTTCTTTTAAAATTTAATTATAAAAAAACTTATTAATACTTCCTTCCTGTAAAAGAGCTTGTATTAAAAACTAAAGTTGGGTTTTCAATATACATATATATATAAATATTACTTATGTTATCGAGACGAAATTTCTCAGCATTTCATGGATTCACCGTGCGGGTGCCGGGTCCATCGCGTTGCAGGGAGAGGAGCTCCAACAGTGCCTGGGACTTGCGACCCAGGTGTAGATTTAAAGGGCCCCTATCTAACGCGCGTCAAACTCTCATCTCCACTGTCCAAGCTCCTCTCTCTATCTAACCAAATTTGAAAAGAACCTACTAGGGCTGCCTTCGATGTACGTTACGTAGTAATCTCTCTTTATTAGCTCTTATAAAGTAACTAAATATATCATTTGATTTGAAATAAAAGATGATAAAACTTCATCCATTACACGGTTATCAGTCATAATTTGAAACATCTTAGCATGGGGGCTGGGAGTTTTAAAACGTATGATGTAAATTCAACATTTGGCTATCACTTCAAACTTATATAATCATTAGTTTATCATCAGTTTAAATGAACGTCGATAGTATATTTAATATAACATCGAAATTACTCAGATTCCGCCGGATAATATACATAAATATACGGATGCTTGATTTCTGTCGTATTATTGCATAAAATGTTATTACATTACACATTATATTTATGTAACTTGCGTGTCTTGAAAGAGTTATAGAATTTTCACGAAATTATACTAACATAAGGAACTTTCTTTATAAAAATATACTTATCTTTAGAAATAAATGTATAAAGATATATTTATCTTTTTAAATTAGACTACATAAAATTGATGATTCAAAGTTTGTACGCTGTGAACTCACTTCGCTAATTGCTTTGTTCTATGTTGTGTGTTCTTTATTAAGTGTTAATAAAACTTTCGAACCGCTCTTAGTTAATATTATTTAACCACATTCACTTATGTAACAAACAGAAGGGCTTCAATAAATTATTTCAAACATTTCTGAATACCAGAACAGTTATTAACAATCCATCATACTAAATGATCACTGTTATGTAACGATTCAACATGTACAAATTTTAAAATAAGTATTTTTAAATACATACGTATTAGTAATTACATTTTAATCTGCCTTCGAGGCGTATCTTCAATTATATATAACATTTTATTTATAATTCCAGACCAATTAAAATTTTGATAATTTGTTTGAGTGTATAAAAAAAGTATGATGTTTCAAATCTCCTATTGCTATCGAAACTAGTTTCTTTCACTAATACCTTATTGGTACATCATTTTATTGGTATTGTGATATGATTCTCGTTAGGATTTAAAATAAAAATAAATCATAGTATTAATATATTGCAGCAATTCTTAATAAGTTGCATTTAAAATCCATCAGTATTTAAATTAGTAAATTTAAATAAATGACGTAATTGTACATATTGTTATTGGTCAAGTAAAATAGTATTGTAAAGATGTAAGTACTTGGTTATTTTAAAAGTAAGACAGATACTACATATGCTAGGTAATTGTGATTCAATTATTTTTTTTTGGAAAAATTTGTTGTTATAAAAAATATTTGTATTAAGTATATCAAAATATTTATGAAATTTTCTTTTATGATCTTTTCAATTTGTTGTAAATTTACCTGCTATAACATTTTTCACTATATTTTGAAAAATAAAAGTCTTGAACAAGATAAATATACTAAATTTAATATCGATCTTCTTCTGATGATTTTTGATATGTTAAATTGATGCAATCAACGACCTAATAGCATTTTTGTAATGCAGAATGTGGGTGTGTTCGCAAAAAAATATAGCGACCCCGTTCACCTTCATTACATCATATTAAAAATATATCAATATACGAGTATACAAAGTATTTTAAGAAAACTTTTAAGTTAATTATAATGAAAGAGATATCAAAAGAAAATATCTGATGTTTAATCAAAATATTTATAATTATAAACAAAACAAAAAATCAACATTAACGTATTATAACCAAAATAATTCATGTAATAAATAATATAAAGGGCTTGTAGTAATATTATTATTTCTTTGGGTATGTACTGCGACTTGTAAATGTATGCTTGTATGAATTGGAGTCTGGTGAAAGGTACTCGCTATTTTGTGATGTACCACTATCATCTTTCACTAAACCTTTTGATACAGATTGCGCGTCATTGGAAGTGGAAGGAGAAAAAGAGGAATAGCCGAATTTTGGCTGGGAAAGGGCAGGATTATAATTGTATAAGTATTGAGCAGGGTTAGGGTACACTAAGTTGTTATATAGAGGAGCATGTGGCTGAGGCAAAACTATCATAGACGGTTGACTAATGATATGTCCAGCGGGTAGAGTTTGGAAGGAAGGCCCGAAACTAAGATGCCCTTGACCTAACAGACCTGGTGTTAAATGGTTAGTAGGATTTGAGAAGAAGGAATGAGGATATTGCAAGATAGAAGGTTGAAGTGTAGGTTGCTGCATTATAGCTAATTGCACATTTCCAACTAGCCTCTGAGGCACAAATTGATACTTTGATTGATAGCCATTATTTGGTGTTAAATTTATCGGAACAAATTGCGAATGAGTTTGTTGGTTAAGTGCTTGGTTATTTGACGGGTTTGATGCTGGTAAATCATTGTTTGAAGGTGTGAAATATTGACTGGGTGCTTGGTTAGGATAAAATGAAGAAGGCTGGTACGTTTGACTAGGGCTACTTGGTCCTGAAGTTTGGGAATATAAGTTGTAAGTGTAGTCAGGTTTTTGTGATCCTGTTGGAATCGCGTTGAGACCGCTTGTTTTTGATGCACCCCTTTTCTTTTGTTCGTTATCTTCACCATCACTGGCCAATACAATAGCACAGAGCGTCAGAAGAATCTGTTAAACAAACATTTAAAAATTAAATGTTATTATTACGAAAGGAACTAAATAGAACAAAATCTTAATACGATAAATACTTACGAAGAATTCTTTTCTCGTCATAATGTTTAATTACATTTGCTGGTAAAAGCGTTCTATTCACCGGCCCTTTGATAAGTGTTGGTCTTTATTAAGATCAGGCATTTATATCGGCAATGGTCAACTTTCCAGATGAAATGTTAGGGAAGTGAGTTGTTTGTCCTGCAACGTAACCGATCGAGTTTCTGTGAGAGTATATCGCTTCCTGTGTACGGAAATATACAGCATTTGACACACCACACTCGAGAACATTATGGGAGCTGAAAGTTCTTCCTACATACGTCGACTAAATCATAAAAGCTTCCGCATTATGGATAATTAATACTCACGCAGAATTCTATATCTGAATAAACGGCTATTAAGAAAGTTATTAAATTGGTATGTTATATAAAGTAAATATCATTAACAGTTCAGTTCGGTAACGTTTCCTTCTATTTTTGAACTGTTTCGTTGAAGACGAAATATTGAATTCTAAAAGAGAGGATTTTAAAATTATTTAGTTAATAATATTAACTAATTATCAAAATAATAATAAAATAATATCTATAAAATCTTTTCTTTTTTTTCAAATCAAAATCGGGTTAAATAAATACATTTTTTAATGAAAAAAGAAAATCATTTGCAATATTCATATTAGAGATATCGATGAGATGTAACAAAATAAGTTTTGCATTTTTTGTGGCAACCGTCTGTGCTATAATTTTTTTATAAAACACGTAATCTTTATTATATAACAAATAATAAAAGACAAAACATTTAAGAAAGTATAATATTTTGCATTGAATATATAAGCGATTATTACATACGCCATCTATATATAGCACACGACATTAAGTTAGATTATTTGTCATATAAGATACTGAAAGTTATGGCTTTTTACAAGAGATGGCGCTTTTAATTTTTTTTTAATTAATATTAATTAATTCCATCTTTACTCTAATACATACCTTCAACTTTATATAAGTTTAAAAAAAATATATAACTTCGCTTACATTGAAGTATTTTCAATAGTAATGACAAATTCTATAATTAAAAAAGCCCTCATCAAATGACCCCTCTTGCCTGGGTGGGGCAAGAGGGAGTGTCAGACTCTTACTGACTAAAAACCCCCCGTACCTACTCCTGCTCCGAGCCTGGCCGCGGTACATTATTGCGCTTACACCCGCGACATAAGAAAAGCCCTACAATCAAAATTTTTGCCAATAACAATCCGTTTCTTTGTATTTCAATTAATTCTTATAATATGTCACATTCTGTTTTCTTTCTAAAATACTGTCACGCTTTAACAATTAAAGGAATTGTTACGAATTATACACGCTATTTACATTCATATATAATTGAAAGAAAAATAAAGTTTGGTTTTAATAAAAGAATTTATTTAGAACGAGACAATTTTTAAAGCTTCAAATATCCAAAAATCCATTCCAGTAAAATCAGTACATACGATATTTCCTGCAAAAAGTTTAATAGGTTTTGTACGATTGACAAAGAAATAAACATATACACAAGCTTTGCTTTTGTTTTATACCAGAACTGGACAATATAGGTACACTGTAATGTTGCAATGACATAATCTTAAATTACCGAAATTACTTCGATATAAAGCCGTACCGCTTTGCGCCGTCCGCTGTTGCTATTTTTAATTTTACGTACTGTAGTAAGAACATGAAAACAGTTTTATTCAGTAAGTTTCCATTAAGTTTTGTGATAAATATGTAATGTTACATAACATTGTTCCGAAGTGAACGCAACTCTTGAGATACATAACAAACCAACCGTGAATGGCCGATACAAATAACTTATACAATACACTATTATGTCTGAACAAATTAAAATACGCACACACATATTGTTATTATTTTTTGTCCATATAATTTGTTGTTTAATCAATAACAATTATAAAACAAGACGTGTGAAACATAAAACAACTTGGGTGTTATGTTATACATGTACAAAAATAGTTTTATTTTTAACAAATATTGGCTCTTCTGGTTCTTATATATTTTTTTTATGCTTTTAAAAATCTATTTAATTGTTGATTACGTCTTGATAGTGTTTTTATTCAGAGCTCTAATTTACATTTAAAATGTTAAGTTAAAAATGAAAGTGTAGTTTATTTCAGGAGCTCTAAGCTTAAATTAATACTCGTACTATAAATTTTACGAAAATTTCGGTAAATAAAAAAAAATTTGGCGGTAAATGACTATACCTTGGAATGTTAAGAGAATGGTCTACCATTGTAGTTTTTTATCTAAAGTTGTACTTCAAAAAGCTATCGTCACTTCCTTTAAAATTTGATAAAATTAGGAAACCAATTATAGCTACGACTCCTAATATAAAACTAAAAAGTAAATACAATTACTGTTCTTAGTATTCAATAATAAATTATCTGTTAATTTAAACCTGAAGATAATTAAGCTACATAACATTCACTACGTAATATTCATATTAATAGAGATTGGTTAAAAATTATATATATCAACAGCAAATGACAAATTACATAACATTTTATCATTTCAGAAACAAGCGAACCCGTATGAAACACCTAGTGATTAACCGCCTTCACAACGGATATCATCGGTTTAATATAACTACTGGTTAGTGTGTTGAAATTAATTTGTTTACAATTTCCCTCACTTTCCTAAGAGTGAAACTATTGATGCATATCAAATGTCGATAGCGTCAACATCATTTTCCTTGTGTGATTTGTGATATAATACAAATATATATTTAAAACGGAATACTCATATTATTTCTCTGTATAGCATTTAACTGAAGCAATAATTAAAATAATAGTAAATAAACAGTTACAATTTAAATCGTATACTTTTTTTAAGATTAATTGAATACATTTTCGAGCTCTCAAAACGCCTCTCATAGTTGACGCACTTTTAAGAGATGTCTCCGTTCAAAGATGGATGAAATAAAAGCTGTATGTATACAACAAAGTTTTATTTATAACAAAAATAGTATAACAGCATTTTATTAACAATAAATAAGCAATCCTAATATTAATATTATTTACAGAAATTCACGTCGTATTCAAATTGTGTACATTTTCATATAATATGTATATTAATATTTCCACAATCAGGTGTATAGCAGGTATCGTAAATGGATGTATTATATAAAACATCATTATGTTAAAAAGAAAGCTGCCTCTCAATCTAATATACGGTTGTTTCGAAAACAGTTTGCAGTCAGTGTGAGTCATTGCGGTAATTTTTTGGTAATTAATTAGCGAAAACTTTAAATAGTATCCAAAGAAACTGTATCACTTTCGCTATACAAAATCACATACATTACTCTTTACGAAGCAGAAACATTCACACATAAGGCTAATATTTACAGTACACAATAATTTCATTACTGACCTAAATTACATTCTTTTAGTTATGGCGAGGTTTGAGCTCTTCGCTGTATTTGATTGTGTTATAAGTGTTTTCACTGTACGAGCCTTGAGCATCATGGGATGGTACATAGCGAGAGCTGCCGTGACCTCCAAAACTATATTTAGGGGATGAGGAATGAGAGCTGAATGAGCTGTGGCTTGCTAATGGGCCTCTAAATGAACTTCCTGATCCAAAACTGGGAGAAGAATGTTTGGCAGCACTAACATAATAGGCGGGGCTTGGAACAGAGGCAGCGTGGACACTGCTTGCAGAGTGTGAAGCTGACGGAATACCGTACGTGTTACGAGGTGGTGAAGATAATTGACCACTAGCAGAAAATGCAGAAGCTATAGATTCAATTGAACCGAAACCTTCTGACTTAGGTGGCAAGTATGAGTGTGCCAGTTTAGATGAACCACCATTATAACCAGACAAAGATCCAAAACTAGCTCCATGGTTGCCTGAGATCAGTGAAGGACCGTGTCCTGAAGATGGCTGGTAGTTTGAGATAGATGATGCTGAAAGACCAGAGAAACCATGGCCCGAATCACCCTGAACAGAAGAACCTAGAAATGCGGATGGCTTAAAGCTAGATTTGCCTGGAGCAGCATAGTTGCCACTGTAACCTTTCAAAGAACCACCAAATGAGTGTCCAGCACCAGCATTACTTAAGGAGTAAGCGGAACCTCCCAAGGAATTACCAGACCCGCCAAGAGAATGACCAGATCCAGACAAAGAATGCAAAGATGGCACAGATGCACCTAAAGAATATCCTGAGCCTCCGAGACCTTGTCCAGATCCACCGAAGGAATGACCAGAACCTCCTAAGGAAAGACCTGAGAAAGAGAGTCCAGATCCACCATTAGCTAAACCAGCGCCTTCATAAGAATGACCTCCACTTGGGGCTGCAAAACTGTGAGATCCTTGATTAGCACCTTCACCTTGTGAAAAAAGTACGGGACCGGTAGCAGAACTTAAAGATCCCAGACCCTTGGAACCAAAAGCATACGCTGGAGCTCCTCCCTGGCTTTGTTCACTTAGCGAATATTGTTGCAAGTTAGGACTGCCGTAGGAAAGTTGAGGTAGAGATGCCTCTTGTCCACCATGAGAACTCTGACCTACAAACTGATATAATCCTTCGTGACCTCCTTGTGGTATGGAGATAGCTCCACTGTTAAGACCGTGAGATAACTGACTCATAAGCTGGGATAGGTCGTTAGAAACAAGACCATGTGCTTGCCCTTCTTGCAAAGATATAGGCGCTAGTTGAATAGTGGCATGACCGCTGGCTGGTAGACCTTCTGATTGTAGTTGGTATGAAGCACCAGATCCTTGTCCCTGACCAACGTAGCTGTAACTAGGTTTCGCTCCACCCACGCTGTAGCCAGCTCCAATACTAATAGCACTAGCTTCTTCCTGGCCACCAGATGACAATGGATAATTGTGAGATGAACCTCCGGGTGGTAGATAAGTCCCGCCAGCTTCCCTTTTATCCTTGGGCTCTTCTGGATAAGTCTTGATACCACTTGTTGCCGAAATGACACATAGCGTTATGAATACAACCTGTAAATAAAATAAAACTTTAACTGTCTGAAATCAAGTTATTCAAGTAAGAAATCCTCATTTTATACGATTAGATTAGAACCTATTCACCATTTCACTTTCATTATTTAAATGCAGCTGCGGGAATCATAAAACTTGTTTTCTACTTCACAAGAGTGTGTGTAAAGTGACCCGCATGGCATAATTCAAGATTATAACCAGCATTATAAATTTAATCTCGCTTTTACAACTTTTACTGAATAAAAAGTTAAACTGTGGACACTTTGTATACTAAGCTTTAACACTGAAATTAAATGTACTTTTAGAAACTCAATAAACGATGTCCATATAATAAATATATCTAAGTTAATAAAACCTTTACAATTAATTTAATAAATTTATTTATCATAAATCGATATTAAAATTTTTAACTATCTATAACAATTTTATTCAACAAAACACCTAATTCACTTATATCAGAATGTAGAACCATTGAACACTCACCGTGAATTTCATGTTGATATATATAAGAACGCTAGACACGTTACAACAAAAAAAAAACTAAATCACTATCACTTAATACACTAATATTTAAATGAAACTTATCAGACGGCTGACTCGAACAGCCGCCGAATTTGTAATGTGATGTCGCAGTAATTTCACCGAATTTATAAGCGAATGTCCGCTGGCACCCGTTGTACGAGCTGTCGGGAGGGTAAAAGTGTATCGGAGGACCCTTTCACTGGACCGGCTGAAAGAATGGGAGCGAACCATCGAGCTTCCGAACCGACAATGAGGTAATATTAGATTCCGGAAAAGTTACGTCACAAACACGCTCAGATGAATTTATTGAATGTCGTTTGTTCTTTTTGATACTTAGGAACAGCGCTCTAAGTAGGAATCGCGCGACAATACATAGTTCAAATGAATGTATCATTTACACAAATCGGATTAAAAAATAAATATAACAATAACGTAAAGTAAAGACTTTCAAACAAAATTGTATATAAACAAAATAAAGTTAAGATCGTCGAAGGAATGTGCTCAGAATTTTTAGAATAAATACACTTTCATTCTCGCAAGTTGACATCATAACGCGTGGACTGAACCCGCAATGGATTTATATACAGACAAACATGGCTTACGATTTTCTATATAAAAAACCTAAATAAAAAGATATTTTAATAAAAATTCCTGTTTCAAACTAAGAATAGAATTGTATAAAAAAGATGTCTTTGTGTAAATTTGCTTTTTCAATGACTTGCGAGCCTCAACTTTTTGTTGAAATAAACTTATTTTATAAAAATACAACTTGTAAGTCATTTTTTTACTAAATCTTTTATAAATTATCGGAAATAAATGTTGTGTATTTGTGTCTCAGACTAAAAGAAGGAAAATCCTTTGTATTGTTGTGTAATTATGTCGTATGCTTCTCCATTTATAAGAATAAGTATTTACATATATAATTTAAAATTGACATTAATACATGTAATAATATCCTTGATATTAGTATAACTTCAAAAATATATATCAATATAGAAAAACGACAATATGATATAAAATTACACATTGTATAAGTGTAATATAATGAAATGAGAAACCTTAACTTTATATTAAGGTTATTACAAAAATTACGCAATGAATTAACGCTTGAACAGGTAATGATAGTTATCAGATGTTCATAATGATTGTAATATAAAGATGGATAGATATTGTTACATATTAACGTATGTAATAAATAATGATATCTATCTTTATGTAAATGTAAATATTGAGACAATTATATGTACTGTATTCGAATATTTATATAATAATAAATATATATATGAAAATAATTAACAAAACTTTTGACCTCCTTCCATTGTTCAATAAACTATTACAGGAACAATACATCTTATATAACTCTATTGTATTCTGTCGATCAGACATATTTTTGAGATATTTGGACAAAACAAAAGACGCTCGTGATGGATTTACGGCAATGAAACATCTTAAAATAATTGCAAGGTGCTTAATATTTTTGCTCAGTAACCGGAATTAGATCAGGTTTTATATTATTTATAGTCATCAAGCTATTTATTCATGGTTTTATTACAAAAACGTACTTAATAAAAAACGATGCTTAGTATTCTGTCAGTTAACGCTCTACTAAACAGACCATATCATTTGAGAGGTGTCAATGTTTCTGAATTTTATTACGACGATATTTTTAAGTTTTTTTTTGTATTATATAAATCAAGACAAAAACATATTAAAATTGAAATCCTTTAAGTTTTAAATTATTTTAACATTAAAGTATCTTTTATGAATTTACTTGTAAAATAAATCATCTGTATGAATATAGATTCAATGAATTAGAATAATGCTTATAAAAACAAAGTCAAACATTAAATATAAGGTGCGAATGTATTTTCAATATTTTTAAGTAATGTGACAACATTACTTAATACAATAGGTTGTCTCTTTAAAAATACCTTATAATAATGAATCAGGCTAGCACCAACTCCACTAATAATTTAAGTTTCTGCATATAAACATAAGACATGAATAATAGGTAATTGTTAAAAAAAAAAAAACAAACCACGAAAGCCCTCCTCGTGCCACATAAACGTTATCTTTGCTTCATTTTTTTTTGTTTTATAAAAAAATGTAAAAGAAGTTCTATTTTTATTTTGACTACTAATTTTAATAAAATTTCGACTATCTCTAAAATTTTGTTTAACATTTTGCAAAGTTAATTTTGATCGATGAAAGCCAATGATTCTCCTAAATTTATACCACTTACGAACTCCTACATTACTATTACACCTAGAGCTATAAACCAAAGAAGGTCATTAATTAAACCATTTATAAAAAATATGACCACCTAGTAACGCTTCGTAAATCTTTGCCGTTAAGTCGACGTTAATAAAAGGTGGCGTTTATGGTAATTGTACGAGTCACCATATTAAAATAAACAACATTTCTAACCCGTCAACCTCTAACGAGTAATAAGTTGTCACAAATTAATTGAGTCACATGAAGTGGACTTAGTAATACTGTGACGATACAATATATAGGGTATATCTTTGAAGTTATAATATGAATACTTTTATAAAAAACGCTGTCATATATAAACATTACTTTGTCTTAGTAAAGTTATCTTAACTAAGAATCAACAATTTCTAATATTAAACGTTAAATTACAACGTTGGTATACTTAGTCAGAAGCAATTGTAGATTGCAAGTTTCTACTTCCTTTATAGTTTATAGTTGTAACTAATATTTGGAAAGGGACTATAGATCTCAGGTTTTAATGGTTATCTAATACATAGTTATTAAGATTATTATGCTTTCATTACTTTTTACCTATTGTTATTACTGACTAAGAAGTAAAACCTCAAAAATCTGAATAACTATTTCTTGTAACATTTAGATCATATCAACCTGAGATTGAAACCAAACCGAAATAAGTACGTAATGTTGATCTCTCTACTAAAGCAGGAAACTCCATATAACATTATTTCTTTCGTTATTTTAAAACAAATCTCATAATACTTATTATATTAACAAAAGCATTTAAAAGTATAAATACTATTACGCCTCTGATTTATATCATCCATTCTAAGCAACATAATCGACAACATAGTTATAACTTTTAGTTTAATGAGAAGAATATTATTTAACCCACTTTCTATAAATCATTTTTGTCCGTTTAAAACACTTCCGTAACTTTATAGTGAATATATAAAAAATATTTGATTGTTATATATTAAAAACTTTGATGTCATTAAGAAATAAATTAGTTAACTGTTGTAGACACAAACAATGGTAAATGTTACCGCTTTTTTACAACATATAGGAACAACTTATGTAAAGCAATTTAAGATAAGATTTTCAACAACTTTATTCATTAATAATACATCAGACACACGTAGAAACTGATTTCTAACAAGACTAGAAAACGCGCATTTTTATTAATTTTAACTAAAATTATTAAAATGTTAATTTCAATATCAGTGAAAGAATTTTGGTCTCGAAACTAAATAATAATTTCACTTTTACCTATACTTCCTTTATAATTCTTTTAATTAATTAAACAATGGGTACCTAAAGTTTAATACTCATGTGTTAAATGTTATTGGAGATTAAGAAACTTATTAAAAATATAATTGTACCTTTTTTGTATCATTCAAACAATGTGCTCAAGATATTATAAAGTAAGTAAAAGCATTTGTTTTAATTTTTTACGTCATAAAAAAGATTTCGCTTAAACTTCTTTTTAGGTTTCCGGACGAATTGAGTCATCTCGCTTTAGTTGTGCAGGTTATTTTTACATTATTACATAACTTAAGTTTCTCTTCTATAACATCGTCAAATTTTGGCCAATTTATAAAACATTATTAGATATTGCAGTAATAAAACTTTATATTATAATTTGCAGAAACACAGTGAATATTTTTGTTTATCCAAACATTCTATGTGTAATTTAAACAAATAAAAACAATCGAATAATTACATAGTTGTTTTATATAAATATTTTTTATCAATAAATCTATGTTTTGTTCCAACAATTTATTATAGAGAAGAGTGTTTAGAAACTACAGAGATCTGACACTTACTTTTTACGATATATTATTATCATTACTTTTGTTGTGTGAAAAACGTTACATGATTCGTCAAGTATTGTTTTATAGAAGCTGTGATTAAATTATTTCAAATGCATAATTTATGTTATATTCCTGTTTATTATGGAAAAAATGTTGATCTTCCTTTTTTTGGACTAAATTGTTAAAGTTAAATCTACTATCTCACCTGTCAACTCTTGATCTCTAATACATATGTATATTATTATATAAAAATAGGTACTTATTATTTAATACTTATGAATATCATTTTAATAATTTATAATTCTTCCAATCCAAAGGAATAAGATTCAATATCAATTTTGTTATATTACACAAAAACGAATTGCCCTACTATTATAAGATAATAAACAAAATAACTTGGGATCTGTTTTTCCCCTAGTGAGGTTTAAGATTAAGAAAAGAAGAGAAAATATAAATGTGACAAGATTTAAGACAATCACAGGCCACAGCTATATATTGCCAACTGTAAAGACACATACGTTGAACAAAGTTATGTCTTGATTATATAAAAACACAAAACAATTTAATTTTAAAACATAAACATTATATACAAAAGAATCTAGCAATCTTCGTTGAAACATAGCTCAATGAAAAGCTTATTTGGAATTATATATATTTACACATCTTCTTCTTCCTGGCAACTGTCCTAGCCTTAGTCAATTACTTTTTATTTTAATTTATAATTAATGCTTTATATTTCCAGTTATACCTAGATAATTTATATAAGTAACGCGGAAAAGGGATTTCAGCTCTAAGCCTTAGAAACATATAAATGTAATGAACCAGATGTTCTGTTATCTAATATTAAATAGGCCATTTTCTAGTGCTTCGATGTGAAAGGGATCCTAATGTATTATCTAAGCAATTCCGGTCGACGCTCGCCTCTCAGGTTGCGGAGGCAGTGATGTTTTGTTCGTTTTTTTTATAGAATAACGCGTTCACATTCCAAAAACCTTGCTAATAATTTATTTTTTAATTTTAAAAAATGTTTTAATTTATAATCCTTTTTATTTACAAGGCTTCGTGTGTTATTTTAAAATTCTATGTGCAGCTTACTTTATGATTTAATTTAAACGAAGTCAAAATTATACAAGTGGAAAAATTTACACAAATAAATTTAAAATAAAAGTAAAACATTTCTTTCATTATTTTGTACAGAACCTGTGTCTTAATGACACAGAGGTTATTTTGCTCGCATTTTCCGACGCTAACCACTTTTACTATCTCTCGGAATTGCACATTCTGAGTCATTATCGCTGTCATTTTAATATTTTCTTCGTAAAAATACGCAGATTTATGAAACAACATTGTTTAAAATTATAATGCTTATGTTAAATACACATAAATGTCTTGCTATAATTCTTGTAGAACCTTTTTGTTACGCAATATATATGGAATTTTTGATGACATTATATTATATATTTTTTTTATGTAAATTTCTATGTCGGTCGTTTAGAGATGAGACAATTTCTACTATAAAATACTTTCACGTGACTTCGCCCACGTAATTATTACAGTATTATGTCCGTTATGTTTCTTCTTTTTTTTCTTGTTCGTTAATTTGATGACGATGTGTTTTGATAGTGGACTAGAACTGTCCATCAATAAAAGCGGTAAAAGAATGTTATGTTATTATAGAAAATACACTGAAGTTACGACATTGCGAGAAGAGAAATGAGAATCGAGAATTAAAATACTTATTATTATTAAAATATTCTAAAATATTTCGGTTGTGTTTAAAAAAAACTGTCATTTCAGTAAAATAGATTTTGAACCCTCAAATCTTAAGTCAAACTATAGGTTTAACAGGAAGTTATAGGACTAATTATAGCTTTAGGTGTAATGCCTGCTAATAATTTACAAAAAATAGTAAGCTTTAAAGAAAATTATTTTCCCGCGATTGACGTACTATACATATGTATATATAGATGCATATTCTATTTGATGTAATTTGATGTAAATTATGTATGAGAAAATATAGTTATTGAAAGCCTCAAATACTATACTTCAATAGTATATATACATATCGAAGGAAAGAAGTATGAAATATTAGATTTAATAAAACCACTAAGTATGAGCGTATTTTTATTATGATCATATCAATTTAGACGAGCCAATGGGTGTTCGAGATGTGGATGTAATGTCATTTATAGGACTCCGACATAGCCAGGGTAGGTGAAGCGGCCGTCGAAACCATTCACAACGGTAGGTCCAGCCACGATGGTCTGAAATTTAAGAGAAATACGTATTATATATATACGTAGTCACATACAGCTTAATATATATGTATCCCACTAATATTATAAATGCGAAGGTAACTCTGTCTGTCTGTCACGCCTAAACCACTGAACTGATTTTAATGAAATTTGGTACAGAGATAGAGTTGACCATGAGGAAGAACATAGGATAGTTTTTATCCCAGACTTTTTGAAAGGTTCTCTTGGAAACGCGATATAACCGAACTCCACGCGAGCGAAGTTGCGGGCGGAAAGCTAGTCAGATATAAAATAATGCACGTTTCTAAGTTTCAAAGTATTCTTATGGATATAATCTCTCTAATTATAAAGAAGCTAATTGGATTATACTACGCGTATATTATTATTATAAAAACTACATACTCTCTACGTTTCGGTTACTTTTCAGCAACATTTAATTTAAATGAATACTAGCGAAAGTCTTAGTTTTCATTATCTAACATAATTAATATAATTGACTGAATATTTTTTCATACACTCAAAAGTAGATAAATTTCAGAGACACTCAATAGTTATCCAAGCGAATAGCGATTATAAAAACTTTGACCAAATCATTTATCCAACAGGTTATTGAACAGTACATTAATTACTATAAGAAATAGCCAAGTAATTTTTGTATTTAGTGCACGAAACAAGAAAAATATTTGCATATGTATGGAACAAGCATGTCTATATTATTCCAGTTGAACATGTACATACTAATCATAAATATTTATTTTGTAAAAATGTTTATTAAAATCATGTTTACAGCCCGTTAAGGAGATATGAATTGATTTCAAGGTATGTATTCATAAAATATCGTTGATAATTTAGATCAAAAACCAATTTTAATTGAAACTTATTGGTTATATGTATAAAGAAATAAATATATTGTATTTCTTACCCTGGAGACGGGAGCGGTGAAAGGCCAAGTGGTGATGAATTGGGGAGCAGCGGCAGACAGAGCCACGAAGCAAAGGAAGAAGAACACCTGGTGAAGATTCAACTTAGTATACAAGAGATCTTGACTCTTTTACATTTCATATAAATTCTCTTCAAATATTATTAATAATTAGGATTATTTTTACACTTATTATAACTTATTTTCTCTATCCACTGATAAATTATGATAAGGATGACAATTTATATAATAATAGTATAATTTCAATCAATTTTGTTCTGATATTCGAAATTATATAATATTAATAATTATTAATATTTTTTATATTATTCAATTGTTATTATAGATAATGGTATACGTACGAGGAATTTCATTTTGATGGAGTTGTTGTTGGGTAGATCTCACTAGAACTGCTTTGATGCCTTCTGAGTGCAAACTATGCTTATCTGGAGAAGACGGACGCATTATATACTGATACAGAAGGCCACCTAGTCCTATGATAGAAATCCCTATGCACAAGTACTAAGGTCAAAACATATCTGAATATCTAAAGAGAACTTGTCTTGAAGAAAAAACGTCTAGTTAAACATTATTCCGTTACAGATATGGTAAAACAATATTTATTTATTGGGTCAGTTCTATCGAATCGACATCTGTTGGTATTTGATATTTTAAAGGGCCATAATTATATCATGTTATGCGATAGATTTACAAATAAGCGTGCACGTAACAAACTTGACGGAACTTCTTGAAATTCTGGTCAAATAGCATTTTTTGTTGATTTGATCCATCAAGCAAAACATACGTGTTTGATAATGTATTCGCCCTAAAATGTGGTCGTGTAATCAAAAACTAGACAAGATTGATGTCTTGTTATATAAAGAATGTATAAATTCTTTATGAACACAAATTTCGGCAATGCATGACATGATATGACGAACATGCAACATTTAACTATTGCTTTTATATTTAAATTGGCCAAATGCAAGTGCCTGTTATAAAATTTCAGAATACTATGTTATTGGTTATATCGAATATTGTTTTTAAATGTAATATCTAATGCAATTTAAGGAAACAAAACAAGATAAATTTCACGCAAAATGTAACATAGTGTTTACCTACTTCCATGTTGTTGCAAAAATTTTTACAGTTACCGAAATTCAAATCAGATTTGGGCAATTAAGTGTTTCAATTAGATTTGCTCCAATGCAAGCATTATACATTTCTATTTAGAAAATACGTTTAAAAAATTGTGTATGCATAATCAACATGTGTTCATGTTGAATTAACTTGATGGGTACTCTAAGTAATGATATTTTATTTTTGTATACACGTAGTATTTCCTAAAATAATTTCATTTACCTATAATATTTAAAAATTCTTAGCAAAAATGCTTTCTTGCAAAGAATTTATTCCAGAAAAAATATCCCTTTGTTTATAAGTTTACATTGATAGGTGGAACCAAATGCCCTGTTTATATTCATACTTATTTAAAAAATATATTATTATTCAAGTTCTATATTTTCCTTTCTAATACAAAAGAAACGAAAGTAATAAAAATTTAAATAAATTTTTACATTCAAATTCCTTTACTTGATAAAAACCTATATAAAATAGACAAGGTTTAATCTTTAAAAGTCTTAAAGCATCTTCATAAAATTTTAAGTATCTTTGGCTAAAATTTGCAGTTAGATCTGGAAATATATAGATTAGATAGATAAAAATAATATAAGAACTTTTTAACAAGTCATATTATTAATACAGGCATTAACATTGACATCGTTAAAGACTTTGTTTACGTAGTAACATAAACTATAGCAACATAAATATTCATTCCAAACAAGATTAAAACGTAGGCGTTCTTTATAAGCTATTACCATAAGTAACTCGCTTGTTATAGGTAATTACTAAATGCATTTCCCTATATTACTTCGTGAATGTAACGTTGTTATGTATTGTCTATTCTTTGTCTGTCTTTATGCACAATTTGTTTTATTACAATTAAATGATTAAAAGAATTTCAAGCACGACATTAGAAACCAAATATGTATGTATAGTACATATAATCTCGAAGCATAGTAAGGCTCATATTTTTTTATTAAAGTCCATTTATGGACAGATGTTCAAATCATTTATATTATTTATATTAAGTAGGATTACGATTGTTTCAGTTGTTTTTATAGACCTGTGCTCAAGATTAGATATAGCATTTGCTTATTAAAAGCCTAAAGCATAGGAAATTAATTTTAAAACTTCCTATGGTAGGTGTCTTAAAGCCACCTGAATGTTTCTTAAAACAATTAAAGCAAAAAGTACCTTATGTGTTAATTAATAGAATGTTTTTTCGGTATCAAGTCTCATGTGTTCGTCACCGCCAGACTCCTTTGGTTCGAGGGCATCCGCGCGATAAACGGCATTTTCAATCCAAACAGCAATGCGATCGGATATAGCGACCATAAAACGTGCTAGTCTTCCAGGGTGGGTACGGGAGGGTTTGGGTTCACCTACGTATAAAGAAAACAAAGTTATGATTGTAATTAATAAAGCATTTACATAGGGGTTAGAATAGTTTTGTTGATGTCTGCTGAGGCTGATGTTGGCAATCCGGGATTAAATTACTGATATAACAACTCGAAGTATATCCTCTCAAGCAACCTTTAATTAGCTATTTACCAATAAATTTAAATTGTTATAGAATCCTATATTTCACAATACATACTTGGTCTTTTTATGATCTTAATTGTCTAGTATTTTTTTCATAGATATCTGTCAGTGTCTGTTTTATATAAATGTTTGATTTTATAAACTTATAATTCTAGATCTATGTAGTAAAATATCGATTAACCGATTTCATATCTTCATAATTTAAATTAGGGAATTCATCTACGATTTAAAAAGCATAACACAACATCCGAATACTAAAATTGAAAGAATCTAACAAAAGAATTATTTAAAAACCTAATATTTCGGCCACTCTCTCCAACACAACGTCTGCTATGCTCCTTAATCTATTCGACACCAACATTTCCTTTTGTCCTTTAGCAATATAATCACAGAGACGGTAAGCCACCTAGGAAGAAATTAACATATATATTTGATCTGGTATGCAGTAATAAATTTATTATATATTGAATTAATTGACAAGATGGAGGCTTTAACTGTATTAACTATTGTTTATAATACAGTTTATTATACTAATATCATATCAATAACACATAACTCTCTGCAACAAAGCGTTTGGTATACTTTATTTGAACAATAATCGCTTAAATGTTATAATGTTATTAAACAAAGATATTTATTGCCTATAATAAATGATACATTAAATTAGGGACATATATTCATGAAGTACCAATTTTATTATGTAATTTTTAGTATAGTTCTCAAGTGATTGGTACTACCTGGGCACTAAAATTAATCAACCACTTCTGACGCTGACGTAACTCTTTCACTCTCTCATTTTGCTCCCGTCGACTAACCATTCCACCCGGACCTGACCACCTCTTAGATGATTCACTTAGCGCTTGAAAATATTGCTCTGTCTGTCTAAACAGAGAAACATGCTTGTTGAAATAATATGTAACAAATTGTGTTGATTTATAAAAATAAAGAATCATTAATTCATACTCCGGGCTCAAAAAATAGTCTTCTTCTAAAGCGCTCTTAATTTTATCCCTGCGTTCTGGAGGTAGAATAGCACATTTCTCATCCCACAGAGAACGAAGACGACGAGAGTTTGGGCGAGCCAACATTTCTACCCTCTCCAAGTTACGCCGAAGTCTTGATCCTATTTTCTTCATTGGGGGGTCTTATGAAAAAAATAATAAAAATTTCATGTCTATTTCAGATTGAAATGAAAAAATATCAACTACATCTACTTTATGCGGCCCATAAGTGATAATCAGATTTCTTTTCACTATTATAAAAACAAAAAAAATATGCATACTATGAGTTTTAATCACCTTTTAAATATATATCCATATAAATCAGATTAGTGTGAATAGTAAATAAAAAAATTACGAGATAACGCAAACAAATAGTTCTTTACAGACATACGAAACATTTAACTCACTGGCTAAGAAGTGGTAATTAAATTAGAGGGAAAATTTGAATAAAAAAACTAAATACTTAATAGTAGTTACATTTGAAGTAAAGAAATGTGAAATTGGAAATATTCTCATAAACAGCAATTTTATATTAATATCAGTAACTTATTTATAAGTACCTTGGACATCTTTAAGAACTCTAACATTCTGGTCGGCTTTGGCAGAAATATTTGATTTAGATTTTTCCAGCCTCGGTGTACCTGGTCCTCCTTCTTCGTCTCTCGATGATTTCCTGTTCTTAGGCATTATGGAAAAAGGTTCTGTACTGTAATTTAATGTATTAAAATACAAACCGGTCCATAAAAATAGTTATTTAATGACAGTTACTATTTATTTTTTATTTTCTTGTTTTATTGAAAACCTCATTTTGTAAAAATCAACAGTTCGTTCATGTAAGTACATACTTATCTATCTTCTACATATAGATACATATCTATCTTCTTAAAATGTTAGATCAAATATTTTGGAATTGTGCTGGTTACAATAGCCTTAAATTAAAACACAAGGTAACAGCATATTTTTTTTATTCTGTTATTCAACAGAATTGTATGTTTCATTAGGTAAAAGCATGTTTTAATTGAGCCCAAAAATATTTTTGTACACCAGAATCTACCGTTTTAATTGAAAACTAAGTTGTTATTAAAATACGTTTCAAGAAAATCGATGGAGCCATTTTAAAATTATCTGCTTTTTCAAGTGGAAATATAGTGGAAACATGAATAGGTAAATTGAATTAAAACTTTCACAAGGCACTTTTAACATCATATTGTGATATTGCAGCCATGACAGTATGTTCGTGACTATGAAACCCTAAAAGCAATAGATATCAATAAATAGCAGAATAAGTTGTGTCACGTGATATTTCTAGGGTGTTTATCTGGGGATTATAGCATTTGATCAAACGTCAGATAAGTGTTTCAGCGTAATTAGATTCCTAAAGAAAACTACAATGCCATATACCTACCATTCTCCATGTGCTGTCATCATTTTACTCTGTACCCACACATAAATATGTCGTTTAGTTAGTCACAGTTAGTATCGATTTATTTACTTTTTTTATTTTAATTTCTTTCCCCTGTTTATGGGCTTATTTCTCCATCTGGCTCTAGCTTAGCTAAAAATTTAATATGGGTGTATGTATGTACTTAACTCAAAATAGCACTGTCAAAACCAAATCGCCATATCAGTTTTTTAACTTTAAGACCTAAGCAAACTGATGAATGCTATCGATCCTAAAATGTAAAAAGCTTCACGGTTTTTATGTCTCATTTTAAACTTTTTTTTAGTTTATAAACTTTTACGTATAATATTTTTAAATATTTCTAGACCTTACAGGGTAAATTACGATTTTTGTAAGATAACTTAGAAAAACTACAAGATATGTAGTATATTTATAAGTGAAAGACTAATCTCAACAGTCACTGATAATTTTCAGATAGGTTTTTTATAGAAATTATAAAAACAATTTCGATATTAATATTGATCACTTCGACTTCCACCAAAGCTTATGTTGACAACAACTTTCTTAGTTCTTATTCCTTTCGGGATGTGTATTGTCTAACTAGAATCTATAATGATAAGGCAGTTAAGCCTGAATGGATCATTAATTCCCTAGCTTTGCATTTAATAAGGGTTTAATATTTTTCTTTAGCTACACCATATAATGTGTTTATCCTAAACCAAATTACTAATCGAATCAATTAAATATATGTTAGTCCTTCAACAAATTAATTCCAAAAAATAAACAAAATACATAACAATCATCAATATTAGTTTATTTCCTATTTATATATTTCTATACATTCATTTCATTCACAACTAGTAAAAAATACAGTCTTGTAATTATTTTTTAGCTCTTAAACAAAGCCAATTTTTACAATCAGGAGTGCCATCATTAAGTTGTCCTGTATTCAGAATGTTTTCCGCTTGATATGGTAGATGCCAACTATTATCATGATTTTGGGCACAAGGTGTAAATGTCAGCGGGGCCTAGAAACAAAAAAAATCATAAATAATATTTATTATTATAAAGAACATATTCTTATTAAAAATATATTTAAAATAATGAGATCTAAGATTTTCGCGAGTAGTCATTTAAATGAAACTAATATTTTCGGATTTTACTTCGCGTTTTATTTTTGATTAGAAACTACATACTCCCGACTTTTCGGTTACTTTTCAACAACCGTGATCAAGGACAGACGGGCCCGAAAATACTAGTTAGTAGACGAAAATATTAGTTTCATTTAATATATATTAAAATCATATTTATATGCAATTCAATAAAAGCACTATTTATCACTGTTTCAATTTAAATCGAAATTAAAAATATTCATTTAACATTTCATATGAACAATTATGCATTTAAACAATTCATACGCACAATTATCTTAAAACAAAAGAAATTGAATAACAACCAATAAAAAAATCAAAAATAAAGCATTGATTTAAAATAAAACTTCGAATTTAACATAATATTACTATTACCTGTATGATTGCTTTGTGTCTTGGAACAAATACCATCCATTGATGCTGCCATTGCCACATTTGAAACAAACGCTGCAAGTTTTCTTGCTGCAGAAGGAACCTGTGACCCCTTAACAGATCTCTCGAGACAATATCTGTTTCCGGACCACTCAGTATTGCTGCTGTTATAAAGTATGGATCATCCTGAGAACTGGAATATTCAAACAAAACAATACAAACACACAATCATTTTAAATATTATATATCTATTGAAATTAACCGACCACAAGTGAGAAAGTTAATAATTTTTTTTATAATATAATTTCTATTCGCACTAAATTAAGTTGTAATTTTATTTGTAACCAGATTTAACAACTGTCTAATTAATAATAGCTCTGATTTCGTTTTAAATTATCTTATTAATTATGCATAATTGAGAAGTAAGTATATTTAATTATATATAAGATTTTCGTACACATTTAAATGAAACTTAGTTTTTTTATACTACTTTGGTTTTTGTTATTTTGTGTCTACATAACACAGTGTAGAAGCAACAGAGAGTTGACACTTTTAGCTCATGATTATAATAATCTGTCTGTAAAGGAACCAAAATGTTGAGATCACATAGCTATAATAAACACATCATATCCAAAAAAAATTGACTCATTTAAGTTAAATTATTGTTTAAATCTTACTTACATATTTTCTGTAAAAAAGCTATAAACTTTCTTTACAGTATGCATTAATGTACCCCCCTTCCAATTCAACATATGCCTCCTGCCCAGAAACAATATTTTCTTATTTTGATCTAGGAAGTGATTTACTACTAAGTTAAGTATTTTTATTCTTTCATTCACATCACCTTTCCCTGCGGTGTAAGCTATGTTTAATGCATCTAAAACTATATCATAGGGTGCTGTCTTTTCAACAAAATTTGTAAATCTTTTAAGCTCTTCAGGAGATGTCTTCAAGAAGAGATCCTTCCCAAGTATTAATTTTTCCTTGACAACCCTCTGGAGTGTTGCAAATTCATCTTCGGACAACTTTATGCAGTCTAATTTTAAATTACAACATTCACAATGTCCACTAAAAAAAAACAATAAATATTATATACAACCTTTAAATACACAAATAAATGTTATAATTTTCATTACCTTTGCTTTCTTATTTGTGTAAATCTACCAATCCATTTTAGTTCCTCAAAAGCTTCCTTCAATCTTGTAGCTGTTGTTAAAGATACTACTTCACAATTGTTTGATATGTGAAGACATATTTCATTTAAATATTTTAGCATAGTATTTTTATCTTTATATTTCCTGAAAATATATCTAATCCATTCATCGTAGGCTATGTCTTGGAGAGGTCTTTTATCATTCAAACTTATTTGTATAAATTTCATAGCCTCAGCTTTATTATTGTTTTTAAATAGTGTTGCTATCAGTGTACTATATGCTGAGTGAGTAGGTATTGAACTTAAGTGGATATCACTAAGAAGTCTTTTACACTTTTTCCATTCATTAATAGCACATAATGCATGAAGCAGTTTATCACAAGTAGTGTAGTCTAGCACTTTGTATTTATTATACAGCTGATCATAGGTTTTTAAAATGAATTCTTTTTCACTCTTCGACAGATCGTTTTCCTTAGAATATTCGTAATAAAAGTTTAACAATCCATTTATTGCGCCTAAAGATAAATCATCACTAGATAATTTCAGATAGCTAGCATAGGATAATGCTGCATCAAATTTCTTTTCACCAACCATAACTTTCAACATAACAGCATCTATATTTTTTGAGTTCAAAGAACCTCTTTTTAGTAACACATTTTCTTTAATTCCTTTCCAATCCATCTCTTTATTATCAATACTACTTTTTAAGTAACTCAATTGATCAACACCATCGGTAGATGGCTTATTTATAAGCCTTAGACTTAAGATCAACACTGAAATTAGAAAACATATTAATGAAAACATGTGTTTATTTGATAGTATTCAAATAATGTAACATTTCAGACAAACTAACTTTTATTATTAACAGGCAAAACGCGCTTTCGAAAAAAGCAAACATTTTTGTAAATAATATTCATGTTTATGAAAATATTTTTACTCCTCTAACTAAATCTTTTCTGTTAATACGTCTTTATTATATATATATTTCATTATTTTTTCAAAGTTTTAATTATAAAAAGTATTTGAATTTGACACCAAAAACTAGGTTATTAACAAACGTCAACTGATAAATGTACGCCAGAAATCAAAATACTTTTATTAATTCTATTTAGAAATTTGTTTTCAATTGTATGCCACTTAAGAATAAACATAAAACATTTTGTATTTTTTATATCCATCGACAAATACGAAAAATGTTCTTAAATAATTATTTGATTCATGTTCTTAACTAAAGTGTTTTCCTCTGCAACATAATTCATATAAAGTCTCACTCCAGAAATAAACGTCTCATATTAATCGATTAATTTTTTTGATATATTTTTTAGAAGCAAAAAAAATTCTCTTTTGTGAGAAGCATTGTACTTGTAGTTTATAAAATGCAAATCCTAGGAGATTATGTTTATTTTAAATATGATTATGAAAGTGTATATATTAAAAAATATATCATTGACAAAATCACTAAGTTTTTATAATATAAAGTCTTCAAAAGATAAACAAAACGAATATTAAAATTTTTAATGTATCTAGTGTAATAATTGTCTTTTCTATCAGATCTCACAAATGTCAGTTGTCATATTTCAGTAATAAGTACGCGTATGAAGTTTGAAATGTCTATGTTGTAAGCTTAACATTTCTGGTTAATTTTTGTATACACAAGTCTTAATTCTATAAATATAGTGGTTTACTTAGAAAGTGTGTAAAATCATATTTAAAACTAATCTGTTTTATGTTGGTTAAATAATTTGCCCCCATGGATCCAAAAACCACAAAAATGCCGAAGGTAGCAAAAGTAAAAAATAAAGCTCCTGCAGAGATACAGATCACTGCCGAACAGCTTCTGCGAGAAGCTAAGGAACGTGATTTAGAAATATTACCACCTCCACCTAAACAGAAAATATCTGATCCAGAGGAATTAAGAGAATATCAACATCGCAAAAGAAAAGCGTTTGAGGATAACATCAGAAAGAACAGACTTGTGAGTTAAAATAATCATAGTACAAATATTAAGGCCTTTATCAGAGTTAAAAGTAGCTTTACATTTCTTATCCTTACTTTTATATCGATTTAACAAAGTATAATTTTTATAGGTTATTGGAAATTGGCTCAAATATGCACAATGGGAGGAGTCACAGAAACAAGTACAAAGAGCTCGGTCTATCTATGAGAGGGCACTGGATGTGGACCACCGAAATGTTACCCTTTGGTAAAATAATTATTAAGTCACATTTTCATATCACTAATAAGTAAAACACTCAATATATAACAAATTTGTCCCTTATTATACAAAACATTATACAGTAGAAACTTGATTATCCAGTTATACGGATTTGAGATTATCCGGACCACGGACAAGTCCGAACAAGAAAGAATGTCAAAGCGTAAGAGAGTAGTGTTGAGAGTGGCTTATGTCAAATGACAATGACCAAATATTCCATACCACATGAAACTTATTATTTTAATTCATGATTACCAATTGCAAATTATCAAATACATATTGTTATTTATTTTTTAAATAAACATATAATATTATGAACTACATAATCACAAAACCGGCTTTTCTTCATACATTCAATTATCCGGATTTTTGATTATCTGAATGCCTATACACAACAATTAGTCAGATTAATAGAGTTTCTACTGTATGTATATCAGTCAGTTCATATATGAGTTACTTTATTTAGCCATAAGTAATATAATAATAAGTTAGATCTAATCGTAGTAATTTGTAAATATAGGTTGAAGTACACTGAAATGGAAATGCGAAACAGACAAGTAAACCATGCTCGTAACTTGTGGGACAGAGCAGTCACGATACTGCCGAGGGTTTCACAGTTTTGGTATAAATATACCTATATGGAAGAAATGTTAGAAAATGTTGCTGGAGCAAGACAGGTAATTTACTAATAATAACAGGATATATCCTTGTAAAAATTATGTTATTGCTTATTTAAAAATTCCTCATACTCTTTAAACATGATATTGAGTTCTAAGGTACCAAAAGAAAAGTATGATGAATGGACTGCCAAGTATAAAAATTTATAATGATTGATGTTCATACAATAATTCAATTTTAATGCAACACTGTATATTTGTTTCATAATTTATTGAAGCTTTTAGGTAGTTTGTTGTTTATTAAAGTAATTTCTAGCAAGTACTTAAATTATGATAATATTTATGTCTATGATATATATGATTTTATTGTTATGGAATTTTGTTTTTAGGTTTTTGAAAGATGGATGGAATGGCAACCAGATGAGCAAGCCTGGCAAACTTACATTAATTTCGAATTAAGATACAAAGAACTGGATAGGGCCAGACAAATATATGAAAGATTTGTTATGGTCCATCCAGATGTTAAACATTGGATCAAATATGCAAAGTTTGAGGAAAACCATGGTTTCATAAACAGTGCAAGGAAAATTTTTGAAAGAGCCGTTGAATTTTTTGGGGATGAAGAATTAGATGAAAGACTTTTCATAGCTTTTGCTAAATTTGAAGAAAATCAGAAGGAACATGATAGGGCAAGGGTAATTTATAAATACGCGTTAGACCACATTCCTAAAGACAGAAATAAGGAGTTGTATAAAGCTTACACAATACATGAAAAAAAGTATGGAGATAGATCTGGTATTGAAGATGTAATTGTCAATAAGAGAAAGTACATGTATGAACAGGAAGTTATTGAAAACCCAACCAATTATGATGCTTGGTTTGATTACATTAGGCTTGTGGAAAATGATGGCAATGTTGATGACATCAGAGACACTTATGAAAGAGCCATAGCTAATGTACCTCCATCTAAGGAAAAGCAATTCTGGCGTAGATATATTTACTTATGGATTAATTACGCCCTTTATGAGGAACTGGAAGTAGAAGACATAGAACGCGCGCGACAGGTTTATAAAACTTGCTTAGAGTTGATTCCTCACAAAATATTTACATTTTCGAAAATATGGCTGATGTATGCACAATTAGAAGTAAGATGTAAAAATTTAAAACAGGCAAGAAAAACTCTAGGCATGGCCCTAGGAATATGTCCCAGGGATAAGTTATACAGAGGATATATTGACTTGGAAATACAATTAAGAGAATTTGATAGATGTAGAATTTTATATCAGAAATTTCTAGAATATGGACCAGAGAATTGTGTAACTTGGATAAAATTTGCAGAACTTGAAACTCTTTTAGGAGATATTGATAGAGCAAGGGCAATTTATGAGATAGCAGTGGGACAGCCTAGATTAGATATGCCTGAGTTATTATGGAAGAGCTATATAGATTTTGAAGTTGCACAAAGTGAAACTGACAAAGCCAGGCAGTTGTACGAAAGATTATTAGAAAGAACGGTGCATGTTAAGGTTTGGTTATCATACGCAAAATTCGAGTTAAATGCAGAAAATCCCGATAACATCAACACAGAATTAGCGCGCAGAGTATATGAACGCGCTAATGAAAGTCTGAAAAGTGCAGGTGAAAAGGAATCTAGAGTATTGCTTTTAGAAGCTTGGAAGGAATTTGAAACTGAAATTAATGACAAAGAAAAACTCGAGAAAGTTCTAACGAAGATGCCAAGGCGAGTTAAGAAGAGACAGAAAATTATTAGTGAAGCTGGCATTGAAGAGGGATGGGAAGAAGTATTTGATTACATATTCCCAGAAGACGAAATGGTTAGACCGAATCTTAAATTACTTGCTGCTGCCAAAAATTGGCGTAAAAAACAAGTTGTTCCAGATAATTCAGAAACAGAAAATAATGATGAGCAAGACAAGAATACTGAAAACACACAAGAAAAAGATTCAAGCAATGAAAGTAGTGTTAACGAAGAATCATGATATTATAATGTTATTACTTTTGTAACAATTACAAGTTTGACTGATTTTAATGTTTCATTCCAATTTAACTCTTATAAATGAAGGAATGAAAGGGTTTTTTAATTTTTTTGTAAAATAATTAAATTACAAATTTTGTCTTTATATAAATTAACAGACTCTAATTTTACGACACTATATCAAAAATTTTACTATAGTGAAAAGCAATATAGTAATTTATTAAATATAAATGTGTCTACTTTTTACTACCAAATTTTGGGTAGCCCCTAATATTTCTTTTAGTGCAGGAAATATTATTTGAATAACAACACCAGTAACAGGATCTTTTTTAAGATTATCAAGTTTTAAATATACTTTGCTATTTTTAAATACTACATATTGCTTAATATCTTCAATATATACCTCTTGTTTAGCATTTTAACAAAAAAAAATATTTCATGGAATGAATTTAAAATATGAACCATTGCACCTTCCACAGATTAGTTTCTAGAAGTATTTAAACCAATGAATAAATGAATGCTGAAGTTTTATAATATTTTGATGAATAATATAGCAATCCTGTTAATTCTGCCCTTTTTACTTAGAAAAAAATATAATAAGCATATATGTTATTACATAATAGTTTCAAATATTTAGAAGATTAATAGATTCCAAGGGTTTTTAATAACTAAAAAGACAAGTAATGACTCCAGAACATTTTGGATTTTATTTTATACCAATCGTTATTACAAAACAATCTGAACACATTGCATATAGTACATAATAAAATATATCCTTACAATAATTTATAAGGAAAGGCAAAAAGAAAACCATACTTAGTTTAATATTTTAATCAACATCTTCAGGTCTAACTGGGTGTGCAAGTGGTATCACTGATTTCTTACTTATATCTCTTGAACATGCTTTTCTCATATCTGAAAAAAATAGTCAATAGATTGTTATTTATATCTGAATTGTTTTATAGCAAACTGGTGTAAAAATGGTTACTGTAATTGATTTAATTTGACCGATACAGGTGGAACTTCTTAGTTTTTGTTCTCATATTCATTGTTTTCTTATATAACATTATGGTGTTTGTGCATTATTATTAATGTAAGAACATTGTTTTTTAAAATCTTTCTTTTTGAGATTCTTACATTTGTGGAGCCACAACTATATGCCATTTAAGAAATATTAGGCACATTTTATCACATGGACCTATTTCTTCATACATCTTCAAAATAGATTACTCATTGAGTTGTTTTAGTTATTTATATACTATTATTTCAAAGATGTATTAATAATATGTATCTTAATTTCTTACTTATTAAAACTTATATACTAAGAATTTATGATTAGATAAACATTACATTATACATTTTCTAAATATTATGTGTATGATGTAAATGCTCATCAAGCTATATTTATACCATCTAAGTGTAATTCAATTTGACTAGATCAATTAAAAAATCTTTGAAATAGCATATTGTTACTTCAAAAAATTAACTATCATAAACATGCATATAATTAAAAGAAGAGAAATATTACAAATACATATAAATTTTATAAAAATATTGGTATAATGAATTTTTCTAATACCATAGGCATCTTCATCAGGATCTCCTGAGTAATATTCTAAAACAGTCCTATACACAATGTATCCAAGATTTTTGTACATATTAATAGCAACTTTATTGCTAACTCTCACAAACAAATCAACAAAGTATGCCTTTTTTCTGAAAAAGAAAAAATTAAATAAAGTAAGTAAAAGTCACACAGATACACATTTTTTAGGTCAAGTTATGAAATTCACAATTGTAAAACTATTATACACAATAAAAAAATGAAGATAAAATTTTCATAAAATTCAAATTAAACAAAATATCACACTTATATGTGATAAATAATGCCCTACAAATTTAGATATACATTATTACAAATTAAAGTATGATAACTCACTTTTCAGACACTTCTTCTAGTATGTTCATTAAGGTTGCAGCCAGACCCAAACGCCTATAGTCCGGGCTAACAGTCAATGCTGTGACATGACCATGCCAATTTTCACCATGACCCTCTGCTTTTCCCATAACTATAAAATTTAACGTATGATCACACATTAAAGTGAAAAAGTTTACTTTAACATATATTAAGTTAATTTAGGATTTTTTTGCTTACTGTATCCCATAATTTCTCCACTCGGAGATTCGGCAACCTGAAAGTACTCCGGCCAGTGCGCTAAATATTGTGTATAAAAAGACAAACCATAGGTCTCTGTCAGCGGATCCAAATTTCTGAAAAATTTAAAATATAAGAATAGTTTTAACCACAATACAAAATTAAGATAAAAGTTATAAAGAATTTAATTTACCGACACATTGTTAAAGTATAGCATGTCTTCACACGTAAAAGGACGTATTGTTGTCATAATTAATTCTTATTAATTACAGTTCTTATTGTATCTAAATCACAACGACTGTTTTGTAATTAATATTTAAATTTCACGTTGCTACGATACCTATCCTAGTATAAAATTGGTCTTTTGTCAATTTTAAGTGACAAATGTCATTAAATAATTCGAGGTGCGATCTTTAAAGCAGCTTATTTGTCTATGATGAATAAAATATATAAAAACAATTTATTCAAAAATTGAAATCAAAACTAAATAAATAAAGAACCAACCAAAAGTGATTTAGGACAAAACGACATTCATAAATTTTACGAATATCATTGCAGTCTTGGAAACAAAAAAGTTACCATGAATAAAAGTTTATGTAGCATCACATAATCTAGTTCAAATTACAGCCCAACAAATAGTTACTCATAGGTACACTTTTGAAAAATCAATGATTTTAGTACCAGTAAATCTGCAACATTTAATGATTTAATTTTAAATACTTATTTAATTACTTTATATAACTGTTCCAAAATTACTTGAACATGACTGTTACCTTGCAATAAACATTTTTTTTAGATCTCAACACTTGATTTACTACTTTATAGTTTATTTATAATTTATAATCTGGCCTTTGAAGCACAGTGTAAAAAGATGTTTATGAAATATTTTTAGTCAATATGTAATTCTCAAAATATTAATATTAATAATTTATAATAAACAATATTATTTCTTTTACATATAAGAAATACCATTGCATTCTAATAAACTCTTAACACTTTTACTATTAAATTGTTGCCATTTAAAACTACGTTGTCTACTCTTAAGGAATTATTATCCTACTCGTTTTACCACATGTCGAAAGGCATATTTATTACTCTTTTTCAAGCTAAAAGCTCAAGTGGAGCAATCTATGGGCTTCATGCAGTTTACCAACACGACAATGGCCGAATTGTCCGTGTAAAATATTTTTTATTGGCTCATACATCTAAACCTGCCATGTCTTTGGTTTTAAAAATGGCGTATACAAGCTTTTTGTTTGCCGGTTTACGCTTCTAAATAATTAGTTTTCAAGACCCTGCGCGTATTTGAACGACACGTTAACGTTGTGAATATGAGAATAAAGTACATGTGTAGGTACATTTATCTGCACCATGGATCCGTGAACATATTTTTTTAGCGTTATGGTGAATTAGAATGGTGCCTGTGGTTTGTCAAGCTCGCACGTCGACAGGTTACCCGTTTGTAACGTAAATATCACCTAGCGGGCGTTTTATATTTCAGATATGACAGCGTCGCAAAACAGTAGATAATGGAGAGTTCAGAAGACGATGCGGGTGCCGCGGCGTACGCTTCCCGCCGTGCATCGGCGCGGGAAAAGGACATTGGACAGATTGAGGACGTCAATGCAACTAGTAGTTTTCAACAGGATTCTTCGAATCCCAGAACATCTTGTGAAACCCCCGCAATGTCGGAGGAAAACTTTGACGGCGACAGCGTCCCATCTCCGTCAACACAAGATGTCAACACAAGCACGGAAGCGATCTTGGATATGATTGACGAGATCGTTGACGGCCCAGGAGCCCCCAAACGTCTACCCCTAGCCTCTGAAAAGGATACTGACCATCGATTTGCTGGTGGCGGTGAACCTAATATCGTTGTTGACGAAAGTAAAGAAGACGAAAAATCGCTTCAGTCATTCAACACACTCTCTACCACAAGTGCCAAAATAGAAGATGTGCAAAATTGCGAGTTAAGTGTAGCCAGTGAACAGATATCACAGAACGATGTTTTGGTAGATGTGAAAGTGGTGTGTAATAAAGTACCCGAAACACGTTCATCTGCACTTGAAATAAATGACCTGACAGTATCAGGAGATACTAAAAGCGATTTAGCATCAAGTTGTGAGGAACCAAATAGTAGTTCTGTTCAAAATATACCTTTAAACAGTGTTACACAGACAGTTCAAAATCAAATTGACACAGACACAGATAGTGCACCATGTGAAAGAACAGTGAAAAGTGTGACATCTAGTGACATCCGGGACAATGTTATTGTTGAAAGTGCGGAATCAACATCAAGTGATAATAGTATTAGTGAGGGGAAGTCTCCCTTAGTGGAATCAGCTACAAGATCACCTTTGCGGCGTCGACTTGTACGCCCAGCAACTATTCGGCCAGACTCAACTGTCTCATCTACAGTTGATTCCACTCTAACCATTGATACTACAGAACAGGCAAGTGAATGTGTCGTAAAAGATGTGTCAAGTTCATCAGACACTGTGTCATCGGCATGTGGGAATGTTAAACAAGAATCAATTAGAAATGAAAGTGACAGTAATCTCTGTAAACCAGAAACATCATCACCTGCTAAGAAAATTAAACTTATAAGACCTAAAATAATCCCACAAACATTTATAGTCCAAAAAGAAACTAAGGTTGAAACTGCACTTGTACAGAGAGATACAGAACAATGTCAACCAACATCTTCAGAATTAGTGACTATTACTGTAGAGCTGTCATCAGAATCAGTAGAATGTATAAATATATCTAAGACAGATTCTGAAATAAACTCCTCAGAAAACACTCCTGTTGCTTCATCTTCAAAAATTAATGAAACTGAGACGCAGACTGTACCGACATTACCAAAAAAGGAAGAATCACTGACCCCTACAACCAGTTCAGATATTATTTTACCTGAGGAAGAAGTTGTGCAGAAGCCACCACATTTAGTAATTAATCTTATTCCCTCAAATATAAATGAATCTGTTCAAAAAACTCAGGAGAGTGAAACTAACTGTGATGATAATTCAGAAAATTCTGAAAAACAAGTACCTAAATTGATGATCAAATTAGGTAAGCATTCTGAGGAGATTAAGCCACCAGTACCAAAATTGACAATAAAACCAATTAGACATCCATCAGACATAGATTGTAGTACTTCTGAGAAATTAAATGATGATGCTTTAAATATACCTAAATTAAATATTAAACCTGTTACAAAGAAACCAGAAAAAATATATGAAATTCATAGGAAATCAAGTAGTAGTGAAATTTCAGAATCAGAATATTCAGAAAATGATGAAAGTGCCAGTACTTCTGATCAGGCATCAACATCGGACCATGGATCAACAGATGTTATCCCAAAGGTGACAATTAGGCTTGGGAAACCTGGTACCGAATCTGAGGGTCAGTTTTACACAGAACGAAATATTCCTAAAATTAGTGCGAAAACTATACAAAATAATGATTATGAACACGAGCAACTGTCTCCTACAAAAATGAAGATATTTCTTAGCCAAAATCAAGATAAACAAAGTGAAAAAATTCCCAAGTTAACAATAAAAACTGTTGTAAAATGTGAAAGTCAACCGCTGAGTCCGAGACTCACTATAAAGCCTTTGAAACCTCCCGATGATGCTGGCAAGGAAAGCCCTTCTGAACAAGGTCAAGGTCATGAAATATCTAAGCTTAAAAAATCCTCAGAAACAAATGTAACAAGTTCAGACAGTAAAGATTTAACTCATGTACCGAAAATAATCATTAAGCCAGTCACAAATCCTGAAATGGAAACCATTGGCAAAAGTAAAAAGCCAAATGAAAATTTTGAGCTAATACCCGTTGTGACAAAATTAAATATTAAGCCGGTAATTAAGCCTTCAGATAGCATTGAATCTTCAGAAACCTTGGATAAAGATAAAGTTCCTGTAGTTTCAAAATTAAATATTAAACCCATTGTAAAGCCTAAGGATAGTGATTTAGATTCTAGTAAAGAAGTACCTAAGATTATGAAATTGAATATTAAACTCTTAAAAAATGCTGATACAAATTCTTCAGAAGAAAAAGACTGTGATGATAAAGCTGATTTAGATGAAAATAGTATACCTGTTATAACTAAACTTAATATTAAGCCTATTGTTAAGCCTCTAGATGAAGATAAATTAAAAGATAATGACAATCAATCCTCGGAAACAGGAAACTCTAGTGATGACAACAATGATCACATACCTATTGTTACTAAAATTAATATTAAACCCATTTGTAAACCGAATGACATGGAGGAATCTGGACCAAGTTTAAAGAAAGAAGATAATATCCCAGTTGTAACAAAATTAAATATTAAACCCTTAATTAAGCCAGATGATACATTATCTCCTTTATCTCCAAAAAAGGAACTTCTAAAAAGTGCCCCGTGTTCTCCAAAAAGGTCACCAACTATAAAACTGAACATAAAACCTATTGTAAAACCAGAAGAACCGAAACAAAGTGGTGATACTGAAAATGATGAAACAATAGGCAAAAATCCACCAATACTTATGAAAATAAATAGAAAAACAGGGGATACATACATAAATGATGACCAATACAGTGTTGGTGAAGTTGAAGATCACAAAATAAGCAACAGTATTCATGACAATTGTCCTGTTATATCAAAAGTAAACATTAAACCGATAAATAAATCAGCTGATGATATTTACACTAAAGTAACAGATTGCAATGAAGGCAGGTCAAGTATAAATGATAGAAATGCAATGGCTTCCAATGAAGTCAAGTTAGATCAAACTTTACAAAGAGTCGATCTAACTCAAAATTGTATTACGCAATTTTCGACAAATGAGCGAAAATTAGCACCTAAAGAAGATTCATCAGTATCAGCTATTAAAGAAATGATAGCAGATTCATTAAAGAAGCAAAATCTACAAGAAATGAACATGAATTCGTCCTTTGCACATTCATCTTTAGACCCCAAAGAGGGTCCAGTGAAGAAAACAGATAAAGATGTATACAGTATGGCTGATTCGAAAGTTGATGCTTATTCTGAACTTTTAGTTAAAATACCTAGTGACATGACCAAAAATATGCCGAGACAAAATTGTACACTTTTGAAAAAATTACTAGAAACACGTAAGGATAAGTTATTGGATGATGATAGTAACAAGAAACAAATGAATAAAAGTTCGCCTACTATGTCACATGATATGCAAAAATCACCTTCAAAACATGTAAATATTACAAATGATTTTCATAAAGAAAAAGGCTATTCAGAAATTAAATGTAATATATCTGAGAGGATTTCAGATGAATATAGTAAAGCTAATGACGTAGGTTGCAGTATACCTCCATTGAGAGTTAGATTGATGCAAGAATTATGTATAGAAACTAATGAAAATTTATCAAAATCATTACAAATAGATATTTCCGATAAAGTAACAAGTCACAGTCCCGATCAAGATTCTCCTAGGATAATATTAAAAATAAATAAAACTGATCAAGGAACGTCTGCTGAAATCATAACTGAAGATATTAAAAAATCGGAACAACAACAATGTTCACCTGATAATACTCAAATAATGACTAACGATCTGTATCAAAAGAAGAAACTAGCAAACTGTAGGAGGAAAACTCATATAGACACGCCCATGCCCATGGGTAAGAGATTGAGAAGTTCCAGAGTCCTCCAGACGTCAGAAAAGACATCCACACCTAAGAAAAATATGGGCAAAAGGCCTTCTGGAATTGAAATAAGCCCTCCACAGATTAAAGAACAAGAAATTTCCGTATTAGATTCAAAGAGATTAAAACTTGGGCAGCTTCTATCTAATAAGTCATTAACAATTACACCAATAGTTTCAAAAGCTTGTTCAGTGTCACCAACTAAAACATCTGAAAGCAAACAAGTTGCAAAAAATCATTCCTTACTAAATAACGAAAACTGTGCTAAAAATGGTAGTTCTAAGCTGCACAACATTTTATCAAACTTGCAAGCAAAGCAATTACAAGGAATGCCTTTTAGTGATATAAATCATGCTGAAAACAATCAAAATTCAAGTCCGGATATGAAATCTAGTACGTCCACAGGCAGCCTTGAGTTGATATCTGATAATTCAGCAATGGAGAAAACTAGACCCGAGGTTCACGAAATGCTGTTCCACGACAATTCAGAATCTCACGATTTCAGTATTGGGCCCGAGGAAGTTGCTCGTGATCCATTAGAAGTGGACTCTTTGAAAATAGCTTCTGACATATTTTTACATGAAAACATTCCTAAAACAGTAGAAATGACGCCACAGCCTAAAAAACGTGGCCGTCCCCGTAAAATTCCAGTGTCGGAAGGCACTCGGGTTGTAACTCTGCCAGCTACAGCCTTGGAGGAGCGACCTCAACGATCGCTCCGGTTATCCAGGTAAAAATAGCGATAAATACACTATTATACTTATCATTAATCATTTCTAATATAAAGCCTATTGATTTTCGAAGTAATTTAGTAACAGAAACTTTTTAATTCAACGATTTTCATTCTATCAAAGGTATCTTCATTTTAGAATTAAATTTAAAACACATTATTATATTCTTTTGCAGGGATCGTCCAGTGATTATTGTTAAACCAAGAGGTAGAGGTCGTGGTCGTGGACGTAGACTGGACACCGATTCGGATCAATCAGGCATCGAACCCGTAGTGGAAGCAGCTAACAAATATTTCATCGAACAGAAACCTGAAGATATAGATCCTACCAGTTCTCGTATTAAGCTGCCTCGGATGACTGAAGCTTTAGATAAGATGCCATGTTCTACACCGCTCTCAAGCCGTAGGCGAACTTCATCTTCTGAATCGTACACGGGTTTGGATACGACGCTTCCAAAAATGGAGGATCCGTTTTTGAAGTCGCCTGAGTTAGTTGAAATGAGAGGACGCGGTTCTAGAGGGCGAGGCAGTAGAGGAGGCCGGGGACGAGTGGCGCGCTCCCCGCGAGGAAGAGGACGTGGGCGCGGGGGAGGCAGGGGAGCTATGTATATGAAGGTATGTTATACAGATAACTTCGAGAAACTCTATTAATTAAAATTACGTCAAAGTAATCGAAACGAAACATAGGAAGTGGAATAGTAAAAGAAATAAAACATGAGAATGTATTAAACATAATTTTATTTAAATGTTTTCTCAGAAAAGTCTTAAACAAAACTAATGAGGAATAATATAAAAATATTATGAATTTAATGCTGATTTATAAGGATGGCTCTGGAAAAAAAACACTAATCCTTTTTAATCACAGAATAAAAATATAATTATCATAAACACTGCAAACATTCATAGAAGAACAAAATAGACTTTATAGAGTGATTAGTAAAAGTGAAGGACTAAATCATTAATTATAAACAGATTAAAAACCTTATCTTGATCAATTATTAACAATACAACAATTGAATTTCCTCTTTATGGCTTTAAATCAAAAATATCTTAATTCTTAAATGTAAGATAAAATAATAATAGAAAATGTTTTTGTGTAATTCATATTAAAACTGTTTGTAAAAAAATCATTCAACACAGGGAAAATTATTTTGAAAATTACCTGATCGTTTGGACAAAGCATTTAAGAGTAAAAAAATTCAATACTATTCCTACCTCGTGGAAATTGTAGGGTTTATTTACACTTGCTAGTTGTTTATCAAACTTAAAAATTTATGATAAGAAAATCATCTCTATAGCTTCCTTTCTAAGAACAGTAAACTACAATAATACCTCGAATGTAACTTGATCAAAGTAATGGTTCGCTTCACTATTTTTATACCACTATATTGTTTTATATGATTTTTAGGAAACTATGGGAATATATGGCAGAGTATGTGGCCCAGCCACAACAACGGTTCAGTTGTTTGAAGAGGAAACTTGTATGATGGATGACAATGCAACCCCAGCCAAGTAAACACTGATTATATTATATTAAAATAATACTTTTTTTCACATGAAATTATATAAATGTATCAAAAATTTTCAGGCCCTCGCATTTATTGGATGAAGATTCTCAGAGTTCAGTTAAAAGTTTGACAAATGACAGTAGCAGAATGAGAAAATCCAAATTTGCAGATCTGTTTGACAGGTATCAAAAAAGTTTTATTATGTCTATGTAGGCCATTGTTATTATATATTTATATTTTATTTGCATAGGAATTATGATTATATTAGTAATATGTAATATTGTTTTAATTTCAGTAACAAAGTGTGGACGGCCGCTGATGTAAAGGAATACATGTGGCCACCTCCTGAGACAACAGATGGCGAACATCAGGTACTATATGAATATATTTACAATGATTTTACTAGTACATGTTTAATGGAATTACAAAAAAAGCAAAGCAGTTCCATCCTATTTTAAAATAAGAACAATAGAATTCTATTTTTAAATTTAAGAAGATTATGTATGAAATTTTGTTGCAGTTTCTTTTTATAGCAAATAAACTTTAATATTATATAAAATAAGTCAACAATTTTTATATATGTATTGTGATAAATTTTACTATAAATAATTTTAGGTGATGATGATCCAAGAGCAAGTAGCAATGTTCTTGGGGGTAAAAAGCTTTAAAAGAAGATATCCCGAACTGAAGAGACGGACGATTGTTGGAGAGGAAAGAGATTATGTACTCAGCAAGGGTTTGGTCACAGAAGCCCTTTGTGATCTCGGTAAGTTAAATAAAATATTAACTAACTCGAAATAGGTTCGTCGTTGATTTGTACGCGGTAGAGGTGGAAGCGAGAGGTATAACAGCTAAATCTCTCTATAACCTACTAAAAGACTTGGGCCTGTCCAGAACTAACATTAAATCATTCTTGGAACGTACGTCGAAGGCAGCCCTAGTAGGTACTTTTCAAATTTGGTTAGGTAGGGAGAGAAGCTTGGACAGTGGAGGTGAGCGTATAACGCGCGTTAGATAAGGGGACCCTTAAACCTACACCTGAGTCGCAAGTCCCAGGCACTGTTGAAGCTCCTCTCCATAGCATCGTGAATCCATAGAATGCTGAGAAGTTTCGTCTCATGTATAATATTTATAATTATTAAGATAGCAGAGTTTCTTATAAAGTTATAACAATATCCATTCAGGTATAACAGCAGTGGATGCAAGCGAAGTCCTCGACATAATGCTGTCTGACTATCCTCATAAGTATGAGGAGTTCCGAAGTCATCAGAGGGAGAAGCAGTTGGCTGAACCAGCGGATGAAGTGGATGATAAGACTGAACTGAATCAGAAGGTTGAGATTAAAGAAACCAAACTCGACAGTAAACCTGAACCACCTAAGATTGACCCGGAGAAGACTAGACAGGTGACTTATATGGAATTACTATGAGTTATATGGAATTACTATGTGTTCAATGAAGGCACTTATATTTATGATAATCATTTTTTTTGTTATTTACATTTAAAAAATGCTTATTAAAATGTAAGTGTATTTAATTTTAACTGCTTCAAAATATGTACGCAGTTTTTTAAAGTTAAATAACTAGAAGTCAACCAATATTTTATATGCAATTTCATTTGATAATCAACTTCTTAGATTAGTTAAACATTTATAAATCGACAACAATTATATGGTTTTATACATTAATTATGTAATTAATGATTATAAAAAATCTAATTACCGTACCATCATTGAATGAAACTAATATTTTTCGGATGTAGTAAGCGATTTTTTTTTCGGTTTCGGCTACTTTATAGCATGATTACGGGCAGACGAGATGTGAGTGTCTGTCAGTCGGTCTTTTTATTTAATCACCTACCGCCATAGATTTCTTAATTTTCTGGCGTACCGCTCTGGATGCCGCCAGAATTCGCTGACGGTATCCCGAAGTCGACATTGAATGTTTAGATTGTGCATCTTTATTTAAATATAATTCTTCTGAGTGTGTATGTCACTGAACTTCTCTCAAACGACTGGACCGATTTCGATGAAATTTTTTGTGTGTGTTCAAGGGGATCTGGGAATGGTTTAGATCCACAATTCTGTCCGCTGGACAATGTTTTTTTAATTTATTAGAAGTTGTTGATACAAACGTTTTTTTTTTGACATTAGATTTTACAACTAACTAATATTGACATATTCATTATGTCGCACTTCAAAACACGGAGCTTCAGGGCTTTAATAGGTAAACTCCAAAAATATAAATAACAAAATCGTAACTGATATTTCTTGAGGGGCGATAGGGCGATATGAAGTTAGCCGGGTCTTCTAGTATTAATATAAATCCTATGTACAGGACATGGCAGCGGCTGCCATAGCTTCAGCCAGTGAGTTCAACGCCCGTATGAACATGCTCCGCCGCCCGGCGTGCGCTGACTTGCAGTCACTGAGCGTGTGTCGCCGGCGGCCCGCGCCCCCACCCCCCGTACTGCGAGTGGCGCCACCGGGAGGCTTCTACCCTCACGCGCTATTACCGGGACAGTATCAACATACTTATAGGGTCTACACGCCCGAGGAGCTGAGGTAAAGTGGATGCGATCGCACTATACATTTGCATTATAATTATATATGTTACCGGAAAATAACTAGACTCGTAAGTTGAACAATTTACTAGGTAGTTGATCAACTCTCGGAAAATAAAAACGGCAGTTGAAATGTGCTAATTAACGCATTGAATTTTAGGTAATTGACCAACTTACGGTACCTAGCCGTAATTTAATAATTAACTATATGCTACAAGTAAAATCATCCACGAATAGGCCAATCGTTGCCCAGTGTACTATTTGAAGTACAATATTATCCGTCACTTAATAAACAACCTAACCTAACCAATCAGCGTACACCTTGCTTTTGTCGGATGATTTAACGGCAAGACGCCGTAAATTAATAACTTACTAAAAATACATGCGTTAAACAGTACATTTCAACTGCCGTTTATTATTTTCCGAGAGTTGACCAACTACCTAGAAAATAGATCAGTTTACGAGTCTTGTTATTTTCCGGTGACATATAACATATCGTCGGGGATAGTGCAAATCCGAGTAACTAGCATTGGACAATTCTGCGTATCTACATTGGAAGCAGATTATCAGAAGAAAGATTAAGCTGAAATATTTTCTAAATTAACGACTTTTAAAGTAATAAATTAAACAGTAAATAATTGATTATTCAGTGTTTAATTACAGAGATTAGCACTATCCTCGACGATATAATTTAAAAATCAATATTTCATGAAAAAAAGTCACCAAAAAATACCCATATTTTCTTAAGAGCTGCGATGTGTTAAGTTTCAAGAGATCTAAGATGTTATTTATATGTTAATTTTTTTAATACGACGATTATTTAGTGGAAAGATGTGTGTGTATACAAATGTATTTTTTTCTTTTAACAAAAGCGTTTTGTCTTGCGTTTATAATATTTTTAGAATTATTTTTATTATCTATCAAATTAAATGCACTATCAGATGCTTTCAAAATAACATTTTCAAAATTTTTAATGAAACTAATATTTTTAGATTACTACTAGTTATTTATTTAATAAACTCCATACTCCCGAACTTCGCTTACTCAGCAGCAACCGTGTTCACGGCCAGACGAGAACTCGTAAAATAGTTTAGATCTCATTATTCTTCATTTTAATATGACCTAATAAGAAATAGTAATATTCTATATAAATCTATATAAACCATATAATTTAACTCCAGATATTTCCCCCTCAACACGGCCCTGGCTGCGCCCCCCGCTCCTTGCAGCGACTCCAGTTCAGACTCGGAGGCCGATTGGGCCGATCGATGTTCGTCATCGGAACAATCGGACGTAGCGCCCGCCAGCGCTAAGGTAAACAAAATATTCCTTACTAGTTTTTGTCCGCGACTTCGCTTCGTCTTTGGTATTGTTTTTGGAGATAATTTAATGCAACAGATATGTATCTATTTTATGTTAAGTGACTTCATACTTAATACAACTATTGTGATGTGTTCCAATGCATACAACTCTGAATCTTTTATTCAGTAAATCTTAGCCTTTGTTATTTTGTTGTCTGAGCTACACAATAGTGTATGATAAAACTTTGCAATAGCAAAGTTTTATCATGCTAAATAATATTAAGTATATTTTCCATGTAAGAACTATAAATTAATAACTATACAACCTTACACAATTTCGAATTCATAATATTCTATTTATTTATAAAATTTATTTGTCAATGTCAAGATACTTATCAGAAATTAAACAGTACTGCCAATTAGAATTAGAACACAGCTGATGTTATATTTATTTAGAATAAAAATTAAAATAGAATCGACACTTAAGGTGGTTAACTTATTAGTGTTTGTAAGCTTTGATTTAGAAAAAAACAAAATGTTCCCAAATATTATGGATTAAAAATATTAACTTTTTTTTAAAGCGAATTATGAAGTATTTCAAAGAATTTGAAGCTATAGGCAAAGATGTTGTTTGTAGCTACATTTTTAAGTTAATTCTTACATCCTCTAGAACACACTGACTTGAAAATGATAAAAAATTGACATGATAAATAATTTTTATAACAAAACTAGAAATCTTTTATAGAATTTATTTGTTCAGGTTAATTTATACTTTGCATATATATTTTTTCCCATTTGAAATACTCCATCTTAATTACAATGTTAAATTATAATAGCACAGATTCAATATATTGTGATTTATTTTAATTATGAATATAAATTTAATTTTCAGCGGAAAAAGCTTACAAAAACGAAACGCGTTAGTCAAACAGAGACGGTTGTCCCTAAAGAAGAGGAAGTGGACACGTGTCGAGCTTGTAAGATGAGGATTGAAGCAAACCGCAAGTACACGCACGAACGATTCCTTGTGTGCTCCAACTGTAACGCGAAACGTGAGTTTACACTACAAGAATCATTACAATGATTATAAAGGAAAAATTGACGATAAAAATAGCTTAAATAATATCGATTAATTATTATTTGTATAGAAAATATTTGATTGTCTACACTTACACTTCAAGACCCATTACAATGACTATAAAAGAAAATTGACGATAACTTAAATAATATCGGTTAATTTATTTGTATAGAAAATATTTCATTATCTTGTATCAAACGTTGTTGAATAAATCAAAAATTATGAGTTCATGCTATTTGAAGGAGTAGAAACGTTATCTTAAGTGTGAATAACTATCTTATATAAAATCTAATATATATATTTGTACATTTCAACTTACAGATATATCTAACAAATCACATTAAGAATGCTTTCAATGTTACTGAAATATAAATTTACATGTAAGATAAATTTAACTACCTAGTTCTTTTAACGTTAATCTATTTCACCCCTCTGTATCGCCATCTTTTTAAAGATGGTTCCACGAATGACATTTTGTTCATATACATTATACAATTACAGCGCTAAGCGCAGTAAAATTCATATAAAAGTATTAATTTCTTTACATACACTTGCTGGCCCGGCAAACGTTGTTTTGCCATATAAAAAAATAGGGGCTGGTGATAAAAAAAGTAAAAATATTGGGTTGTATGTATTTAAAAATTAAAACGAAATAGTGCGTACAAAAAAAATGGGGGTGAATAACCCTTATCACTTATTGGTGTGGAAAAATAGATAGTAGCCGATTTTCAGACCTACTGAATACGGATATAAAATTTGGTAAAAATTCTAAAAGCCGTTTCGGAGGAGTACAGGAACGAACATTGTGACACGAGAATTTTGCATATAAGGTTCTAGCTTTCTACTCGCAGCTTCGCATGCGGGGAGTTCGGTTATATCGCGTTTCCAAGAGAACCTTCCAAAAGTCTGGGATAAAAACTATCCTATGTTCTTTCTCAAGGTCAACTCTATCTCTGTACCAAATTTCATTAAAATCTGTTCAGTGGTTTAGGCGTGAAAGCGTAACAGACAGACAGGCAGAGCTACTTTCGCATTTATAATTGTCTAATATAAGACACAGCTGATCGGCGGCTCCCTTGTTAGAAATTAATATTACATATTTATATTCATAATTATGTGGGTATATGAATTACAGTCCACAGCTTAATTTTAAATATTAGTCAGTCACTAATAAACCATTACAACGCTCACACGTCTCTTCATTACAAATATTTCCGCACATTGAAAATTGAGCCTTATCGCCTTGAACAATAATATTAGTAGACTAGAAGACCTGCCGAACTTCGTATCGCCCTATAATCAAGAAATATTTATTACGTTTTTTTATTTATATTTTTGGAGTTTACCTGTAAGCCATAAATCTCCGTGTTTTGAAGTGCGACAGAATGATTGACATATTAGTTAGTTGTCAAATCTAATGTCAAAAAAACGTTTGTTTGGGAAATAGAAAAGGGCTGTTTTTATGGTTTTCCCAGTAATGAATCAATTTTTTTCAGCTTTTATACCTTCCCTGAACCTCCACGAACATTTCAAGACTAAGATAAGATAAATCCGTTCAGCTGTTCTCGAGTTTTAGCGAGACTAAGGAACAGCAATCCATTGTTATATATATAGAAGATATAATGTAAGGTTAAACAATTTATTTAACTTCCAGTTCACCCGTCGTGCGTGGAGCTGGGTCCGGACACCATTCGTAAGTGTCGCGAGTACGCGTGGCAGTGCGCCGAGTGTAAGACGTGCTGCGCTTGTTCGAGGCCCGCTGATGATGATAAGATGCTGTTCTGTGACCTGTGCGACCGAGGGTTCCACATCTACTGTGTGGGACTACACACCGTGCCCAATGGTATGTCATTGGTATAATATTAAGACCCAGTTTCACCAATCAATGTTTGTGTAAGCTAATCACAGCGTTTACTAATCAATCCTACAAAATTATAAATGTCTGTTAAAATATTTACGTCCCACTATGACAAAATAACAACGCATTATTAAACGTCATGTCAAATGACCGACTACCAAATTATTCGTTCTTGTTATAAGACGACCAAATGGAAACTATAGCGTTTAATACGGCACGTTCGCCATGATGTGATGCACCACTTTATACTTTGATCGTATATATCCCTCGATACATCACTTGTAAGCTAATGCGACCAAATTTTATATATCGTTGGTTGCATACATTTAGCACACAAGAAGCTTTTTTTCCAATTTACTAGGTGTAACTTGTCAAAATCGGGTTTTCAATAAATTGTGTTATATATATATATATATAACACAATTTATTGAATATATTTATAATATAATTATTATAAATATAGGCATAAATTGTGTTCAAATTATAAGAGATAAAAAGAAAATTTTATTTGCAATGTTATAAAAAAGCTGAAGCCAAATTAACATAAGAAATGAAATTTTAATTCACTTTACTAATAAGTACAAGGAAATAGTCGCAACTGACAAAACAGATGACGTTACTATGGTTACAAGAAATCAGGGCTGTGATTGGACAATTGAGTTTGACAATGCCATTAACATTCCGTTAGCCATTAGACGGAGCTCCAGAGCAGGAATTAATATTTGTGGCTTGTTAAGACATTTAAACGGACATTTGTGCGTGGTGGGACGCTCGATGCATCTAACAGAGCATCAAACGCATTAACACGATGTTACTTATTTAACAATGATCGGTGAAACTGGGTCTAAACGTTTATAAGAGTCTCATAAATGTTATATCTATATGTACGTATAATCCTTGTATATGTATCCGCAGGTCGCTGGCACTGCGTGGAGTGTTCCGTGTGTAAGTCGTGCGGGTCGCGGTCGGCGGGCGGGCCGGGCGGCGGGCCGGGCGACTGGCACCACCAGACGCGCCGCGGGCCCGGCGGACACAAGCTATACTCACACTCGCTGTGCACGCCCTGCGCCAGGTATACACACACACACACGCACACACACACAGACAGACACGCTGCGACTAGCTCACTACGGTCTATGGTATCGTGTCTATTATGATGTTCATGTTGTAGGGTTGGCAGGGTATCGATTTATCGCTAGGGCTGTCATGGAATACTTTATCTAGGACATTATATAGGACTATTATATAGGATTATATAGCACCTATGTGGTGATAATACTTGTGTTACGATTTTTTTCAGTCGTAGGGTTGCCAGGGAATTGGTTTTATTAGACTTTTTTAATCGTGTCTTATGAGGTGACAATAGGGTTGTCATGAATTTTTTTTTATTCGTAAGGCTGCAAATGTATTATTTACTGCACAAGAAGATTTTTTCTGACAAACGAAACACTTGTGCGTCGTTCTTTTACTCAATTGATGTGGAATAAATTAACATTGATATGACACTTTGACTTTTAGAGTTGAGACTTTGTTTCATAAACTCGACAAGCTTGCAGATGATTTGATCACACCTGACTAAGGTGTGATTTGCAAACTTTTCGTCGGTGTGAATTTCCAGTCGACTGATTTAGTCTACATAGTTACAGCTCTATATTATGAACCGGCGACCAGTCGTACAGTTTCTTTCTATAAGTTTAGAGGAATTTGTATGTGTTGTTTATTTGCGACCGATCAGGTAACTTCAATACAAGTATATTTCTATCAATTACCCGTGCCAACAGAACTCTAGAAAGCGATTCTATTGAATATATTGATCCCTCGTCTAACAGAATTGGTAAAAGAATTCAGCTTTTGTTTGAAAATCCAGATTTTTCTAAACCTTATAAACTTCCTAAGGTAATGTAACATCCACTATGTTCAGCATTAGAATCATCTGATGTAAAGTTTTTAATGTTAGATGTCGACCGTCATGAAATTTGTTCTTTTTTTTTTATATCTTAAAAAGTTGTTTAATTCGTAGGGTTGTTAAATAATTGTATTTAAGGCTACCTTTTCATAATTGTCTATTAGAATGTAATAGGGCTGTGACGGAATTATTTTTTCACAGGGTTGTTAGAGAATTGTTTTTTTTAAATATATCTTTCCATTTCTATCTACTAGGTCGTAATAAGGCTGTCATACATTTATTTTATTTTGGATCAAGACTATTTCCTGATATCCTAAAAGTAGTCAAAAATGTGGTGTCAATTCTGCTGTTAGGGTTATCATTTAGTTTTTATTCTAAGGGTTGTTAAAACTTATATAATGTTTATTCATATTGTAGGATTATCAACTGAAATATTACTCAAGGCTTGTAATTGTTCGTTTACATAAAACACAACCTCAACGTCGATAACACAACAATTTGTATAAATTTAGCACAATAATAACCTACCAGCTAACTACACAGGCGAGAGGAATAAATGGGCATAACATATATTTAATGATGGAAATTATTAAACATTTAAATTGTGTATCAAAATAAACACCATAACATACTACCTAGGTATAACTAGTTGCAACTAAGTTGAAGTTCAATATTTTTATGTTATATATGAACATATAATTTAATGACCTTTTAGAGTGGCGTGAATCATATTGAAAGATACACGCCACTTTTTATTTGAAAAATTAGTTCACTGAAATATATTATTTATATGAAAAACTATGGAGGATTCACGTAGTATGAAATAATATTCAATTGGTAGTTTTGACTATAATAATATATTTCAGTCACTCCCTATATCAATATGAGGCATTAGGCAAATAGATGCGGATTTTAGTTACTATCGATTACTCGAGTCTCAGCCAATATTATCCTCTATATATAGTGTGCGACATGTTTAAACTTTACTACTTACACAATTAGGATTCAAGACCAGGTTTATACAATTATATGAAAACTTTATCTATTATTCGACTTTATTGTACTTAGCACAAATTCTTCTTAAACAAGTGTCCAAGTGACTAATTTGTATGTATGATTTTATTTATCAACTAGTAGAACCGGAATAAATTATAACTATTACAATAGAAATATTTATATAACAAAAGTGCACTATATATTCCTGGTTCTACTAAAAAAAATATGTTATAATATTTGTGCCACTAACCGTTTATTTAGATAGACTCAAATCTGGCTATTGTTTTTCAAGTAAGGCCAAGCGGCGCAAGAACAAAACGTGAATGTTATATGACGGATGGATATTTAAAGCTCGGGACGGACGATTTATAAAAGTATTGATATATATTTTTTTTGCAAAAAGTTTCGATGATTCTATGTGTAATTATCTAACTGGTCTTGGTAGAACATATATTTTTTTGTACTCACGTCATTTCATGCGTGTTCAATGTTGACTAACACAGCTGTATCATTCCCTGTTTCCACTGTCGACGTTCGCTTTTGACTACATCGTAGCATTTTGACCCCGCATTTATATACAGTGATACTTACCCCCCCCCCCCCCCTCTCAATTAGCACATGTACCCAGCTTGCTGATTTCTACTTCATTATAATGATGATGCCTTCAACAATATATTTGGATATTATAACTCACAACATTGGCAAATAAAAGGCATTGGTGATAGTAATAAAATATTTAATGATTAAGTAAATTTTAATAGTATGTTTAAAGCGTTAGTCATTTTGCTCTGTTTTTTTTTTTCTTTCTAATTAATAATTCTTCCAAATGCCTTACAAAATTTCAATATTTTTTTCACATTTTATTGGTAAATTACCTTAATTAATTGAATATATTCATCGTAATTGAAGTAAGATGAATAGTAACAATTGTAATGGCATCATTATTCTTAGTAGAATTTGGTAACAATCTGCATGCTCCACTTCTCTTTAAGTGTAAGTTATTTCTATTAAAAAAATATTACGAAGGTTGTTTGTTAACAATGTACTGGTAGAATGTACCTGAAAATATATTTAAGTTATAATACAAGCAACCTTCTTAAAAGTATAGTAAAGCAGCTAGGATGTACGCTAGAAGTTAAACAGATATACAGAATACCGTTTGTCAAAATTATTATATATTAAATTACACTGTTTTTGTAATACGTATATTACAAAAATATTACATTAGTAATAAGCTCTCGGTCTAATATACATATGTGTCAATATCTACTTTACTGTACATTTTTCATTTATATTTTTTCTGATTGGTATTTGATTACGTTCCCATATATGATTCATGCAACATTTTTGTTATATGAAGTTTTTTTTAAATGCTGCTTCAATTAAATAGGATCATTTGGATGTCGACATCACATTCGCAGTACCAACTAACATCATTCCATACTTGTTCAACTAACTCGGGCGCAATAATAAGAATATGTTAAAGCATCAACTAACAAAAAAGATTATTATAAACTTTGTTACTTGTTTTCTGGCTCTGTACACGTTTTTGTTTATATCTCTTGTATATTTTTATCTATATTTCAAAACTACTTTCCTTACTTAAATATAATAATGAATTACTCTGTATATATTCGTATGTATGTATATATTATATACATGAACACGTCCAAGCACCTAAACATACACACATAGACATCTATATATATACAAGGAGCCAATGGATAAGTAACAAAGCGTGTGGCGCTAGCCGGCGTGGTGACCATCTGTACTAATGGCGTGTTTCTGTGTTCCGGTGCTTGTGTGTGTCGTACACAGGGCGTATCGCATCGGTCGCTACTGCCCGCTCTGCGATCGCTCCTTCATCGGGCCAAAGGGGACAATGCAGCTCGTCATTTGTAAGCTCTGCGATAGGCAACTGCATCAAGGTACGTCACCGCAGTAGATGCCTACCACAAACCTCACTCCAAGTCGCCCCACCACCGCCCTCCGGAAACATCCCCTCTCCGCCAAATACCTCTACCTACCCCCACTACAGCCCGCGCCGGGTACACGAACATGTACTTTGATATTCGTCTATCAAAGAACACGTTCAAAGCTGTTGTACTCTATAGTGCTTCTATTTGACGTAACGATACTATTTCCTCATGTCACATGATACATAAATACTATCGTTCCGTCCGATGCTTGAGCTTTCATTTTTATGCATTGAAACGCATGGTTTACATACTATCATTTTACTTTTCAATATCCTATATATATTTGTGATGTGCCGTTGTTTTTTGTCCATGATCGCTTATTAAATCTCGATGTTACAAAATCATAATAAATGTCGCCGAAACTATACAAGACGGACTCCGTTAACGATATAACACTTGAATACACTCTAGGAAGCTTGAAGTGATGTGTTAGATGTGATTAGTACAAACGTTTAGGCAACAGCATGATGTTTAAACACAGCCGGCATTGTGTAATCTGCCTTGTTTAGAGGATAGCTCTGAAGTGAAATGCAAATAGACATTGAGGGAGTAGCGCCTTCAATAAAACATATACATATTACGATATATATAATACAATAGAAATGCTGATTTTGTGTGCCTTATTTATGTAATGAACGATAGCTATTAAGAAGGAAGTACGTGAATTTTCACTCGGATTCCGAACTGTACATCAATGTATGGTAAGGAATATAATTGTATCTAATGAAGTAACATGTTCGTGTTGTGTGTCGCAGATTGCGTTAAGCAGACCACGTCTCGGCTGAAAGTATTGGACTACACGTGCGGCGAGTGTCGTCGGGGCGGCATTACGTCGCGCGCGGCCGCCGTCCGCCTGGCGCCGCGAACTATCGCTACATTGTTCATGGCGAAGCGTCGCTTCAACAAGTACGCACATCGCCAGTACCTCGAGAGCCGGGCGCGCAACCCCCACTCCAACCCCCACGATCCAGGGGTCGACAACCCCGACGACCCCCTCGACGTGTCCGACCCACTTGTATAGCTGTAATATAGTGTATTGTAATATCCCGCTTCGGTACTACGGTTGTAAGCGTAAATCGTAAATCTGATTAATATTAACCGTTAGGCTACACGCCGTCGTCTCTGGTAAGACGCCGGTATAGTTATAATTTTTCTGGCAGATCGTTTGACGTAATTGAGTGGTTATATAGCTGTAGTGAGTTCGCTAACGTATAAACTGTACAGTAATTTAATACTAACTTCACTATATGGGTAGCTGGGCAATCATACTATTTTTAATATTAATATGTTTTTTTATAAATTAGCGTTACATATGAAGTATGCATCCCCGTGTTATTTATGTTGAAGGAGTATAGGGTACGCGAGATCGAATAATGTGCTGTTTTTTTGTTATGATGATTGATTTAGATCGCCGCTGACATTGTTTAAGTGTGGTTTATATAAAGGGAAGTGTCTTAATTAGTATGTTTTCTGTGCAAATAATTTCCTCGTAAAACTGATAAATAAACTGTATATTGTAAAAATCTGCCTTTTAATGTATTTTTCATGTAATTCTTATTAAGAGAAAATGGTATATTGATTGGCAACGTCATTTATAAAATGATCTATTAAATGAAGACAGTGCGCATTTTCTTTGATTTTAGGTTAAATTTTTTTTTAGAGTATTGTTAATTTTGCTTAATAAGGTATTTATTTTAGTTATACTTTTATATGGATACAACTGTATACAACATATACCCGATTCGATGCATATATATTTATATATATTATTATATTCGGAAGAAACAAAATATATATTATGATCAATATTCAGTTGTGGGTGACTGTGATGTCCAAATGAATTTACTTATAAATATAAAAAAATACACGATTTATCAGATTCCCAAAATGAATAGACGATTATTGATTTATTGTTAAACATGTCCATTGGAACTATATCTTTAGTTTTACTGAGTGAGTGAAAATAACAGCAGCTCTTAAACTGACAATTTATTTTACACGTTTAAGACAGAATGCTAGTTATTAACTATAAGAATAACGTTATGTTGAATCATTATGTCTAAGATCGCTGTATTAATAATGTCTTATCAAATCATTACTACATTAATGTACGATTATGATCAATACGTTTCCAACTAGCGTTCTGACTTAATATCAAAGTACAAAATATAGGCTACCTTCTAATTTATTAACAATTCGCCCTGGAAATTTAATAAGCCCATTGAATGAAGATTATCAAATATATTATATATAAGATTATAGTATGATTATTTTCATTATCAAGAAATTATTTATAATAATCATGGAAATAGTATTAGTATAGACGAATTAGGTGTTTATTAATTTCTCGGGCGACGCTCAAGATTATCGATCCTATGAAACTGTTTTCATAGTGTCCCTTAGACGGTACTGTGGTTGTAACCACTAATATATAATTTACTATAATTATTAATTAGCGGTATGGTTTTTATTTTTCTGTTCTATATTTTTTTATAATGTTCATAGAAATATATGCTATAGTGTCGTATCATACAATTATTCGTTTAATTATAAGTATCAATTCTGTAACTTGTCATTAAATATAGAAATATATTAAAAATATATGCTGTATTATGCACACTTATGAACCCTTAAGAAATATGAAATAAAATGGTAACGGTTTGATCGTTACAGTTGGACTGTCTCTTGAATCTCTTAGAATTTCACGTTTGATGTTTATCAAAACTATCCTTCACCTTTACTATAAAAAACCATTATCCTTACCACAAGTTTGTATCGTCACACTTCAAATGGAGCGTTGCGAGTTTTCTATTCATAAATCTTCGCACATGATAGTATCAACATGGTTTATTGAATCGAAAACTGTTAACTCCGCGTGTAGTGTTAAAATACAGACTTGTGCTAAGGTTATTGTAGTATTCTATCGTCCCAGCGATAATATCGATATTATTGCTTCTAATTTGATACAACACTAGAAGCTTTCACTAAAGGAATATTCGAAAGGTCACCATACGCTGAATTATTAAATATAGTATCATTGCGATTGTTTCAAAGAGTATGCGTTCTCTGTACTTATGATTCTGCGCGCTATTATCATTTGACCACTGTTGTGTGCAATCGACCCTATATGTTGTGTATTATATCTTATACTAGGATATGATCAGTGACTTCGACTAGTGCTGACTAAGTGTAATGTATCTCGAGTTTAGTTTATAATTATGCTTTCTTTATTATTAATCATAATTTACTTTGTGACAATTTTTTATGATAAAATTATGTCATTTTGGATAATTTCATCGAATCATGTAACATTTTTTATTGATATACAACAACTGGTTGAGGTGTGTCTACACACCGGGAAATCGCATTGCTTTATTGACACAGGTGAATAAGACTTACTTGTAAGAGAAATAATTATAACTTTTATGTCTACTTAATGCAAGTGTAACGTTCTAGAAATCTCGCACTGTTCGGTCAATTTTGTAAAAAAAATAAAGTAAATTTAATTTGATCATTTGTTTTTTTTTTTTCGGTAAATGAAACTCAAATATGCAATAAAAATAATTTATATAATTTGACTTAAAATATGGTAAACTCGGTAGCATAATTAACAAAATATTATAAACACTGAGAAATATTCAGCAAATATATTTTTAAAACGGCAATAAAGCATCTGCATTATTTTTTTTTCTATGGGTACCTGGGGACAAGATACAATACAATAAATATATTTTATCTATAAGTTATAACGAAGTTTCAATTACATATAAAAAAACCGACAATCTTCAGACAAGACAAGAAATAAGTCAAAAGCATAATAAAAATAAAATGCTACATATAATCAAATTAACTATCAAGAACACTAGCTTGTAAATTTAACTATGTTATTTTAACTGAGCATAAATATTTCTATCATATTCTTTATATCTAATAGAATTTAAAAACAATAAATAACTTAATAAACTAGTAATAACCTAACAATATCAGAATCTATACCATCATAGTTCAATGTCATTCCTGCAGCCGAAGTCCGCTGATTGAGAGGAAAGCGAACGCGTTGTGTAGCGCCGGCACCGGCACTAGAGTGAGGGACACGCGCGCACGACACCTACTAGCGGCCGACTCACACGCTGACCACATACGATTAGGAGAAGGGGAGCCCCACACCTAAATAATACAGAAAATATACTAACATATGATAAACATTTCAAAAATGACTCATTTGACACTGGCAGAATATACACGATCATAAAAAAAGAAATACAGATAACACACAACATTAATATTTATTAAGTAAAATGTTAATTATTTGCAATCAATAGGGTCATTGCTAGAGTGGATAAATTCGCCCAACAAATAAAAACGTTGGCAAAATATACCACGATTAGATTGCGAAGTCATGGCATAAAAAAGTGGATACAATCTATAAATGTATTATTATAATAACTTTCCTTCAAGGATAATACATGAAGTTAAAGAAATTAAAGAACATCTGAAATTTCTGACGCGACTGTTTGTTGAAAAATGTTTATTTTTTTGTCTGTATTTCAATAAAAGATATTACTTAATGTGTACACATAAAATCATAAAGATATTTTTCCATAACATACAATAATATACGTTTACCTGATAGAATATCCTGACATACAGAGCCGGTTCGTCACTTGCGTCATCTTTATGACAGTCGTTGAGTAGTTTCCTCAGTACATACTCCATGACGCCCTCTAGGTCTTGTAACGTCATGTGCGTGGCGCTGGCTCGGTGACGGTCACACGACGCCGCGTCAGGGAACGACACCTGACACGTTGATGGACTCGAACCTGGGAATACGAATACATACGAATACGAATACATAGAACTAGAACATATGTGTTACATGGTAGAAGTTATGAACGATGCTATTAAGCAAAAGTAATGTTATAAATATAGATGTACATGCGTGTGCTTATGTGTATGACTGACTGACTACTCTTACACCATTATTTATATTCATTAATAATATACATAATTGTTAATTAAAAACTGTTGCAATTAATTAACAGCTTGCTATTTATTAAAAATTTTCAACTGATTTACTTAAATAATATTTAGCAGATTAAATTAAATGAACTACATATTTTGGCTTTAAATTATGAAAATGTTTGATTTTTAACAACTCTTATTGTCAATATACAAAAAATGTTTATCCCTTAATAATAGGAGAAAAAAGAAAAGTAGGTATGATAAAGTATTGTATACAGTGCTTTATAGAATATTAAGTAAATTTTGTAAGATGATTGTAGTGAATAGAAAATTAAGTTAATTGATTAATTATATATAAATAATTATTTACCAGTGGAAACATAGCACACAATAGCAGCAACAGTATTCTCATAATTCCATCTTCTATTAATAGCCACTTTGTAGTCACCCACATTACAACCAGTCTCCTCATCTACAATATATAAAATACATTAAGATACAAGCTTCTATTAATTTAACATTACATTTAAATAGTAAGATTCGAAAAACTGAACATTGGATAAATAAATTTTTGTTTCTCCACTTGACAAGCTATAAACAAATCATTTAAGTACTTCTTATTGGACACTCAGAAAAATGAAGATATTTAATTGTACAATAAGATTTTAGAATATTCTATACAATTCACTTCTTTAAAAGCGACTCCTTTTTTTGGGACTTGAAAATTATTAATGACACATTATACAATGAAGATAAATCTACCATCTTATATGTAAATTTACAAATTGTATGTATTTTCTGCATTTTATAGGTAAAATTCCAAATCACTAGAAAAAAATAGGTACTACATATATTGTAAGCTCCAGTGTGACAAAATGTAGTATGTAAGTAAGTACATTTAGCAGACCTCAAGAAGAGCGAAACATTTTGAGTAGAAAGTATAGAATCAGGGAACTCATAATTCATAAATAAAAGGTTTCTTGGAAGGTCTATTTGGGAAGCACTTATAACTATATATCGAAATTATAACATATAAGACATCATACAATCAAATCTATTATTATCAGCGTGAGCCCAAGCATGCCATTCGACGGCCGCTCCTCGTGGCAGAGCGTCAACGACTGCACACTGCACTATGGCGCCCGCCGTACGACGTTCCAACTGACGCCGCGCCTCGCGAGCGGCGCCGCGTGACGTCACATAGCACACACTCTGTTGGCGGGAAAACGAATGATATAATCCTTTGATATGTTTAATACTCTACAGATTATATATTTTTTAAGTGCTGACAGTCTATAGATATGTGACTACGGTCTTTCTCAAGCAGCTTTAGACCCAGTTTCACCAATCTTGCTGAGGCGTTTGATGCATCGAGCGTCCCACCACGCACAAATGTCCGTTTAAATGTCTTAACAAGCCACTGATATTAATTCCTGCTCTGGAGCTCCGTCTAATGGCTAACAGAATGTTAAGGGCATTGTCAAAACTCAATTGTCCAATCACAGCCCTGATTTCTTGGAACCATAGTAACGTCATCTGTTTTGTCAGTTTCGACTATTTCCTTGTACTTATTAATAAAGTGAATTAAAATTCCGTTTCCTATGATTTTGTCTCCAGCATTTTTATAACATAATAAGATATAACACAATTTATTGACAAACCGATTTTGACAGGTCACACCTAATAAATTGAAAAGAAAGCTTTTTGTGTGCCAAATGTATGCAACCAACTATATATACAATTTGGTCGCATTAGATTACAAGTGACGTATCGATGGATATATACGATCAAAGAATAAAGTAGTGCATCGTGGCAAACGTGCCGTATTAAAGGCTATAGTTTCCATTTGGTCGTCTTATAACAAGAACGAATAATTTTGTAGTCAGTCATTTGACGTGACGTTTAATATTGCGTTGTTAATTTGTCATCGTGGGACGTAAATATTTTAACAGACATTTATAATTTTTAAAGGTTGGTTAGTAAATGCTGTGTTTATAACAAACATTGATTGGTGAAACTGGGTTTTAGGATCTAAGGGCCAACCCATATAAAAAACAGTTTATTGACTATAGCTTAGCTTAAAAAAATATAATTGCAATCATTATTACGCTTATCATTATAGAATTTAAAAATAGAATTCGAATTTGAATTTCGAATGTTATTGTGTACCTGTACAACGCTCCGTATGTGAGCGCGGGGGTGAGCCGCGCGCAGTACTCGTGTCAGATGACGCAGGGCCAGCGCGCACTGCGGACGTGCCCCGCCGCGACACAGACGCATACAGCCCGCCACCAGTGCTATCTGACCACACGTGCCCACCAATTCGCCCACCTTAAAAATACCACATTATTTATTATATATAATTAGTATCTATTTTGGCATTAGTATCTAAATATTTAATGTAGATATTATAACCAGATGAATATGTCTATGAATAGCTGCCTATATTTATGTGTGATATATCTATATCAAGTTATTAAATAATAATAATTAATAATATCAAAATATTAAATTTATTACAATTATTTATTTAAGTATTTTTAAAAGTTATTTATTCATCTTTTTTTTATTTATGCCGTTGTTTATTTTAAATTCCCTCATTATATTGCTGTATAGAATCAGTAACTCTATAAAATTATAAAATCTTTCACAAACAATAAAATTACTTCACCTGTCATAAACATCAGGAATCATTAACAATGACTTGACATATTACATTACAACTTTGTAATATATTTGTATAAGAAACTGTAATTAATGTAAACAAACTCATTTCACTTTATGGCTTTATTTATAATTAGATAATTCTATGAAGATTAAATAGAATGTATGTAGTATTATCATTCAATAATAATTTTTTATAGCTATTAAAAGAAAGTCTAAAATCATATAATTTACTAAGTAATTTATATAAACTTGATAGATTTAAGGTTTTTATTTAAGATTAAAGCTATATATACCTTAACAGCTTGACTATAAGGTCCAATATTAGCTGGAGCCCAATGTGATATTCCCTGTACGTGCATCGTTGTTCGTTCCTTCACCATTCCATCGGTTTCTTGGACAAATTCGTCGTTTTGTTTGTAGGCAACCTGGAAATATATTAAGACACAATTTAGATAAAATTAAGAGTATAGAAATTTCATTCAATAGTACAAAGATTACAAAGCACTAAATAAAGCTATTAATCCACTGATTGAACAAGTATATCTTGATAAATTAATCGTTTTTTGTTAGAATTCCTTTTTTTTTATTTCTTTAACCTAAAACAGTAGTACTTCATATTTGTGATGCTTTAATCAAGTAGTCAGTTTAAGGAGACCTATAATATTGTATGTCCATCATCTACTTTGTGAACCAAATCCAATTAGTCCTTTCAAGGGGTTTCAGAAATTAATGTACACTATACTTGATTTTTTTTCCTGATCAAATACATATATTGAATTAATTTTTCATTATAGGCACAACGCGACTTAAACAGCGATGGAACATATTTACTGTCACTATATGAAACATGTAATTTTTGAGAAAGATATATATAAGTTTGTTTATAGATTGCTTTAAGGTCGACCGTCGCCCTAATTTCTAATTTGAATTTTCTTCAGGAATGTAGGTTCATGTCTCCCACTGCGACAGTTTTTTTTTTACCACTCTTAAATTTTGCTATTAATTTTTGAAATATCAGTGTGAAATAGGCGAATATTATTTCATGTATCCATATCATAATGACCTGGTGATAAGGTCTTAAAATGACTTTCAACTTGCTAAATGTTTAGAAATCACAAAGGATTTTTTTAGATTTTTTTTTAATATGAAAAATCAATAAAGGTATAAATCTCTCAAAATTATTATAGCTGGCTGATCTGGCTGAAATTAAGTATGACTATGAATCATTTAAAATACATTCTTATATCATAATATTAAAAACAATAAGCCAAAACTATTTACAACATGTAAGGCAGACCCTAGCTAAAGCCTGGAAAATGCCAGGAAGAAGAAAAACCTAGTAGTACATTCAATTAAAAATTAAGCTTGGATAATCAATTATTTATAATTTCTTGATGAGTCTTCATGACATAATAATAAAACAATGTACATTGTAACCTATCCTCATTCATCATTTTTTATAATATTTTGTAACAATTAAATACAACAATGGGTAATTAAGATACAATATGTATTATATATTGTCATCACTGAATTGCTATACATTGTATGATTAAAAAAATATAATTAATTATGTTTTGAAATATTTATTATGAAAGACAAGTTGAAATGAAGGACATGTTAAAATATTTGCTCAATAAAATGTTTGTTGTTTATGAAACTTGATGGAAGATAATTAATTATTCATTATTATTTTCATCGCCTACATAATAAAATATATGAAATACTATCAAATGTGTGTTCTAAGGTCTTATACACACTGGAAACTGCACAATAAATAGAATTAATGATAAAAATAAATGTAATGTAAATGTAGGAAACAAAGGCAAAAAAGCTTCCTGTGTCCATAGAGATATATAACTGCTAATTTTTTTAAAAAATCAATTAAATTAACTTTCTGTACTTCACTATCTCCTTCTATAGCATTTAACTAATTTAAACAAAAAATTTGGGTGGTGTGCAACAAAGAGTAGCCACGTTTAATATTCGGAAAAGAAATATGCTTATTAGTAATTAAAAAGCATGTCATTTGTGCTACCAGTTAAAACAATAATGTGATAGTAATTTAATAGCAATCATTTTTTCTAAGTGATTCTTTTATTTGACAGAAAATTAAAAGCTTTTCATGGCTAATTATGACAAAAATTATTGTGTTGCCATAATAAAAAAAACTCACCGCGTCCATTATAAGTCCAACGTCTGGCGGTAGAGGGCATTGTACACAAACACGTGTTGGAGGATTTGGAAACGAAAATGTCTTAACGTAGACTTCGTTCAATTCGTTGTATTCCTCCATAGACCTCATGTAAATGTTCACAGAACATATATGTTGTAGTTCAAGATTCACTGACGTTAGTAAACCTGAAATATTACAAATATATATAAGATTTAAATCTACTTAGGCTACGCTTCTAAATAATTGATCTGCTTATAAGGTATTTTGATGACCTTCTAATTATAATTAAATGACACTACAAAATCTCCCTAGTATAATTTTGCGTCTGGGTTACAAAAATCCGTACTAAAATACAATTAGGTAGTAGTTTTTGAGATTTTGAGATATCACTGAGAAACAAACAAAGAAACATGAAAATCGTGTATAAGACCGATTTTATATTTAACAGATTTATAGAAAGAAGTGTCCGAGAAAATAGAAGTGTCTGTTTTTAATTTAATGAATCTTTTATCATTCTAACTTATTAGATAATTAGAAAAAGTTTTTGGTGTTAAAAATAATAATTCTCATAAAGAGCGTGAGTTGAAAACCGTATAAATTGTAGTTCACTACATTATAATGCAAAACATAATATATTCATATATTAGCAAATAAATAACAATAAATTATGTAAACCGACACGCAGACATTGCAATGAGATATCACAATTGATTTGTTAGCGAATTAGTCACAGTGGCATCCTTTTAGTTTTCATAAGCTTTGTCGCGTCATACATTATTTAATGAACTAGAAATTATCCCGTCAAAGATAACAAAAAAAAATATCTGTGATCGATCGTTATAACATGCCAGTAACTAACATAAAAGTTTAAACAAGTTTACCTACTAATGAGTTTTTTCATAGCGTCCTCCGTTGCTAAAGTCGTATCTACCCCGTCGCCGACAACACCACCGATAAAGTACCAGCCTTGTTTACCGCCATATATAGATCTATGGTCTTTTACTGGATGCATTTCACTTGCATCATGTACTTCGTCGTAAAAGTAACCATCTTCTAAACTATCAGTGTAGTTTTGACTGTCAGTAGTATCCAAATCGACTTCGTTGTCACCAGCGTACGTTAGTAAAGGATTCTGATCGTTCTGTTTGATCTTCTCCTCTTGCTCTAACATCTCAATAGATTCTATTTCCGTCTCGCTCAGTTCCACATCACTTATATCACTAAATACTGTATCGCTCAAATCTTTTACAAAATCTAATGAGTTTTTAACAATTGGAGGTAGTTTGATTTTTTCGTCGTAGTTCTCCTTAGTTTCTAGATGCAGTTTTAAATTTAAATAACCGACAGAGGCCACAGGGTCCTCGCTATGTATCACCATTTGCTTTTCGTCTCTGATAACAAAAAAATTATATTATATTAACACATATTTTAGATTTAATATTATTTCAAAGTTGTACAATTCAATTACTATAGCTTGTTACTCTGATATTAATTTAATATATCAAAATTTTGAGTTAAAATAACTCAATAAATAAAAAAATTGCTATCACATTATGGTTATGGTGTTATAAAATTTGGTGCTTTTTATCATACAGTTAAATCACTGTAAGTAGATTAGAACAAATGTTTTAATTGTCAGCTGGCTTTACAATATTATTTAACAAATAATTATCTTACGTCATAACTAAATCAAAAGCTAAAATACATATTTCACTGTATGTTTGAAAACAAGATTATTTGTTTGTTCATTAATCAAGTGTCCATAATATTAAATATATGTATGTAATAACAGTTTCAAAGTGTTTCAAATTTCATTCAAGGCAAATATGTGGTCAAGAGCATATTGTATTAAATGAATATTACTTACATAACTAGTTTCTTCTTAAACAGAGGACAGTCGAGTGTAAATGTTTCGTATTCTCCGCCTTCCCCACACACATTAAGTCCATACTTCTCCTTCATGACTAGCAGATGAGGCTGAATGTCCTTGATAGTCATTCCTAGATGTATTCTAGGATCCAGGCCTAGGGCTGCTACCTATATTGTTAAATTAATTTAATAACACAATAATTATCCTTACATATATAATTCTTCTGTGAGTGTGTATGTCACTGAACTTCTCTCAAACGACTGGACCGATTTTGATGAAATTTTTTGTGTGTGTTCAAGGGTGTCTAGGAATGGTTTAGATTAACAGTTTTGTCCGCTGGACAATGTTTTTTTAATTATTTTTTAATTTATTAGTAGTTGTTGATACAAACGTTTTTTTGACATTAGATTTGACAACTAATATGTCAATCATTCTGTCGCACTTCAAAACACGGAGATTTATGGCTTTAATAGGTAAACTCCAAAAATATAAATAAAAAAACATAACAGATATTCCTTGATTATAGGGCGATACGAAGTTCGCCGGGTCTTCTAGTATATATATGTATATTAATTTACTTTTATTATGAAGTAATGACAATTCAGTTTGTACAGATAAGAATTGTATTTTTTTTTATTATTTTATGGACATGATTTAGGTCTATGGTCTGATTTTACACACAAACACTATTAACTACAGTATATAATATACAATGTTTAATCTAAAATATAATTTATCATTCCTGCTTATCAAACCAAGTACAATGTGCATAATATATGGTAGAAACTAAGTCAGAAAATCTTAAAAATAATGATGCATGTTTTATATATGATTATATAAAACATATAGACATTAAGATAATAGAGTAACATAACTATCATTAACATATAAATAACATTTGACATTATTTGAACTTTACAAATTTCTTATCTGGGGTATATTTACACATTAAATAATAATAATTAAAATATACATATTTTAGAACAATTGCTTATACACTTCATACTATGAATCTAAATGAAAATAATATTTTTCGGATGTACGCGTTTTTTATTTTTGACTATATGCTATAAACCGAAACATCGGGAGTATGTAGTTTATAATCAAAAATAAAAAACGCGTAGTACATCCAAAATATATTAGTTTCACTTAAATGAATACTCGCGAAAATCTTAGATCTCATTACTATGAATCTATTTAAATCATGAGAAGATTAATACTTCTGAAATAAGTTCAATCAGAATGTTAAGCTATAATTAACCAAATATTTTTTATTTGTTACCTTAATAATGATAGCTTCCACACCACAATTTATCATCTCTTGTAATAGTTCTTTTTGATTCCTTCTCCATAAATATGCGAGTGAGACTAAGCCGAGTCTTTGACATCTAAAATTAAATGTTAAAATGAAGCTTTCAGTTCATAAAATCAATTTAATTTACAGTAATCCTAATAATAATACTAGTAAACTTAAAACATACAACTATGTTGCTATGATCATAAGTATTAAATTCAAATTTTATAGAAAGGAATATTACAAATGAACTTTTAGTATATAAAACCATTTAATGAAAATATTATTATATGAAAATTATATATAATGCTACATTAAACTTTATTTCATTAATATTTACATATTATCTATACTAATTTCATGGTATGTCACTTTTATTTTTCTTTACAATAGCAATAATACTTGAAGAATTTATTATTTTTATTATTGTAATAATTGTATTATAAACATAAAACTAAATGTATTTTGTTCTTTAATATTATATACTCACACATTCTCAACTCTGATTCTTTGGTAATCTGACAATATGGCACCACAAGCAACCGCCTCTATATCAAGTTCGTTCTGAAACATAAATAACTTTAATACTATTCATAATTGAGAATAATAATACAGTAATTAATTTTACCTTAATCCTAGAGAGTAATCTAAACAAATCTTCAACTTCATCATTATCCGTTGGTTTATAATATCGGCCCTGGTCTACAGCTACCCCTGATATAGCTTCTCTATACAGCGGTAAGCCCATAGCCTCAGCATACAATTCTATACCTTGATGACCAACTGTCTGATACATATAGCTATCCAGTTCATCTACAATAAATATTTACTTTAATACAACCATAAATATCATCAAAATCAATTAATAATAGAAATATTATTTTTATCTCCATATAATATAACAATAACAAAAAAGAAAAACAAAACATGTGCTATATTTATGTAATTGAAATCCGAGATATCTAAATCAGTATAAGACAATAGTAACCTTTATGGGTCGGTTGGAGGTTGGCCAGGGCCACGATCGTATGCCCGGCGTCAACGCACTGCATCATGTTGTAGCAGCTGTCCTTCCCACCACTAATTAAGGCGACCGTCCTCATTTTTATATAAAACGCAGTTAAACAAATAAAAAAATTATATTAATTACATAACAATCATAATAGCTATATTGTGCGAAAACAATAATTTCACAATGCGGTATTCTTCACAACAGCACCATTATTTATATATTGTATGATCTGTCTTCCACTTTGGCTTACTTCATTTTAAGCTTGCGAAGACACTAACAAGCAGCATAGTTAATATCAATATTAAGATAACATTATTTAATTAGAAGAAAATAAGAAAAATCTTCTACTCGGGTTTATCGGAATGACATTTTTGTCACTCATCATCATGAGCTTGTGTCATCGGTCATTGTCATGATGACATTTAAACATGTTCAGAATATGTCAGGGTGAAAGTTTTTCATATTATTTTAAAGGAAAACAAAAAAATAGATATATATCGTTTGAAAGGAGTCATGTCTAACAATATAAACTTCAATATTTCTTTTGTTTAATTACTTTTAATTTTTAACAATCTAGAAGTCTTTTGCTTTTTTAATAATAATAATTGAATTTTATTTTGAATTTCACCCAAAAATCTTCAAAACATAAAATTAAAATATTACCTTACATTTGTGCTTGAATACGTTTTTTAGCTTTCTATATATTTCGAAAGTATTTGTGTTCTTAAATTCATTTAAAATAATATGATGAATATAGGCAAACAAGTTTACCATACAACAACAGTTTTACCATAGATTTTGTAAAATTTCTTATTATAAAATTTTGCTACCTTATAGTTAATTGTTTTTAATTAGTTATATATTTATAAATTCTAACAACTATTCTACCTACGTTACTTACTCGTACAATTAAATCATTCTTTGTATATTTATGCAACTAAAAGGGTGCCGTAGTATATCATATTATACTAGAAAAATACGAAGTGCGCCTTGTTGTGCGATTATGAATAACTTAGAAAAAGATTTAAAATAGTATAAATACTTAAGTCATCTTCGTAATTATACAATATAAATTGATCAGCGTTTACTTTAAAGTAATAAAAAGCGCAAAAAATAAGTTTTTTTTTAAATTCATATAATATGTTTCTCAAGTCATCTTCCTGAGCCTGTACTTACAATGTTGCCGTCTATAAAATAAGAATAAATATATTTTTATTCATATTTACGATGATTAAAAAGTATATTTTTAATAAATTAAAGATTTATAAAATAACACTAAAGTACATATTGGTTTTTCAATATTAAAACATACTTTTTACTTGGTTTAATGTATATATAAAAATTGACAAAAGTGAATGCCTTAAGTACAGGCGCCATGAAATGAACTATTAAACCCAAAGGTAGGTTTGTCAATTATTGATGCGGTGGTTTGAATCACGTTTGAATTGAAGTGCGAAGCTTCGTATATAGTTTAAGTAATCATTTATTGACGGTATTAAATATAATTCATCAATGAACTAGTTATTTGTGTAAAATTGAGTGAAACAAGTGTGATTAAGTGCAAAACGTATAATCATGGTCTTGGCTGAAAGAAATAATGATGTTCGAAATGGCAAGCGTTCGAGAGGACCAAGCCCGAATGGCCATGGTAGCCCTGATTCAAGCTCCGAGGACGAGAATGGTATGATATGGTTTACGATGGATCTGTTTTTATTTTGAGAATACACTGTGTTAAATATAACTTGTTCTTGACTACATCTTAATGTTTGGTGCCGTCTTATCGAGTGTATCTAAACATATTCTGAGTTGATAAAATTTCCTCTTTGATTGTGATTAACAACTAACTCGTCGATTTTACTGCCTCATATGAACAATTAACAAATCATACCATGCTTTATATTTACGCTTCCATTCATTTGCTTTCATGCTGCGTTCATCTCATCAAATCGTCATGTTACAACAAAACCAAGCAGTAGTGCCATTTGCAGCTGAAAAAATAAGGGTTGGTCGAGACTATCAGGCTGTGTGTCCAGAGTTGGAACCTCTGGAGCAAAGAAGACCTGATCAGATTTCGGATAGAGCTCTTTTAGTTTGGTCACCTACATGCGATATATCTGATACCAAATGTGAGTGTTTGGCACAGACTTTTGATGAATAATTATTATTTAATTTTATATTTCAAACCTTACTGTGGTTTAATGGTTTTAGTGGATGAGTATATAACAACAGCTAAAGAAAAATATGGATATAATGGTGAACAAGCTCTTGGAATGTTGTTCTGGCACAAACATGATCTCAATAGGGCTTCAATGGACCTTGCAAACTTTACACCTTTTCCTGATGAATGGACAGTGGAAGATAAAGTGTTATTTGAACAGGCTTTCCAGTTTCATGGCAAGAGCTTTCACAGAATAAGGCAAATGGTACAATTATAATCTTAAAATGTTATCAGATTAATTATTAGATAGTTATTAAAATATTCCTCTGATAGTTGCCAGATAAATCAATTGCATCATTAGTGAAGTATTACTACTCATGGAAAAAGACAAGAGCTCGTACATCATTGATGGATGTTGTAAGTGAGGGCCGTAATGCTGCTGGATCAGGCAGCGGCAAACGGGACTCCGGCGCTGGCTCAGAACCTGGTGGTTCAGATAAAGATTCCGACAATGATGAAAAGGTATGTTGCACTTTTCAATATTTCATTTGTTATGCTTCTGTACATTGACTCCTTTTTGTTATGTATGCTATCATTGAGTATCAAAATTCAAACATTTGCTACTTATAGTGTATCTGGATTGTCCAATGTTCATTGCCCTTTATCCTGGGTTGCCGAATAGGAATGCAGAGTAGATTATAACATAGTATAGAAACATTCAAACAAAAATATTTTTAAGTGATTTGTATATTGCTCTGGCAGTAATGCTAGTTATATAGTGATGTGGTTGTGTATGACAGAAGTGGACATTACACCGTGGTGTAGTTCGTGGTGGGAATGTTGGGATCTCGCGCGCCGGTGTAGAGGTAGGTCGGCTATGTATATTGGTGTCGTTTTGATGTTATACAGCATTTTTTGTTTGTGGAATATCCTTCCTAAATACCCCGCAATGTTTGGTAGACCAGCAATTTTAATGTCGAAATTATTTTGACCATTGGTGTGCATCTGTTTCTATGTTGTAACTATTGTTGACATTATCAGAACTTTAAAACATTCTCATTCATACACTGGCATCCAAAATGCCACACATCAAATTCAGCTCTTAGATATTATCCTATTATTATAAAGTTATTTGAACTGCTTTTTATAGTGGTGTGAATATATAAACTGGTTTTTATTCTCTTTAAATTTATGTCATGAAATGTTTCTATGTAATAGATAATGTGGTTAGTCAATTCAACTTGTTAATGTTAATTATGTTCAAATAGCTACATATTTATTTTATTTTTGTCGCCTTTATAGTTTTGCTTCTCATAAAGTACAACTGCTCTGCATTTTTATTACAAAATACCATTGACTGCACTCACACAATGACAAATTTATTTCTTCTCATATAAATATGTTTGTGCTTCATTAAAAATGTGAACTTTGTAAATGAATGCTTTTTGAGCTTACATTTTATGTGTATTGTGTATAATTATATAAAGGACACTATAGACTAAGGATTCTGATTTACAACAGTAAGCACTTCCTTGCCTATTCCCATAATCACCTCAATATTCCATGCATGCTTCCTTTAACAGCCCCTTTAATTTTTGTTGTAAATGTGTGCAGAATATCTTTTTTTATTTTTCTAATTCATAACGGGTTTTTAAATGAAGTGTGTGAGAAGTTGAGTCCAATTCGTGTTAGGCAAGGAGTTTTACTATAAGATATAACGAGTGGCCGATTAGGTGTAAACTATAGTGTAGGATCGGTCAGTATAGTGTTAATCGGTCGATATAGCGGCCGATTATAAAATCGGTGATATCCGTCATCTAAAGTGTGTATTGGGGTTTAGGGTGACGGAGGCGATGGGGGCAAGTGGTGCACCGTGTGCGGCATTCTGTGCTCCCAGACAACGCCGCATAACTCGCACAAGTTGTGTCAGGCATGCCTCGTGCACGCCAGGTCGGTAAACTATTTGCGATCTTATATAACACTTGCATTTATACGGGAATGACAGACATACATATAATAAAACTTTACAGTAACATTATAGCTTAATACGCGGAATGGCGCGAGTAGCTTTGTATTTAATCCGATGTAGTAGTCAGTGAATAAGACGAAGTAGTACGATGGTGATTCAGACGTGAATCATACGGGGGGTTGTATGAAATGGGTGATACAGACGGACGGGCAGTATGCGACCTCTGTGCGGGCCTTCTGGGAGGCGAGGCGCGGGCAAACAGCAGCGTTACAAGCACCGCCTGCCGCGTGGCATTTACATCAACCACGACGATCTGGTTGCCATGGCGACGGGGCCGCAACCCGGCGACCGCAACCACAACCACAACCAGAACCAGGGCGAGGCTGTCCTCAGAGCTATGGACAGAGAGATTATATCGCTGAAGAGACAAGTAAGATGCATCACAACCAGCCATGACGTAGAGCATTCACCCTTACACAGACGCTTTTAACGTATACTAATGTGTGATGTGATGTGGATGACAATAACTATGTGACGATTGTAGTGTTTATCTACAATTACAGTACACATGTAATATTAGGAGATTAACGAATTTATTCTGCACACATTACATAGTTATTTTATTATTTTAGTATATTTATTTTTTTTAGCTATCGAGAACGTTAAACACAGAGAGAGTCCTGCGGTTCTTGATTAGATTTATTTTTGGATAATCCAGATATGCACCCTCCCATCCAGCCTAGCATAGCTGTATTAAGGCCTAGTTGAGGAAAAAGATTTAGCAGATTCTAATATAAATATTACACAGGTACAACAAAACAAGCAGCAATTAAGTGCGTTGAAGCGTAAAGTTGGTGATACGGGAGTTGAGGAATTAAGACCTGGCGAACCACCGGCAAAGATAAACTCTAGATGGACTAATGATGAACTACTAATGGCAGTTACGGCTGTTAGGAAGTATGGTATGATATTAATCATTTACTCTATATCATTTATGTTTAAATTTCTCATATAATTAATCTTAGATTATCCTCAAGAAACTTTAAACTAACATTTAGTCTCTATCACCTCGAATTAATTATGTTTTTTTTTTATATTTTTATATAATATTCTTTAAAAACTAATATGTATTATAGGCAAGGATTTCCAAGCGATTGCTGAAACGCTCGGAACAAAGACGGAATCCCACATCCGTACATTTTTCATTTCTTACCGTCGCCGATACAACTTGGATGCCGTGCTAAGAGAACATGAGGCAGACAGACAAAATGAAAATCATATACAACCAGGTAACTTATTTATATACTCAATAGTTTTAACTTTTAACTCGTAATTTTATCAAATATTATCATTAAAGCAACATATATGGATCATTCTATTTGTTAACATTATGTTATCAACATTTCATAATATGGGATTTGATTATTAAAGTTTAACATGTACTTACAAATATAAGTCTATCTAAACCTAAGTGTGTATTTTATTTTGATTAGAATAACTTTTCTGATCAATGATGAAATTATGACGAAACAGTTTCTTTGTGAATCATACATTATATACATATTTCTCATATATCTAAAGGTCTACTAAATATCATGACTGCTTCTAAAAATTATACAAACATGTCTCTTACTTATAGTGCAAATTATATACATATACAGGGTGACTGGTGAATTACTATCAATATTTAAGGAGAATACTCGGTACATGATTCTCATTCGAATTATGTAAAAAAAATAGGCACTTAATTTTTGACAAAATTTCCGTATAAATAAATAAAGTGTTGACACGTTCCAAGTGTTCCAAGTGTGGACGCGTGCGGCGGCGTGCTGATACAACACCACGCCGCCGCACGCGTATGTGTGAGTGTGTGTGTATACCTAATCTGTAGGGTGTTCACACGATGCGTAATTAATTACATAACTTTTGGTTAACTTTACTTAGAAGTTTATTAATATTTATGTTATACTAGTTTTTGCCCGCGACTTCGTCCGCGTTAGTTTCGTCATTAGTGATATAGGTATAGCTGACCGGGCGAACTCTATTCCGTCTTCAATAACCCGGTATTGGTATTTATTAAATTTCTACTGTTTCAATCGAATAGAATGATTGACATATTAGTTAGTTGTCAAGTCTAATGTCAAAAATCGTTTGTATGGGAAATAGAAAAGGGCTGTTTTTTAGGCTTTTCTCGGCAATTTTTCCAATTTTTCTCACCTTTTAAACCTTCCCTGGACCTCCAGGAGTATTTCAAGACTAAAATTAGCCAAATCGGTTCAGCCGTTCCCGAGTTTTAGCGAGACCAAGGAACAGCAATCCATTTTTATATATATAGAAGATTAATTTTTATTTTGTCATATATGATCGTCAAATATCACGTCCTCAAGTATCGATAGTAATTCACCAGTCACCATGTATATAATATGATTAACTAACTATGATTAACTAACTAACTAACTGTTTGTTAGGCACAACAAGCACAGAGTCAAATGAAAATGATGTTGACAATAGTAACGCCAACAATGGAACTGGATCACCACAGACTAACGCTAAGGATGAAAAGGTAAACGATACAATTAAGTAATAATTATTATATACTAGCTTTCCGCCCGCAGCTTCGCCCGCGTGGAGTTCGGTTATACCGCGTTTCCATGAGAACCTTCCAAAAGTCTGGGATAAAAACTATCGTATTTTCTTTCTCAAGGGCAACTCCATCTCTGTACCAAATTTCATTAAAATCAGTTCAGTGGTTTACGAGTGAAAGCGTAACAGACAGGCAGACAGAGTTACTTTCGCATTTATAATATTAGTAGGGATAAGATTTTCGAAAGTACAATTTAAAATTAAACTGTGTTTTTCGGATAATTATACTACGCGATTTTATCATTTTACAAAAAAATAAACAAAACTCACAAACATGTTCATCACGTGTGCTGCAAAATAATCAAAAGGTCGGAATAATGTTAAAGTAAAATAATAAAAATCACATAGTATATCCGAAAAACATAGTTACATTCAAATTAATAATCTCTTTTATCCAATCACATTAGTTGTAAAATAAATTGTTATTAAGAGTTAACAAACTTTTAGAAATAATTTAAATTAAGAAAATTATAATTATATAATAACATTTATCAGACAGAGGTAGATAGTGAGGGAGTAGCAATCGGTGCGTCAGCTGAACAAGGAGGGCCGCCCACCACGCCACCGAAACACAAGCATGCTAAGTGATCATCACCCACCACGCCGCCTAAACACAGGCACGGAAAATGATTTGTCCATATGTATATAACATTATATTCTATGAAGGAATATGTATCATGTTTGAAATACATGATTATTGTATATATTGAGAAATGCATTATAAGTTCAATCTCATTGCTTTATGTTCACAGATCACACAAATAAATCTAGTATATATCAGTTGTGTAAAATCTAGGCATGACATGACATATTTTAAAGCATATTTTTAAATTAAATTTAGTGTCAATAATGTATAAGTCATAGTTATGAAATGATTGAAATTATAAGAAAAACTTTGGTATTATTTTAATTATTGTTTTTACTATAACATTGATTCTTCATTACAATATAAACTTATATTAGTATGTATATAAATCTGAATATTGTGTAAGAAAAAATATAATTATACTTTATCTTATATATACAGGGTGACTGGTGAATTACTATCGATACTTGAGGACGTGATATTTGACGATCATATATGACAAAATAAAAATTAATATAACATAAATATTAATAAACTTCTAAGTAAAGTTGACCAAAAGTTATGTAATTAATTACGCATCGTGTGAACACCCTACAGATTAGGTATACACACACACGCACACACACACGGCGGCGGCGTGGTGTTGTATCAGCACGCCGCCGCACGCGTCCGCACTTGGAACACTTGGAACGTGTCAACACTTTATTTATTTATACGGAAATTTTGACAAAAATTAAATGCCTATTTTTTTTACATAATTCGAATGAGAATCATGTACCGAGTATTCTCCTTAAATATTGATAGTAATTCACCAGTCACCCTGTATAAACATCACAATTTTTGCTTTTATTTCAATTTTAATTATGTATCCTGACTTGTTTTACTTGGAAAATAGAAAAAAATCTCTAGAAACATTATACTGTATATATATGTTTTAATCTCAAATTTTTCCATATTTCTTTTTCTTTTACTTAAAATATAATAGATGAAGTATAATTATAAATATACAATAATAGTTGAAATGACAACAATATATAAGTTGACTGAGTTTTTTTGGGTGTAATTGATTTCTCTAGTTATTTTTCGATAGCCTTGTAAGTATTAATATTTTAATGTACTGACATACATTCTTAGAATAATGTATAGTATAGTAAAATTTTGATCATTAAAGAAATATTAATTAAGGAGTCCTAGAACTCATTGTATAAATAATTAAATTTAAATTCATATGATCAGAAAAGTCCACTAGCACACCCATACAGAGATGGTATTTACACTAATAGAAAACATGCCATTTATATGAGATTTTCGGTTTTCAATTGAATTTATTTACATGAGTTTATATGCTTGTAAATCGCGTAGGTTTTATTGAAATAGATTTAAATTAAAAAAAATATATTAAAATATCTATAAATAATATTGATGATGGTTTGATGAGACATGTTAAGTGTTGGTGCGTTGAAGCAAACATGGTATACGCTTTAGGAGTGAATTATACATATGAGTGTAAATAAACTAACATTACTATTAAGGCTTCTATATGATAGATGTTTGAAATATAAGGTTGTTTGAATTATGCAATATTTTCCTATACTTAGATGATTATCAACAGTACGTCGAGATAAATTGTGCCTGATTCAATAAAAAGCAATACGCCTAAACCATATGTAATGTCCTTTGCGATGTAAATATTTGAATAGGATTTATAGTTTGTGATAAATATATTATGTGATTACCATACTGAATAGATTTAGTATATAATTGTTTTTTTTTTTTTATTATTGACTGATATTTTTGTTGTGGCGAGAATTATGCGCTGTTTTGTGGCATATTCAAATAAACAGAATCATAATGTGTTGTGCTTAAAATTCAGTATGCAAAGCGCTATTAATTTATTTATAAAATTAAATAAAAATATACTCCAATATTGTTTCAACTGACTAACAAAATCGTATTTGAAATTTTTAATTGTATAGATTGTGTAAGCTTCTTTAAAAAGTATGTATATAAATATGATGTACTATTTGTACTCGGTAATATGTTTTGCTGTGTAAATTCAGTGTTTTTCATAATATTAATACAGATTTAGTTCTGTTGTGGGCTTAATTTAGGGTCTACTTTATTTATAATATAAATAATTGATAATTTCGAACTCGCCTTATATATACGTCACATATACTCGCATGCTATTAAATATAACTAAATGATTTTATAAAACTTTTGACATACGACATAGTAATAGGTAGAACTTGTAATGATAATGTCCAATTGCTTTTAGCGTGACTAGCAACTAATAAGTGTATGATCGAAATTAATTTCACAAGATCTGTTAACACAAAAAAAGTCGCAAAAATTAAAACCTATTAAAAATGAATGAAGTAAATAAATATCTGACATTTATTAGAAAATCAAGTTTAAAACACTTTAATTATTGAAAATCTTTTAAGTGTTTACGAACCAAATGATCATTATACATCTTATGGGGTTTAATTTTTGCAATACTTATAAAAATAATTATTATTTTGCATTTTTGAATTAACTTTAATGTCATAATAATTTCAATCAATGTTATACATGCACGTTTAGTGGGAGTCTATTATTTGTGTACTAATGTACAATAATATATGATCATTATTTTATCAACACAAATTATAGAGTAGTTTGTTAATATAAACAACATATTGACCATATTTTTCTACACATAAAAGACATCTCGATTAATAAAAAACTTCAATCACTAGTATAGAAAGTTATTGTTAGAATTAAAAATATATATATAGGTTTTAAGTTCCTTATTCACTTGTAATGGATCCTAATATAATTATTGCTAGTTTTAATATGTACATCACTTATGATGATCATGTTTATACAAAGATGTGGTTACCGATATTATAATCGTTTAGGAACTACTGTAGAAAGAATCATGGTATCACTTTAAAAATTCTAAAATGGCAACATTGATTTCTATATTAAAAAAATCCGCCTAAATTTGCGTTAGCAATCTTTTAAAAATTATATGTATATTTGTAAGTTTTAATATGTACTGTAGCGGTGACTACTGTAATAATATCTTTTCTATATTTTTTTAACAACCTATTTAGTTTATTATAATTTTATTAAGATGATATTAATCGTAAAATTCATGCTTCTAATTACAATTACTTAATATTATAGAAGCGTGCTATCGATGGCGTGAATCGTATTATGGGATTTTAATTATAGATAATTTGGTGTTTCTCTTTAAAGTTAAATATGTTAATGAAGTATAAAATTACACAAAAAAAATATAATAATAATAATATTATTTTAAGTATCGGTTGATGGGTTTTATTTAATTTAGTATTTTTTTGTAAATATTGAATATTAATTCGCACGTCCAAGTGTAGGCGACCGGCTCTGACGGACTACGGCTAGTTTAAATTAGTTTATTTGATGTGGCACACTTAAACCTAAACACTCCAAAGAAATCCACACAATGAAGTCATCTTATTTATTGATGCTAATTAGAGCTAGTAGAGAAATTTGTTACAGAATTAAATTATTTTTTATTAGTGTATTGTGTTCTGTATATTAAGCATATTGATAATTTTAGTTAATGAAGTGTTCTTTTATCAATAAGTTAAGCTCAACCTGCTGTTTCGACATCTGGCAGTGCTTTTATAAAATTATTGTTCTCTGTATTTCTAACATTCGTAATGTTTGAATTAAGGATATTCAATAAACATAAGTATATATTATTATGATATTTTATTTGTAGTTGTCGACCTTGATACTTGCACTTGCAATTTATTCTAGATTTGTCGATTGATTCATTGGTATAAAGAAGCATTACTTAATTGCTTCAAGTTTTCTATCCTTACGATGCCAACTCTGAACATATAAAGATATAATAGTTATTATTGTATATTAATAAATAATTTTAGTTTAAGGGTTTAAAGAAATGAATTTTAACAATCTTGTAACAAAATAACGCCATCTATATAACGAATCGTGACTTCATACAATTTACAAGTCTACCGTGTTCCCGCAGAAACAGCAGTTACATTTCGCAATAGATAAATGCCTACATGTTTTTAAGAAGCACATATGTATTTTGCGCTGAATTCAGTTTTCGTTTTCATAATATTAGAATGTTTCTTTTAAAAGGCAGGTTTCGAGTTTATTCTTTTTCTAAAAAATCTATGTCACATTCTTGACATTGAAGTTGGCATAATTCTCTAAAATATATGGAATATTTATATTTATATAATAAAAAGAAAGTAAAATCAAAATATGACTTCTAGAATCGTAAGGACTCCGCTGGGTCGGTTGCGTTTAGCTGAAATTGAAGATGCTCAGTTTATTATGTCGCTGGTAAACGAGTCTGTATCGAAAAATTTTCGAGTGTTTGAAGTTTCGGACGTAATCTATCTCATGTATGAAACTTTAATATGTAATAACAAATTATTATTTGATTTAGATTAAAACGCCTATGACTTAGTTCAATTGAATTGTTTATTTCAGCGAGAACTGTATACTTTCTATTTGTCAGTTAGATACAAATGATACAATAGTTGGATTTTTATCACTTAAAGATTATCCGCTTGTGCCTGCAGTTTCGCCAGCCGCTTGGGAAGATTTTGTGTGGACGAAGTTTAAGTAAAAGTCATATACAGTGTAAACTCTATATAACGACACTCGATTTAACGACAAACTCTCTAAAGCGTCGAAATCATTTGACTTTGGTTGGTTTAGCTTGTTTACCATACAATGATACACTCTACATAGCGGCACACCCACTCTCAATAACGACAACAATTAAGTAATAAAAAGTACCTTTTAGGTTGCTAAAATTAGTAAAAACTGTGCAGCTGTGTACGTTCCTTTGTCGCTTTGGTATCCTAGCCCGCAATAAACTCGACTGTCCCTATCATGCATACCGAACTTTCTAAGAAATTCGTTCTTTTGTTTACAATTACAAATTGCTTACGCGTGTCGACGGTTTTTGACCATAAGTAGGAGTCTTGTATTACTTATACGTTATCATATTCTCAGTTGCTCACAAAATCTCAAACTGTAAACATGGCTAGTAAAAGAAAATCACTGTGTGTTGACGAAAAAGTGTTACTGATACGCGCAATAGAAACGGGAGAGAAGATAAGCGATGTTGGCAAACGCTTTGGATTTAGTCGCTCTACCGTGTATACAATATGGAAAAATAACCAGAGTGTGATCAAAAGCCTCAAGGGTCACTACAGAAAGAAATTATTGATGGAGCTAGTCGAATCTGAGGGTAAAACTACTGTTAATATGCTGCATGCAGTAAATTTTTTATCTAAAGATTGGGAAGAAGTGACACCCACAACTATACAGCACTCTCTTCGACATGCTGGACTTTGTACCAATTCTACGAGTGATGAGGTGGAAACAGAACCTGAGTTTGATAGGGACGACGAACTTTCATTAACTAAGTGGATTCAATAGTTTAACATGGCAGGAAATACGGTAAATCTTCAAACCTACATGGAAGTAGATGACTGCCTCCTTACAACGGCTTCACTCACAGACAAAGAAATTTTAGATTCAGTGAGAAAAACTGAGGATCAACAGCAAGGAGATAAAGAAGATGAGACAGATGAGCCTGAGCCTCCGCCGAGCATTAAAGAAGCTTTTGAAGTAGCTAAAGTACTGGAAAATTATTTCTTTTATCACCAAGATGCCTCAATATCGCAAGATATTAATAAAAGAACTAAAAAAATACAACAACAGTACTGGTGCAGCAAAAGACGTCAAACAAAAATAACTGACTATACGCAATAGCGTTCGAATAACATTCTTTTTTATCTTTTTTAAACTTTGTCTTTTTCTAATTCTGATTTTTGTTCATTCTATTTAACGGCAACTCTCTATAACGCACTAAAATGCACGGTCCCTTCAGTGTCGTTATATAGAGTTTACACTGTATATACATATTATAAAACAACAAAGATTAATTAAATATATTTAATGATTATTATTAATGATTTATTGTTTTAGAGCTATAGAACTAAATGCAAGGAATTCTCTCTTTATCCATATGCTATGCTGGAATCCAATTTATGCTCGTGACGTTGTGGACAGCCTTTTAAAGTCTGTATTTATGCATGATCCTTACTTGCAGTACATCGGTGTCATGAAATCTTTGGTTAAACATCAATGTGAGTTCCACTTTATTTTACTATCTTTTGACAAAGCTGGGAGTGTTTACAACAATTTTTTTTTGACATGTGTTCTCAGAATTCAGATAAGCACATCGGTTTAAGATGTGTTTCTTCTTAACCAAATATATTTCATATTCGTGTTTATGATAATTCAGAAACCCGAATATGAAATATATTTGTCCATTAGTCCATAGTTATTTTTTTAACTATTAGTTTCGGATATATCACAAAAAAGCTCAAAAATCTATTCCACATTGTTAGTTCATTTATTTGTTTGAAAATCACTCTTCTTGACAGAAATGTACCGATTTAGAATTTTTTAGTTTATAATGTACCAAAAGGCAACAGTTACATTTCAGGATAGTTTTTTTTTTCGTAAGCTGTTACTGTACTGTTACGATATTGCAAAGTTTTATTTTTGTAATATCACTTTTTCTTGAAGTAGAGTATATCTTTAAAATTACTTTACTATTTTATCAAGCGATGAAGATTTATTGCTGTTTTCCCCTAGTGTTGGTACCTGGACAGTCACGTTCTGAGTCTTCGTTCAAACACTGCCAGGCGCTAGAGCGAGGTGTTCCTGGTGATCAGCTACCTTCTCTTTGGATCGCTGAACGCAAAGAAGTCTGTCCCAGACTCAGAATACGAAGAGCCGTGTATGATAATATTCTTTAGTTTTACGAAAAGCCATAGTATAATATTTGGATAAGCCCCTATGGCTTCTGTGAAAATAATTGTATGAAAAAGTGATAAATGTGACAAAGACGATAACTATGTCTATACAAACTTCAACATTTGAATACGTCATAAAGGAAAGGAAGTGTGACGTCATAGTAAATATTAATTTGGAATCAATATAACAATATCAGAAATGTTGATTTATATTTAGATAGTTCTAAAAGGTCCTTTTTATGAAAGTAAATAATTTTAAAGAAGTTTTAGATTTTTTTTCGTAAGTATTCGTCTTTATTGTTAGGATAAATAAAATAGAAAAATTCTAGTTTTGCTATTTCAATGTATTATATTGCCGACGTTAGTAAGTTTTATTGTAATAATGCAATTGTGAAAAAGATCAAACATCTTAAAATAGTAATGAATATAGAAGGTTAAATAGCAGATTCAAAGAGAAAAGAAAAGTGTGGAAGCTTTTAATAAAGTTTCTTGATAACATGACCTATGAAATTCTTAGTCTTAATTTAACTTAAAAAATACAGAATAAGTTTTTTTAAGCAACAGTGCAAAGAATTATTTTCAATAAATTAATTATATTGTTATAATGTAGGGAAGAAGATAATGATGATATAGTTCCTATAATCGAACGGCACTCGCCAAGACTGAAGGAGCTTTACGGGGAATTCTATATTAGCGAACTTATATCAAGACACCCTGAATCGGAACGAGTGTTGCTAGTTTGTGAGGTACCTTAAACATATATCAAAATTATTTTTATGACTAATTATAATCAATTATAACATTGAATCATTGTAATTTTGTAATGGCAACATTATATCACTTTGTATTTGAAAAATATGAATGCTGGCTTCAGACATTTTGTAAGACATTTAAGTAAAGTTGAACATTAAAATCAAGTCTGAAACTGTACCTCGAACACATATTACTTATATTGTATTTATATAATATGTAGAGATTGGATGTTTAATTGGTGCAAAACTAAAAAAAAGTTTCAATAAATTTTGCGTCACAGCTTAATAGGAACAAAATACAATAATTTATATTATGTTTAGTTTTGGAATTCTTTGTTGTTCTAAAATAATAATATGTAAAGAAAAAATTAAATTGCTTTATGACTTTTTCTAGCACAAAGAACTGGCTGTAGGTGTGATGTGTCTTAACACTCAGATTAATTACGAGGCTTTGGAGGAAAGCTTTGAACTTTCACCTTTCGCTGGTCTGAGACACCTTGACAGACCGCCTCAACCTCGAGAACATGACTCTGCTACAAGGTTTCCTTGATATTCTACATATGTAGAATTGTATAATTCTTGATAATTTAATACTTTGCTCCAGTTTATATGCCACAGGGACGGTAAATAACTTCCAGGACTTGCACGTATCTGAATCGAATCCAGATATTCCATCGACGAAGGACCAAAAATCAAGAGCAAGTATCTTTATTTACATATTTTATATTTTTGTTAAAAAAAAAACAGTTTTTAAGATAACTTGTATATGTTGATGATCAAAAATTAAATTTTAAATTTCGAATGCAACTTTAGAAAGGAGTAGCTAGTTATTGAATATTACAATCGTAACATAATTGACTTTAATAAAAGTTAGGAACTCAATAAGACGGTTTTTTTATGTTTGTTACATGATCTAACTATAAAATGTGCCTTGTTTTGAAGATAATTTACATTTGTTTTAAAGTTTAAATAAATGTCTTCTTAAGAAGATATTGCTTAAGAAGTACATAATTGTAGGTCACCTGGATATTTGAAGAAGATGCTTTTAAATACATTAACAAAGACATAGACACCCGTCCGAAGTGTCCATTAACGACCAGCTCTCAACTGGACATCCTCAACTTACTTGAAGATGATGAAGACGAGTTTGAATACGACATCGTCAATATTGACACTGATTTACTACGACTGCCGCGACTGTTTACCAATGAAGGATTAATGTACAGGCGGAAGTATGAATATTGTATTATAATACCAAAATATATTGATATTTGAGATCTTTTTTTCACAAAACTACAAGCAATTTAAGTGAATATTTGTTTGAAATTGATTAGAAGTAATTGATTTGAATATCAGTAGTTTTGTTTTTATTACAAAGCATTATAAAGTCACACAGGTTTTCAGACGACAGCAAATTGTATCGCGTCGAGTCGGCGTACGACAATAAGTATATAGATCAGGAAAAACCAAAGAAACTTTGTGAGTTCTTGTTAATAAACCTATTTGATGCGTTTGAATAAGCAGCTTCTGGGCTGGTTTAGAAATACTTTTATTTCCGAATGATATTGACTCCGCGGTGCATAGTTTTCTATTTAAACTGTAATGGACAAAGTCGTATTTATAACTAGTATTATTTTGATTTGAAATGAACATTTATTTTATATTAGATTTAACGAACTATATATAGGTATTAACTTATTTTATAATTGAAATATCTATTGTCTAGTAATGATGTAGTATTGGATGGGTTTTGATTGTTATTTTGTATTCAGCGACAGTTAATAGCATATTCACGCCTACAAAGCCTCCGGAACCAACACGTTACTCTGGCAAACCGAATGCCTTTCTCCTGGAATTATTCGCTATGCATCCTGATTATGACGAAAGGTATTTGTAAATTTTGTCATATTTATTGATAATTTAATATAATATTTTAAACGTATGAAAAATATCCTTTTTCTTTGCGACTTTTATTGTATAACAGATATGGTTTTGATATGCTGGAAGTAGCTTATGAGTTATTCCCGGACAGAGCTTATTGCGTCATGTGTTTGCCCTCAAGCCATACTTGTTTTCCTCTCCTTGAGCATTTTACGGTAGGTACATTACTTACGATTATTTGATAGTAATAGCTATAAAATATATGTAGAATAAGTTTAGACTAATGATAAAAGTATATTTGCAGCTGGTAACACCATTTAGCTTTCGTATGCGATTTATGAACCAAACTTTGTACGTGGCACATATAAATTCTGTTCGGGGGTAAGTATTTACATATACTTTGGTCTGTTTTATTTGAAATTACCTAATAACTCGAAATTTGTTTCGTCTGAAAGTTTTAGCTAATGATCAAACCGACAATCTCGTTTTTTAAATATATTCAATTGGAATTTGAACCATATATTTCAGTGACGTGAGAGTACGTCCAGCAGAGGCGTATGATTATCCCAGCTTAAATAGGATTCTTGAACACGCACCAAGGAAGCAAGATCTTCTGGAGTTGTTTGAGAACAGTTTGACATCAGGCTCGCTGTCATCTCACGTGTTGCTGAGTCAAAATCAACCCATTGGCTTGGCTGTACTAGGGTTTGTGTTAAAAATCTGATTTAAATGTTTTATTCTGTACCTAGAATACAATAATTGTATTATTTAGACCGCGTTTCTTTAGTTAAATCTCTTTAAATATATTTTTTTATGAAACTTATTATTATTTATGAATATTAGAACAAACTTAATCTTGATTCATTTAAAGTAAACGAAATTTAGAATAAAATGTAAAATAAAAAACGCGACTCTTATTCAAAAATCAGGTCTTAATTGTATCATGTATGTAGTTGTACAATTCTTAGATATTAATAATTATATATATTTCTCAAGAATACTTAACGTAGTCTCAACAATATGTATGAAGGATGAACACTTAAAGCATATATATTTATAATATTTATTTTGGATTGCTTTAAATTTGACTGTAATTTTTTTTTTTATTTAGTCCACTAGAAGATGCGACCTCTGTCAGAACTCAATACGATTTAGACCCAGAAGCAACTAGATGTGGTACTGATGCGTCTGTGAGTTAGATTTAAGCCTTAAAATAGTGTGAATATTAATTTTTATTTTTGAATATATTTCAAAGAAGTTCTTTAGATTCTAGCTTGCGTTATGTCGCCAATAATGGAACCTCATGGCAGATGGTATTTACGCGATTTATTGAGACAGACGCAATATTCAAGTTTGTTTTGGGTCTGTCGTCTCTTTGCAAAGGGAGATGCGGTAATTTTAATTTTTGTATTTATGTATGACTGTTGTTATGGTTACACGTAATTATTGTGATTGTAATATAAAAATATGTATATTTTTTTGTAATTAATGTAATTCATGGCTTGATTTTAAATTGTAGAGTCCATGGCGTAATTTAATGTCGTTGGCGAGTTTCATGATTCCGGTTCGTCCGAGACGTTTCCTTCCTAATATTGGTGGTATTAAAGATTTGGATAAAGTTGTTAAATATATGTGAGTTGGTTTGTTCTTAGTTTCGATATATTAATAAATTTAAAGCTGTTTTATTTTCTAATATTATAACTTTCTCTTAAGTTACGAGTACTATCAAATCGTTTAATAAACAAATACAGGTTCTTACATTATTTTAATATAATAGTAGATATGGTATGTTTCATAAATATATTCAGGCAATCGAATAGGCAGACCCTGGCTAAAGCTGGGAAATTGCCAGGTAGAAGATGATTCAGGCAAGCGAATATATTTATGAAAAATACATATTTCTATATTAATTTAGTTTTAATATCTATTCTATAGCAGTCATAAACAATTTATGGATATTTTTCAGAGCGACTCCATTTGCTTTATGGTCTATTAAACGTTCCCTCACCAGTATGTCGAAGGTTTATGTCAATAACAGTATTGTTATAGTAGGCGCTAGTCGAACTGGTCTAGCGTTCCTGGAAACATTGCTTATCGGGTAAATCTATAGCTATAATTGTTAATTTTCTTATGATATTTTAATTTTTATTATTCTGCATGGTAAGCAATCAGAAAACAGTAATAATAGCTAACAAAATTAATAATGTTGTTTTGTTGTTCATTTAAAATTTACCATTCATGTTAATAATAATCATAAAGATATACCTTAATTTCATATAAAATTTTTAGGTATTGTGCTTTGTTCTATTTAAAAAATGTTTTCTACTCGAAAATTTTCCGAACGAAAGTTGTCCCATGGCCGATGTTTCTTGCTAACGTTGAGATATATTGTGTATATGTAACATTTGAACATTATTGCATATTAAATAAATTATAGAACTTTTAGTAAATGTATAAGGAATATAGTTAGTGATTTAAATACGTTCTTTTTGTGTATCTAGAATCACTCATAGTAGTGACCAAGTCAGATGAATATGCCCCATCGAACTGGCTATATGCATGTAAAAACCCGAGGCATAGCTTGTACATCATACAAAGTCGGAATAAACATTACCATTTCAGCCCAACCTCCCCATATCTAACATTCACTCACATAACATTGGTTTCTCACCACGGCCTGCCGACTGTAGCCGACAGTGCACACGCTGCGGAAATATGCGTGCCTAAAGAAGGAAGATACACCGATAGATATCTTAAGAGTGTACCGTTTTATTACTACGTTGATGTCATGTCAGCTATCATGATAGAAATAGACAGGTAAACAGATTTATGATTGATAATTGGTATCATAATTTATGAGAGGAAATTCATAGTTATGTTTCCAGGAAGAAAAAATGCATACACTTTAAAGGAGGTGGCGTTAAGTTTTACGACGAACTGGTGTTGACTTGCGGTCAGCAGTTCCAACATCCTGAATATTTGAAAGACTCGATCACATTGGCTCAGGAAGTTGAGTGAGTTGATAAGTTATTAATGTTTCATGAATAAGAATTTGGATTGTGAGATATAAGACTTTCGCGAGTATTCACTTTAATAAAACTAATGTTTTTCGGATTACTGAGCCTATTTTATTTAAAAAAAAATGCACACTCCTGACAGATACGAAACCTCTTATCATTCAATGGATTCACCGTGTGGGTGCCAGGTCCATCGCGTTGTAGTGAGAGGAGCTTCAACAGTGCCTGGGACTTGCGACCCAAGTGTAGGTTTAAGGGGCCCCTTTCTAATGCTCGCTAAACGCTCACCTCAACCGTCCAAGCTCCTCTTTCTTCTTCTTCCTGGCAATTTGCCAGCTTTAGCCAGGGTCTGTCTTACATATTGTGAATAGTTTTGGCTAATTGTTTTTATGACCGGCCGCCTGCCTGACATCAACCCTCTTTGGGAATGCATTAATCAGTGATGTCTAAATACTCTTAGAAAGTACATATGACTCGGAAAAATCACATTGGTACTTGCCAGGATCGAACCCGCGCCCTCGTGTATAAAAGGCGGGCATTTTTACCACTAGGCCCCCACTGACTTAAAGATCCAAGCTCCTCTCTTTACCCAACCAAATTTGAAAAGAACCGATTATTAGGGCTGTTTTCGGAGTACGTTCTTGAAGAATAAATCGATTACTTTTCAGCAACTGTAATCACTGTAGTATGCAGTTTTTAAAAAATAATAAAACACGCGTAGTAATCCGAAACATATTAGTACTTGAATTTTTAAAATTACATATTATATGTAGTATACTGAAATAGTACTGATAATTAATTTATAATGTCTTTGCAAATAGACAAGGCAAGCCATGCAATAGGATTCTTATGGACAATCCAAAATACGAGCCGGATCACGTACCGCCTTTACCTGATATTCCTAACAATGTAATGCTTATCAATTCATTGTTCGAGGCCAACACTTGTTTGAGAAACTTAAAAAGATTGATCTCTGAAACTAGTAAGTGATTTAATTGATAAAATACATTTAAAGGGAATAAAAATGAATGTTTTGTATTTTGTCTTAGAAAATACAAGCCAGTCTTTGAGTACGGAGAATCAAGTGGTTGTTTACGGCGACTGTATAGAAGCATACAGTTGTATCTCAGCGTTAATCGAGTTCGGAATTTCGCCAAAAATGATAACATTTGTTGAGCCGTTCCCGCCACTGGACAGGACTTCGTTACGGGTCAACTGTTTCAATGACGAAACTGTTAGAATTTAATATACTTTTTAAATAACTTTATGTATATATTTGTATGAAAGTTTTTATACTATTTGCTTTTATTTCCAAGGTGGATGAAAGAGTACAGGCTAGTATAGAGCACCTGGGTATTCGTACATACCGCCAATGTCATTACGACGGCTGGTCCCAACGAGGCCCGCGCGTTGAGTTTCTACGACTAATGTCGCCATTACATGCTATACATCTACCATGCTTCGCACTATTCTATTACGGAATTAAAGCCATCGATTTGAACGCATTCAAAGGTTTTAATTATTTATTGATTTATTATTGTGCAGTAACTTTTGTTGAATATGTATAACTTACTAATACTTAAAAAATGTAGTCCTACTTTAAATATCAACTTTATTTAACAAATTGTTTGATTCTGGTTTATATCTTCTTCTATGTTTATTAATACGTATTGAATTTTCACCAAATTCCGTCACATTTAAGCCAATAAAGCAAAAAATACTTTCGATTTTAAACTGTTAGTAGGTACAATAATATAGTGAATAGATAATTGTACATATTTAAATGAATCTTATTATTGTACATAGCTATAAATGAAAGCGGTCTTGTATATGACGGTGGTTTAGTAGTTGGGCCCAAGTTTGACACAAACGATCCTTGCGTTTGGGCCGCCGGGCCTTGCGTGAGGTATTCAAGGAGATTGTACGCGCCCAGGGAACTACATAAATATTACTGCTCTGAAGATGTAGGGGAAGAGGTTAGTTAGAATTTTTGTGTGGGGAATGATTTATGAACTTGATAGTTCAAGATTGAAAAAGGAGGGATCTTTTATCTTGGAATAAACATTAACTATGGCCTTGAAATATGTAGTGTGAGATACTTACATAATTTTAAAATGTGATTCATTAGTAGACTTAGACTAAGATTTCGATTATCTGATATATTTCTTAATTATATGAATTTTGCCAAACTTATAAAATTCTGTGACATATGGCATCCAAAGCTATCTTCTAAATTAAAATCATCATTTTATCAATTTAGAGTCAATCTGGATGGAATAGATAATAGTAGAGTCACTTTGATTTATCAAAGTTTCTAAAATAACTTATCATGATCTTCCTATTTCAGTCTTGTATAAGTTAAACATTTTATAATAAAACTACTTTTAACTCATCTATATTAATGCCAACAAACAGTCTGCTATAATAATTTGTTTATCGGGTAATGTGACTTTGGTCTGGATAGTTTTTCGATATTTGTAAAACATTATAAAAGTTTCACCTATGTATCTTTATTTTGATTACTCCTTAATTCTATTTATTAACTACAATCCAGTACGATGGATATAAATTTTAATATCATAAGTTAACATTAATATTTAAGGAACAATGAATAGTAAGTAAGAAGATGTTCATTTCACAGCTAGCAAGACAATTTTTGAAGAAACTAAATCCATTCGAAGTTGCCAAATTACATATGGAAAGTATGTCTTCTGAAACAATACACGCGCCGAGTTCTAGTTTGTTCAGGTATATATATACATACATACATACATTTATGATTCTTACCATTTTCTAGAAAGTTCTATTATGCTTTTAAAATAAAATTTACATTTATTAAATGTGGACAAGTATAAGGTTAAAAGTAATTGTGAATTTAATAGTAGTTATGATATTTTTTTTGTCACAGATTTCAGAGTTCTCATGCAAGCATCTGTAGTAGAACATCTTTCTGCAGCGCTAAGACGTAAGTTAGAAAAATATTATTTAATAAATAATTCAAATAGATTACTTATACAAAGTAGGACAAAATGTTAGGCCTAGTAGAAAATGCGTTGTCCTTAGACCCTGACAAGATTTGTATGTTCTTCAGAAAATTAAAAAAATAAATAATGAAGGATTATTTGGTTTGAAGATTAAGTGGTACTGAATGCGATAGTACTTAAATATAAAAAATTAACCATAATCTTTATTATGAGCATTTTCACTAGTAATAAAATAAAGATTATAAGTAATATATCTCTGTATATATATTTTTTTATATATGTATTTTTGTATGTATGTAAATTGAATGTATGTATGTTAGGGATAAAGATATGTATTAGTATATTTATTTGTATTTAGTGTGTAATGTATTTATTTATAAAAAAAAATCTACCTTAATGTTATAATAATTAATCAGTAGTTTGTTGATAGTGTACCTACACTAAAATTTTATATTTCAAATGGCCTCCCTTTATTCAGGATTTCTGGAAGAGATCTCTTGTAAGAGATAAGATATTCCTTTGTACACATCTGTTATTGATAATTTTCTATATACTCGGTTGGTACAAAAATAAATAAATAAATAAATAAATAAAATATCCTATATATATCTAGAAAGTGGCAGCCAGTAATGAAATTCGACTCCCCGATAGTGGTGTCAGCTACATTACCAGGTGACCTGCATTATATGAAGCTGAGGAAACCAGGAGAAGATGTACCGAGGGCCGTACAACTTACACTGCCTTCACAGGTCTATCATTTTTAGTTGAAAACATATTTTTGTATGGAACTTTACTCTACTTAGAACACTATTGAATTATGCTAGTGCTAGTTGTGTGAAGATTCGAGTTCCATCAAGGAGTATTCCTAAAGAATAATTTTGACTACTTTTCCATAACGATACTAAAGTTTTTAAACATTGAAAAGAAAATGTCTCGTTACAAAAGGATTGTTTTCATTTCAACACAAAAACTAGATGTCGAAATAATAATTTATAAATGTAAGGATTAAATATCAAATGATTAAGAATAATTTGTAGACATTTTAAACATAAACTTAAATATTTGAGATTACAATTTTAATTCGATACAATAAAAAACAAATTTATTGAATAATTATATTTTATTTATTATCTTCTTCTCTTACGCCACACATCTATCTGTTATCTAGTGTTCTTAAACGTTATGTTGAGGTTCTTCTCCATGTAAGGATTTATACAGTGTTTTGTATATCCAAAAATCTACGTATTTGTGACTTAACAATAATTCCCAGGGCCATACGCTAACAACGGACAAGCGAAACAATTATTTCAGGCTTCAAATGAACTCATTACACTGCATTGAGTCCATCACTTGTCTGTCAAAGAAGCAGTTCAGTTGTGAGACACTCGCACAACTTTATGGTAGACACGAGGCCTTCTTTAATAATTTACTTACCAGGTTTAAGGTACAATCACCGTAAAAAGTACTGCTTATAATATAATTAAAATAAATTGAGTTTATTTGGGAAGATATTATGTTTCAGATGAACTTAATTGATGATCTGTACGCATATTTCTCTAAGACATGGACAGCGGCTTTATATCAGGAACCGTTTGTTAACTTGTTGCAAGATATTTACGATCACGGTGGTGACACGGTACGTAGAGTATTTAACTTATTATCTTAAATGAAAATATACTTCGAACTTAGAATTTATATCTAAGAAATATGCTACAAGTCCCTAAGAGTTTTTTTTGGTCGTGATTCAGAGCTTTTACTTTTATATATGATTGTATATTAAAAAACGTTAGTTAACAAATACATACTTTTATCTAAAGGTCTATGACGTTGTAAAGACGAAGTACAATGAACTAAACGACAAAGATTTCACTGAACCAATTAGGGATAATACTTACGAAGACTTGATAATGGCGATGGACTGTAAGGTAAGCGTTGTTGGAATTTTCTTTATTAAAAAAGACATACTTTAAATTGAAATATTATATTTAAAAAATAATGATTTCTAGAGCATTCTCTTGCATATATATTTGTAAGTTTCTCATTTATTATATTAATAGTAATTTTTTAAATCTTCTATAGGATTGCGGTCACAATAAAACCTTACGTCAGGAAACCAGAATCTTCTGGAACTCAATCGGTGGTGAAGACATCGTAAACACTCACCTCGCAAGATATCTCCACAAGAATATGATCACGAATCCACATTACGCTATGCCTGACCCTGAGTATCTTAAATAAATAAATAAACAAATGAATAAGTTACATTTATTTACTAAACCATCCCAGTTAAAATGTTCGAATCGAAAAGTAGAAAGAGCTATTAATGTTCAGTGATAATGTAAAGAATTAACAGGAGATTTTTTAATCTTAAACAATTCTTAAGTAATTTTCTATTTAAACTAGTACGTAGTAGTAGTATTTCACATATTGAAAGTCCATTACGATAAAGGATAATTTATTAATTTCTGAAATATAAAAACACTTAAATTTTTTTAAATATATTTATACCTATCTATATATCTTATAGGTATAGGAAAATCTGCCTCTTGTCTGTTTATAAATTAGTGTATAAAATGAAATACAACATTACCTTTTGACAATTTATTTAATTTTACACATGTTCATTATAAGACCTTAAAATAATATTTACATCAAAACGCACAAGATGGCCGGCGGCTGTAGACAACGAATAAACTATAGATCATAAACTGTACAGGTTGAAATAAATACAATGAATTATATTAATTATTGAAACTACTTTATTATTATTATAAACTGACTAGATTTAACATTTGGCGCGGGTTTAACTCAACGCATTGGCAATTTAAAATTTCGAAATGTTCATAACAGAAATAAATCGATGTTATTTTTTAAGTATTTTTATAGAATAGTGTTAAAATATCAAAGTGAATACAAATATTTGGCTGTCAAATATTTGCTGAATGCGTTTTAGCTTTATGAAAGGTAATGTGACACTTGCATTTGCTTTCCGCGGGAACAATTTACGGACTCAAAAACAGAGTGACATTTGAATTTCACAAAAAGTGTGTCACGAAAGTTCAGTCCATATAAGCACTGAAAGTTATTGCTTATTTAAGTTAGTTTATGTGAAAATTTACCAGCAAGTTTTCCACGTTGGAGTAAATTTTAAATTAACTTACTGCCGTCATAGAATTGTTTGTTCTTTACTTCGTTTGCTATAAATAATTAAATTGCCAATGTAAATGATTTTTTTTTCTATTATAATACACATAAGTGGCCTCTTAATATAAAATTTTACTAAATAATAATTAATAAATGTTACAATATCGTTGAGCTGGTAACACCTTAATATAATGCAAAACATTTCATATGTACACGGGCATTAAAATTTATTGCTATGACTAATTTATTTATATGTATTATTTTTGACAGTTCCTTAAAAACACTTCAAGTACTATATAAATTATTTTGAGAATTTTATATTTATTTTAATCCATAGATTATAAATATTAGTAGTATTAATGTATTATCTGTTATAAAAACGTCACATTAAGGAAACTGTCAAAATTTTAACTTATTTTATTAATACAACAATCAAGAAAATATTATACCTTATGCTATCAATTCGAAATGGCTGTACAAGACTAGCATACACAAGTATTGGAAAACATTCCTCATATAATTAAAATTCTATTTTGTACCTATACATAGATCTAAATACTTACATCGTGAAAGCCAACGGTTCGATGGGCTTACAGGATTCATTAATTAATTATTTTTCTCTACAATATGAGTTGTGATTTGAGTAGAAAAATTAGAATTAAATTATTTATTTGACTATATGGCTTTGGACAAAAATCAAGTGACGCTTAGGGAGCAAATTTTTCAACATCGGATAAGTGAAAGCCGGGTAATATTAATTGTAATTCACGATACAAATCTGTTATTGACTTAAAAATAATCACTCAAGAGTTTTTTCGTTATTTTTCACAAACTATACACTTCGATGACATAAATGTGATGCTAATACACTATTACCAGTTGTTTCCTTGTAATATGCAGGTGATATATTATTACTTATTACCATGCATTCTTAAACACTCATTGTCCGAGTGTTCACGGCGTATAGTCGTGCGCCGACGGATAGTCGGCGTGTAGTAGCGATTAGGTTTGGTATTGTAACATTGGCGCGGGAAGGTTCGCGTGGCTGTTCACGCTGTTCATCCGTAGAGCGGACAGCGATTTGTTGTACCACTCATCCTCAGCTGTCATGCCTGAGGTGCGAGCGAGATGGAATACAATATACAAGTTATTCTATTACACAAAAAAAAAACATATCAGAAATTATTTGAATTTGGAATGAAGATTAACAACCGATTTGATATACATTACCAATGAATTTTAAATTTGGAATGTAGATTAATAAGCATTCAGAAAACTTATAGAAAAGTATTATGTAAAATATATTAGATAAATTTAATTTTGAAACATGGATTAAAAAAAAATATTAAATAAACTTCATAAAAATTAAAGTACCTAAAGTTACAGAACATGTATTTGGTTTAATTTTGTTTTACATAAGAGAATTCAACACGCTTAATATACATTTGGGAGGGAAGCGAATACGTCGAAACCGTACCCTTACCGCATAGTGATAGACATAAATGTAGCTAGAAGTGTCTGAGGGGTCGACTAGTGAGGCTCGAGCGACCCTCGCGTTTTCTCAAGATGCAATCTCGCCGCAGGAAATAAGATATTTGCGAAGACGCCGCGGCTACGCCCGCCAAAGTAAATGTAGTGGAAATTTTCTTATTAGAATCTACGGTACGATGCCTCGCTTCCATTACCCGCTTTTTTTCCTACGCAGGAATCCCGCTGGCGGCGGTTGAGTTACACGCTTTAACGCATCGGATAAGAAATTGGTATATAATGTTCCTTACATACATACTCGAAAGATTATCGTTAAAACGAGTAAGTATGTAGGTATTGAGATGCCCCTAACACCAATTCGATAAACCCTTACTAACTCATATTTTAATAATTTTTTATTAAATAATTTACTTGTGTGATATATTTTTTTTGCCACTGTAACAAAAACTTTTTTTTTCCCGATACCAAAAAAGAAATATATGCCTCTATCTTACTTGTACTTAACAGTAAATAAACGTATAGTTAAAAGCAATGAACAACTATTTCTACTTACAAGAAGTAAGAAACTTTGCAACACAACCAGTTAACTCGCAATATAGTTTAGATGGAGACTAAGTAAGAAACATATCTTAAATTTATTCAGCACAAGTTATCGTCTTGAGTTGAGCAAATTTATAATCTCCGGCCGCAAACTCAAGGATCATTGAATTAGTGAAACGTAGTGACGTCTCCGAGAACACGAATAAGTACATTTATTAAAGGAAACGTCACATATAAATTGAGATAGATAAAAATAACTTGGATTAATTTATTTTTAAGTTTACATCTTCTGAAGTGGAGGAATGTTTAAAAATTTATGTTTTTGTAGGCGTATTCGAAATTGTCTTTGTATGTAGCGTACATACGACGCGTTAACACTTTTACATTCATAAATAAGACACCTTAGTGTGTAGTGACCTTTTTACATTCAAAAGTTTTCCAACGTGGGCTTTTGAAAGATAACCGACAAACGCTTTGAATGTAGTATGATGTTGCAAACTTGGACTAAGAATGTACTGAATATTCTGTTGATATTATATCATTGACATTACTAAATATAATGAGTTTTTTTGCAATAATTTTTTTCCCTTTTTATATAGACCATAAATAAGTTTAGGATGTTCTTAAAGGAGAGAAAGAATGTGACTTAAACTATAAACTTCATTCAATTCATAACACATACTTTAAATTGTCACAAAGTAACGTTTTACCAACTTTAATAGCGTTTAGTCCGCTTTGACGTTGCTATGACAACCAAAAAAAAAACAGTTTCCTAGAACAAAGAAGGAGCACTCGCGACTTTAACAAATTCTAATTAAGTTTTATTCTTTTTTAAATATCATCTGTCGGAGCTTAGCCTCGGCCAGAGAGCAAGTTTTCTCATTATTATAAGGGATATTTGTGTAAAAACGTAGCTACGATCATCCGGGAGCCTCAACTTTATAATTGCCTTGACGGTTCTAATAGAAAGTTGATGAAAGCTGCCTCCGACCGACGTCTAGCTACTTGTTTTACTTCCAACTTACATCCCAGTTCGTTCTCGATCTAATTTCGCATTATTCAGTGTAAGGTGCGGCCGGAGTCAGGAACTAATTTGATATTGTTACTGTATTGTTTACATAGTGGCGATGATTTAGTCTTAATATATACTAGTATATATACGAATAAAACGACTAGAAATATGATACACAATAAGAATATTAAAGGTTTGGGAATTATCACGTCTTAGTTATGACGATTATTTTAAATCTCTTCATGTTTTTTCAAGCGAATTTTTCATTTATTTCCTTTATAATAGCGTCTCAAACACTTTATATATATAAATTCTTACCCATGGTATCCTGTCTCATGCCTACGGCGCTCATGTTGGCACCGTGTCCCATAGAAAAGCCTTGGGGCATCGGATACGACCCTCCGCCCATTTGGGATAACGAGAATATGTCCTTTTGAAGTTCTTCGTAACTGCCGTGGTGCTATAGAAAAGAATATTTATAAATAAACCAGAAATTGAGATCAAAATAACAAAAAAAACATCTTTAAATTAAAAAAAAACCTCACAAGCAAATCTACTTATAAAAGTATGAACTGTTTTTAGATATAATATAGAGTTACTATTATTTTTAATATTTTAATTGTTCGTATTACAGTTTTAAGATTTTATATTAAAAGGATGAATATTGTGAGGAATTAACTTTTGCGTAGACAATTGATCTCGTACAATATCAAAAATAAACTTCACTGTCTGATATCAAATAAGATTAAAATTGAATTTATTTCCATAGAAATATATATAAATGACATACATATACATATATTATCAAATTTAATTCTTTTTAATAATTCAATGTAATGATAATCATATATATACTTTTATATAGTAATAGCAAAAAGGTTGTAATAGCTAAAGAAGTCTATAGTTGAAGATATTTTTTATTGTAACTATATCTCATATACATATCTTTTAACATTTCCCGATATGTTGTTTTTCGTACGTCCAATGTTAATATGTAAATTATCTGGAACGTTCGCGGCTGTATTTTATCACGATCAACACTTCGCTAATGGCTATTACGATGCCTTTCAAACTATTCAAACCACTGCAATTACCACCACCAGATTTATATTCATATATAAAATGGATTAAAACGATTATAATATACCAATATCCGACGAATTATGAACGAAATTACATAGAAATTGATAATTTTACGTGTACTTTATGATATAAATGTTATTTATATGTTAAAAAATAATGCTGTACAATATCTTCGTATGATACAAAGTGTGTCATATGAGGGCGCATAACGAATTGTATTGTTCTGTATGTAGGACGCACAGATATTTGCATTATTTTCGACGGTCGCATGCAATCTCATTACTTTGTAATCAGAGCGACTGATTAGCGACGCGTAACGACGTATTTGAATACATATGTACATTGTAGATATGTTCTTCTTCAGACTTTGTAGCTATATGTACGGTGTACCTATATGAAAGTTATTTAAATTAAATTATTCCCAATAATGAGATCTAAGATTTTCGCGAGTACTCATTTAAATGAAACTAATGTTTTTCGGATTTTACTTCGCGTTTTATTTTTGATTAGATCTCGTCTGCCCGTGATCACGGTTGCTGGAAAGTAGTCGAAACGTCGGGAGTATGTAGTTTCTAATCAAAAATAAAACGCGAAGTAAAATCCGAAAAACATTAGTTTCATTTATTCCCAATAACATAAACTAGATGTGAATAAAAAGAAAAAGATTTGAATTATTTTTTTAATTCTCATTCATAAAAATTTAGCGGTATATAGTGTAAAAGTTATTTCTAAATACAAATTATTATTTAACAGATAATGTAAATGATGTGGATTTTAAGCTTAACTTTATTCTGTTACAAAACCCCATTGTAATGTCAATTAATCCACTAGTGTCCGTTTTAAGTAGGTGGTTGTGTACAAAAATGGAAACAGAAATTTTCGATTTTTATAACCGACCCCGATGATTTCAAACAATTTAGCTTTTGATTAGGAATTCTAAATTTAAATATATGTATTTCAAATTTCGGCTTAATTATTTTGGTTTTATATTTAGTTATAATATTAATTTGATTCACTCATTTTGTTTAACTTTGTATTCTACTGTTAATAAAATAAAGATTACTTTTCTACGATGATGAACTTCTTTGTGGTAGCAGCGATTTAAGCTGGAAGGTCTAATAATATAAGTTAAGATGCTCTATAAATATTGGTTTGAGCATGTCGTTGTATTACATTTTGATTTCCAAAACAAATCAAGTGATAGTCTGCCAAATGTATGTATACATAATGAAAAAAATATATAGAGCTTATAACAAATTAGAAATGATTTTACGAAAACCAAGTTCATGTAGCTTGAAACAAATTTGATTGGTCAGTATGTTCAATAAAAATGAATAATTTACGAAATAAGAAACAGTCATCATATTGATTGAACTCAGGTTAACTGGCGCAATCTTTTTTGAAGTTAAATGTGTCTGGAGAAATTTCCTAGATTCAGGTTACATAATAATGGTACATTTTCTTTGTCTACTGGTTTAAACCAGAACTAAAAGATTTTAAATGCGAGGACTTAATGTTTGGCGACCTCTACTTTAAAAATCTTCATGAAAATTCTGGACTCCAGACTGTCCTTGGAATAAGTCAGGTCCTTTGTTTTAAGCAAACTGATTGAAAGTCTCTGACACCCGATATTTTCTTTGCTTAAAATCGAATTCTGATTACATCTTTTTTGGAATTAAGGATTTTCATTTGGAAGAAAATCTTCTACACTAATGCGGCGGTATAAATCACTTTTAAAGATTTCATGTACCATGTTTCCTGCCTTCTAAAATTTATTAATACAAATATGAAACAGCTAGTTTCGGCTACTTTACAGTAAGTGAGTACAGGAACATAAGATAAAAGTGTGGGTCAGTTGGTCTTGTTTTTTTTTTTTCGTTACTAAGAAATTGTTAACGATATAGCACCAAGATGTTTCGATGTGAATTAAAACAAAATAACTTTAAGTAAACAGATCTTAATTAAAACTTTTATGTAAAATTCGCCTAAAGTCTTGCGATGTGTTAGGTGTAGGTACAGAGTGTAGCTTGATTCTTGTGTGTGCTATTTAGCAAACAGTGGAATATAAATACACTTATTTGATCCCTTAATGTAAAATATCTATTATATGTACAGGATTTGGAAGAGTTTTGGTGTGGTCGTTGTAATATTTTAAGGTCTATTTACCCGGCAGCTAAATATAAATCTTTCTTATTTTATGTAAAATGTGTGTAATATCTAGATATTTTGAGAAATGTTTGAGATGTGTTTGGTAAAAAGCATAGAATTTGTATTCCAATACAAACTCTATGCTATATTAATATTCATATCAAGATTAGATTTAATATTTAGACGAATTTTTAATGTATCCGACTCTTCTAAATACGACTTATACATAATCGTTTTCTATTACTTTTGAAATGACAATGAGGGCTCCTTTTCGAAACCTGGCAAGTACCAATGTGATTTTTCCGAGTCATATGTACTTCCTAAGAGTATTTAGACACCACTGACAGACGGTGAAGGAAAAAATCATGAGAAAACCTGGACTTATAATTTTAAATTTTAACTTTGAAATTACGAACTCGTCTTGAGCAAGCGTGGTGATTAATGCTCAAACCTTCTCCATGTGAGAAGAAGCTATGCTCAGCAGTGGGCTCTGATAGGCTGATGATGATGATAATGTCTTACCTGTGGATATCTATTGATGGTGTTAGGATGTGGGTACGGCTGGTACCCTCTGTATCCTTGGATGTTCCGCATCATTCCATTGCAGCCCGGCAATACAGCAGGTGCAAGCGCTTTCTGGAGCTGCTTCTCCTGTTTGCGGTATTTTGCGCGACGGTTTTGGAACCAAACCTGATGAGAATTATATTATTTCTATTATGGTTAATGCATTGAGTTTGATTTTCGTATAAAATAGTTTATTATATTACAATGTTAATTATACATTCAATTGAATAAGGAAGTTCATTTGTAGGAGAATAAGCAGAGATCACTTGAAATATATTATTGTGGATAGACATGTATTCAAACATTTTTATGAATATAGATTTGTAATTTGATAGAAACCGTAACAAGAAGTGTCGTAATTTTAATATTATCTTATTCTGACAATTAATTATTATACAAATATTTATATAATACCCGCTTTTATTTTAACATAGGTACATATTTTGGTGTAGTTTGTATAACTCCTGACTCAGGGTCGTTAAAGCTACATAATTCATCTAACAAAAAACAAAGTAAAATATAAAACAGCGTGCCGTAATCTGTGTTGTCAACGGGAATGAGGCGTACTTTGATATGGTGATTACAGCTGATTAGAGGGAGAGGGTCTAAGAGCCGCCCTCAAACACACTCCCCATATAAATAAAACGATACCAACCCACCATTTGTAACATCACTAATGTGAACCCTATACTTAACGTAATAAGGACCATATCATATAGTACATGGTATATAAGATGGGGGGAATAGAACATAAATGGGATATTAGTTTTTTAGCAAAGCAATTCGACATCCGTCCCTCGCCGAGCGCGTTGTGATGAAAAACGAACCAATTTCCGAACGTATTTAGACCGATATGTTACAATATTTTATTTGATACAATTTTTGTGAATTCATTCTTTGTTCTTTTTTTATATTACTTAATATATAATATTAGTAGGTATATAATTTAAAACAGATAAAACAATGTATACTAGCACACAATAGACCAAAAGCTTATGTTATGCTGATAAGTTCCTCCTCATACATTAGATGTAGACATTTTACCGGTTTATATTTAATATGAGCGATATAAATAAAGCGTACTTATAAACGTTTAATGTATTCAAAGTTAAACTCAATAAGACATCTCAAAGACATTTCACCCTATAACAAAAGCAAAGATAAGTACCTACGTATTTATCAGAACGGCATGTTATCCGGAGAAAATGGTCGCTTTTAAACTGAAAAAGCAAGGATCCAACAAAACATTTTCTTATTTCCAATTGTAGAATTCATTTGAGGGCAGAGACAATGTCGAGAGGCGCGCGGGGAGGATGAGCGTCTAACTTCGTTACGGATCCATTTGATGGGATTGCAATGCCTGAGGGGCAATCCCCCCCCGGCCCCCACACTCCCAACACCCCCTCTCGCCTCCAACGTTGTATTTTTATATCGAAATTCCCTCTTGAAAGAGGGCGCCCGACGTCGCTGTCGTCTTTAACGTTTACATTCTTATGTAGCGTCGCCCGAACGTTAATAGCCTTCTACGGAGCGCGCGTGAACGGGTGTACATACTATAGCCACTTATGTGTACAGAATACATTGTGTGCGTACATTTTACGAGCTTTTAGCGACAGAATGTATGCAAAAGTCTTCGTTGTAATGACATTTTACGAACCTTTCATATTTTAAGTACGACTTTGTCTCCGTGAAACAGTAATTTGTTGATTATGTGTAGGTATCTATGTACATATTATATGCCATATAAATATTACAATAAAAATATTCATCTAGTTTTTTTTATACTCTTTGTATCTTTGTATCATTAATGATTTCAAAACAATTGACAATTACTATCTAAGTGTAGTTTTAATATCGCTTATAGTTATTTTATTATTATTTTTTTCCTCTACACTAATACGAAATAAATTTTTAGGTGAAACGCTTTAAAAAACTTATAAGAAAATAAAGTTCGGAATAAAATATCTAAAGCTTTGAATTAACGGAGCACTCCTGGGACAAATAAATAGCTTTTGCCCCGAGGGATGTAACAATTTTAAAACTGAGATAAGGATCGTCCGCGTTCGCGACTAACTGTAAGCATTTCGTATTCATATAGCCGAGGACGACAGATGGCGCTTTAATTCAATCTGCCTCCGGCCTACGCTCCAAATTATATTACCCACGTATTCGCGCATCATTGATATTTCGACAATTCCATATAAGAAAAAGTGCGACGAACCAACATATAACGTACATTGCTAAAATAAAAACAATACCACATTTTATATCGAAGTTCGAAATTGGTCTCTTTTACATTCGTATGTGGAAATTTTATATGAAATCTTATTTTTCTGACATAAGTCTACTTTTATCCCACAAAAATTTGACTGACCTGTATCCTCGCTTCGTTAAGTTTCGTCGTCCGCGCCAGTTCCTCTCTGCAATATATGTCAGGATAGTGTGATTTTGCGAAGGCTGCCTCCAATTCAGCTAATTGTTCCTATGAAAAGTATTATATATTTTAATATTATCGATCATTGTCGCTCATCGCTAAACTATCTAAAAGAGATCTAAACTATATTAAAATTAAGAATTTATTGTCGTCAGTACATATTTCAAAAATCATGGCCACAAAAAGAAAGTCACCTATAGTTATACAACTCCAAATTGGGATTTTTTTTAAAGGAATTAATGAAATACGTGTCTTAATTTAACTGATGACCACAGTTTAAAAACGAAAGTCATTTTCAAATACAATTCCAAATTGGGATTTTTTTTAAGAGAAGAAGATGAAATACCTGTGTAAATGTGGTTCTATGGCGTCTTCTGGCTGGTGTGGGGCACGAGGCAGTTGTTGGGGTATGACCAGCATGCTGAGGCCCAAGCGACGGTGACAATGCTGAAGTACCACCAGTTACTGCCCCGCCTGGTTCAGGCTTCAATTTCTTGAACGCTCCTTCAGCTATTAAAAACGGTATGGAATGAAGCTACAAGTTCCTGCATTGATATTTCAAATTTTATTTGACAAAAAAGCTATAAATTTAATACACGTCTGTTACTATAAGTTGCTCCACAAGATTTTGAGTTGGATGTAAATTTTTTCGTAAGGTCCGATAATAATTCGACCCCATTTAGATCGGTTCCAAGTCAAAAAAACGCCTTATTTGCATAGCGGGCCGAATCGATCCTTGCCGTAGGTCAAGTTCAGCTCGGGCGTAATTGTAATTGCGTTGCTTTAATACTGTTACAGTTAATGATTCGGCACCGACTTCGTGCACTCTCTGAACAGATTGTTCATCAATAGTTCACCAATGGGCTTAGCTATGAGAGCCGTTTGTCTAGGCATATGTCTACGTAATACGTATTTTCAGTGTGTATTTAAATTCAGTATGGGAAGTAAATACGTCTGAATTAAAAAATGTACCAAAGACTGAAGTTCACATTGAAATCAATGAATAACGATTTGAATAAAATTTCAATCTATAAACTTAATAAGAGTTATGATCTTTCAAATCGCAGGCGGAAATCATGCCATAATCAGATTATTACTTCACCTGGTTCATCCACATGCTTTCACATATTCAAGTCTTTAAGCTCGTTTCTCTAAAAAATCGTATATTGGCGACATAATCAGTTTACCTTTGGTTTCTCTGAGCTTCGAAATTAAGAGGGGGAAATTTTAAAAGCACCGTCGGAGGTCGGTTTGGCAAGTATTCATGCATTCCCTTTGATGGCGTTCCAGCTACTTATTAATTAACATGGAGTTAAGTGTTTGCGTCCGCGGTAAACGGAGCCTTTTAACGTTTAAAAGGTTCTTTTTTATTTGCATCTATGTTTTTAGAGGCTTTGGCGGTACATATCGGTTCGGCTTTTTGCTTGACATTTTATGGTAATAGGATTATTTTAACGTGATTTCTTTTAAACATTTCAAAGCTTTTTTCTACCATGTACATTTTTCGGAGAACATCGCAAATATTGCTGTTTCTATACAGCTTGAGGGGATGAAAGGTGACAAAGTCACGAGTGACTTGCGACAAGTCAACGCACAATATTTATTTGTAGCACAATGCAATGAACATTTGTTCGGGGGCGTAACAAAGATTCAATGTAACATGTCATTAGGGGGCCCTAATCCCCTAATTATGACGATTGACATAAAAGCGCCATCTGTGGCCGGCGAGAGGTGTCGGGTGACTGAACCGGGAGAGGTGTGGATGTAAGCGTTTTAATTCCTTCAAGAGGATTTATCTAATGCAACTACGAAGTACCAAAATGAAGATTCAAACATGCTGTTTTTTTATATTTTTTATTATTTTATTCTAACGCTTTCAAATACAATAAAGAAACCTACAAGCTTAAAGTTTATATAACCCTTATCGAAAGACAAAATGTAACTATAATTTACCCTAAAAAAACTGTCCAGAACAATTACCAAATATAAATTCGAGAATACTTGAAAAAAATCGCAATTTTTATTTCAAAAATATAAAACTATTCCGTACTGGCACCCCCCGGCTACCAGCGGGATATCAACTCCCCCGGAGTCCATATGTTGTCAAGTCCTTAATAGATTCATAATCGGCGCAAATGCCGCAAATCCCTTTGATTACGATCTTCATACAGATAGTATCTTGCGATGATACCCTCTTGTTTACTGTTGTATCATTTGAGAATATTTTATTGTTAGTTTTGTATAGTGTATCCTTCTAATCGGATGTGGTATTGCTAATAATATATTGTTTATATACCAGTTAAAATGTAACTGATCATGTTTTTAAATGTTATTTACATTTGATATCTGATCGTATTTAAGGATATATTATTTTAAATAATATAATAACAGTAAAACTATGAGAATAAACAGGTTTAAAAATATGTAACGTGTTTTTTAATTCACTTTGTACATGTCTCAAATGATGAAATATATTTTATAAATATAAATCATAAGCTACAAAATTACACATTTTTTTTATATGTACCAAAATATACTGACATTCTGGAAGATAAATTTTCAAATAGAAAAAATTTAAGACTTCGCGGAATACTAGATGAAATACCAGTGTAATTATTTAAGTAATACGCACATTACTATGACTTTTAATCCTTGTAATTTGAAAAGAATTTAAAATATTTAAGAAAGTATTAAAGAGTAAAAAAAATTCTTTGTTCCTTTGCTAACAATTTTAACTAATCAGTTGTAGATCGAAGTTATTTAACTTAAAATTGTGTTTGCTTCCAAATCAAACAAAAATGTCCTCTAAAATTAATATAAAAGAAAAAAAATATTTCACTTAACCCGTTGGACATTTGTGACTTTTTCTAGTGGCAGCTGATCGGGGTCCGTAATTACAATGGATTTATCGGATTTGGAGGGTTTTACTCGGCAGGCAGCGGCGCGTGCGCACCACTCCATTATGTCGAGTAGCCTCTTCACGAGTGATTTATTTATGCGCATATTGCTTCTCTATTAACATATTTTGTTTGTCATATTACCTATTTATATAGAACTAATGATTTATATGAAAAAAATATTTTTATAATTCAAAATGATCACAATATTATTTTCATATCATAAAATAGTTATACTTTTGATCTTATGAATGACGAGTTTTGTTAATGTGCTATTGTTAAAAAAATAACTGCTCTTGAATACGTATAGCGATGAAAATAAAGTTCTGTGTAAAGGCAGGTGTAAAATCCGGGGAACGATGACAAATAATGCACCCGACCGCCACGCGCCCGCTATTATAATAAACCGCATAGCTTCTGACACCTCATGTGTACATCCCCATTCATACATACCCATGGCCATGGAACGACCATTACAACACTTTTATACCACTATAATAATATTGTTGACAATATTAAACTCTTACAAATTTATTGCTGTCAACTTAACAGCTGAATTGTTTTGTAGCTATTCAAATGTTTTTTTCATCTTTAGAGTTCTTATGCACATTATTGGTATATTATTTTACTATAATTAAGACTATATAATAAGCGTATTTAGACACCATTGACAGATGGTGAAGAAAAACATCGTAAGGAAACCTGGACTTATAATTTCAAATTGTAAGTTTAAAATTGCCAACCCGTCTTGAGCAAGCGTGGTGATTAGTGCTCAAACCTTGTCCATGTGAGAAGAGGCCTTTGCTCAGCAGTGGGCTCTGATAGGCTGATGATGATGATAAAGAAGGTTATAACTAGTTAGTTTATTTATCATGAATGGAAGATTCATGTAGATATGAGGTTAGCTCTTGATAAATAATTTGTATATACTAATTGGTAAATTAATTTACCTGTAATCGTTTAGATAACGACCGGAATTATTGTAGGTATTGTATTAGTTCTGTTAAATTGCTTCAACAGTGATCAGTGTGTATGAAATGATATTTTTGTATAAACTATTCGTTTTGCAGTTTTTTGTTAGTAAGTCAGAATATTGTGCAAAAAATGTTAGTTTTTGCAAAATTTTAAGGCATATTTAATGATTTGTTTCTATTATCAACAGTTATGCTTTCACGTCATGTTATTGGGCAACAAAACGGTATATTTGGTGCAATAATAAGAGGTGTAGATGATGGAATAAATATATTCAGGAATAGCTTAGACGTCGGTATAAGATCTTTTATTAATCACGAACCGTCAGAAAATAATGACCTAACCTTCAAAGGAGACGAGTCAGAATTCAATCAAAATCAGGACAGTTTTGAATCAGAAGAACCATATAGCAGTACTTCTAGACAGCGTCATGAAGAAGATTCTATGTCAGAAGAAACTCATAAACAAAAAGATGAATATTTAATACCAAAAAAGGACCCGATTAATCATACGTCTTTACCCGTTCATACGCGAAAACCTCAGAATGTCACAAAGGCTATTAAACATGTGGCACCTACTAAAGAAATACTTCTGGGTAATGGCTATATAAGTAATGCTACACTGATAGAAAAAGACGATTTCCTATCTGTAGACAAAATAAATGTAAGTTTAACAAAAAATAAAGATTATTCAGCCGCCAATATAACAACCATGCTCAATGATATAATAAATGAAACTTCAAAGCCTCTAATAATAGTAGTGAACGGTACTGTGATAGAAAATACTGTACCTAAAGTATCAGTTGTAAATAATTCAACAATAAATCTTAATTCCACACAAACAGTACTTAATGATACCGTTAAGAATGATAATGACAAAAATGTTATGAAATCAATTACTAAGACGAAGTTTTTCTTCCAAGTACAACCTTTAAGACCAATGAATGATATTAAAAGTGAAAACGAAACAATTTATTATATAGATAAATGATATAATTCACACATAAGTATATATTTATTTTGGTAAATGTACTTTTTGATACACATACATTCGTCTTTCCCATTGCGTTGAAAATTGAATATCTTGTTGAAGTAATGTTTTATTAATATTGTTATAATGACGGAAATATATGTATAACAATGATTTAAAATAAGTCTGTTAATTTTTATGATATTTAAAATGGTATTCATTTAATTGTCGTATAAATTATCAATGTAGCAATATCTTTATATTAAAACTATCTACTTTGGAAGTAAAACTACCTTCCTGGATTTGAAATGGTATTCTGCTGTAGGTGTATTAGGTGTTACGGTGCATGTTATTCGTTTTAAACTTTCCTTCAATATGAGTATTTGTGTTATTGAAATTTAAATGTTAATATGTGTATTCTATTAAACTTAAATGATATTAATTACGGAATTATGAATTAACTATTGAATCTAAGTTATTTAGCAATTTCTTTTGGAATAACAATAAAATGAAAACAAAAGAAACAAATTAAGTGCCGATTAATTATCCGTTAAAATTTTAAAATTAATGGTCTTGTAGAAAATTATTTTCTATATTAAAAAGTTTAAAAACAAGCGATATATAATAATTTCTGTTTAAGTTACCTAATTTTTTTCTAGTATTAAAATATTATTTGTCGGGTGTAGTAAGACATTACATTCACGTTTCAAGCGGCCATTGTTAACGGCGTTGACTACGTGACTGTGTACATTTTGTAAATACCTACATCTATTGTTTATATAAACGTATTAAATATATATGTAGTTATATATAAAATTATATATTTGTGTGTAGTAGAATATCGTTAAAGTCCCCTTATTCTAAATCGATTAATTCTGCTAAAAACCTTTATTCGTAAAATACTTTTACTACGCATATTATAGAAGTGCTCTATATATTGAGCATTATATTATGTACGATTTTATTATGAATGAGTCAGAGTCGTCACATCAAAACTAGTTAAAGACTATAAGAATACTATTATCTTGCATTACTTTTGCTACGATTTGCTTAAGTGTTTTTTAATTTATTTATTATATGTATTTAAAAAGAGCACCACTTTTAAAACCAATTTTATTCGTATAAAACGCGAAGGTAAGTATTTACTGAATATCACTTTGTCCACTGTGGACCAATAAACGCGACACGAATACGCATACATACCTAAAGCTTCGAAATTCCGCTTCAAAATTCAGGCTTCGCCTGGGAGGGGGTGCAGGAGGGGGGAGCGGTCGTTAGTGACATTTCGTATTCATGACGTCAGCCCCGGGCCGATTGTTTGCAATATTACTCTAATTGAAATTGTAATACGTACATATTCTGGATAGTGTCGCAATACGTGTCCGAAATTCAAGAATTTGTCTTACGATAGTTATGCTTGAGATGGTACAGTGAGTTAAGTAGCTTGATCTATCTTTACATTTAAGAGTTTGTATTGTCGGTCTAAATACGGCAAACTTCCAGTTTTTTTTATTGATAAATCTTTGCATATGATAGCATTAATACTGTTGCTGTCCTGTCTAAAAATGATCCGTATTGAGATGTACATTCCAAATTTGAGCTAAAGCAACAGATATCCAATTCAAATTTATTGTGGCTTATATTGGAATATTGACTTATATACATTTGCTACCTTTATGTTGTGGTTGAAAAGTTATTTTAGTAATGTTATTATCTCTCTATGTAAAAGCCATCATTGTGATACTTTTTTATTCGTATCTATTATTTTCATATACTTCGCTACGTATATTCCTAATTGTTATATTAACTTTTTTGGAACTGTGTTAACATGTTACTTGTAACCTTAGTAAATATGGATATATCTTAAAACAGAAATGCGTTGCTTATTTAGACAATTTATACATAATACGGAAAAAGGTAAATTTTCTTTTTTTATTTTGTTTAGTAACTTCCATACGTTCTTAGGGCATGTTGTACAAGTGTAAATATTTTTTTTATATAAATTAAAATATATACATATTATTCTTATGTTATACTTATATTTAATGAAGAAGGTCAAGATTTTTACCAGAATTTTTCTATGACAAATAACTAATATTTAAATATTACTTGTAGTTTTATTTTTTCTATTGTGGTAAATGGCTTTGTGCAGATATGTTCAACCTTAAACAAATATGGTTATGGTTGAGTCGTTCTGATTTTAGTGTTCGGAAAGGTCAGATGAAAGAGATAGTGTGTACATATATAAAAGAAGTGAACCCTTCAAAATTTACTATTTCATTCATAAAAGAGATCATCATTATCATCAGCCTATCAGAGCCCACTACTGAGCAAAGCTTCTTGGCATATGGAGAAGGCTACATCATAAATCACCACGCTTGCTCAAGGCAGGTTGGCTATTTCAAACTTATAAATTGAAATTATAAGTTCGGGTTTCCTCACTATGTTTTCCGCTGTCAGTGGTGGTTAAAAGAGATGCCCTTTTAAAAAAGGAAATATTCTTTATATATAAAGTAAAAGAGATTACCTTGACGTTAAATACGATTTTTGTCACTATAAAATGATGCTTCCAAAGGTTTTAAATTCTCCTAGAATGGTTTAATCTGACACCAATCATTTTTTGAAAATCATTAATACCAGAAATAAAATGAAAGATAAATTATGAATAATATGATATTGACTCCTTTGATAAAGATTTATTTATAATTAAATATCATGAAGCTTACTTACATATTTAAAGAAAAATGCAGATTTTTTTTCAATTATTACTTTTTGGTTTCAATTATGTGATGTATTTCGCCCTAGCTTCGATTTTTGATAAAATCTTAATCAATATAAAAACTGACATTGGTAATTCGAAAATAATTTAAATTGAGAAAGATTAATGAATACTTTAAAACAGATGAGAGCAGCACTTTTCTAAACGTAGTACTTTTAATAATAAACATAAATATGATGTTTAACTCAAAAATTACAGATAGATGATTAGAAAAATATTTTATTACTAGATTTTTTTTCAATTTTTCAATTTATCAATTTGCTCTACATTATATTAATATATGGTAAAGGTGAAATGAGTAAAGTGCTTTATGTGTAAATAATTTTTAACAGTAACAGAAACTTAACAAAGTTACTGGAAGTTTAAAATAAAGACTTTGGATTTTAATTCCTTGTAATTTTGCCTGAAATTAAATTCTTATTGCAAAAACGGAAAAAAAACCTGCACACAAATTTTTAGCATTAATTTCTTGTAGTCAAGAAAAGAAATATTTTTTATAACGTTTTTTTTTTAATTGGGGAACAATGTTGGTGATAATACAATATAATATTTTAATACATAGTTGTAATGGATTTTGTGTTTAATAATTATGATGATAAGATTACATAATTTTAGTTTTATATCTCGTAATGAGTTGAAGATTTTAAATTGAAAATATAAAGGCATGATCAAAGTAAAATTTATTAAAAGGTGGATTTTTCTGTGAACAATTCCAATTATTTGAATTTCAAGTTAAGGTCATTATAATTTTATATAAAGTATTTTTTTTACAGTAACCTAAGTAATAATGTCTATGTTTGTATTCATTTAAATAAAACTAGTATTTTCGGATTTACTACGCGTTTTTTTAAACTACATACTCCCGACGTTTCGATTACTTTGTACTTTGTAGCAACGTTAATCTTGGGCTCACTAAATGAAAATGATAATAATTTTAAACAAAAATTTGACCTATTTTATTAATTTCAAACAAAAATAATATATTCCTTTACTACGAGAACATTTAATTTAAATATACTGTATTTATAGTAATTATAGTTGTCAACTAATGTTTTGTATTTTAAGATTACTACATTTGATTTATAAAATATATTATCATATTTTATATCGCATAGATTTAACAGAACTGAATTTTTTAAGAAAATAAAATACTAGTTCAATTAAGCGTTTTAATTTTTACTCATAGCTGAAACTTGTCCGAATTTGTGAAAACGTAGTCTACTAGACATAGGATAGGATAAAAAGTAGAATGTGCAATTGGCGCTTTAAAATATTTAACAACTCGACTATAAATATTAAATATTTCTCTAATTACACAGCTTGATAGGCATTAACTTATAAGTTATCATTTTATTTCTTCTTTAGTATATTATTTAAAATTCAATAAGTAAAATAACGCATGGCATATTTATGACGGCTATAACTTTTGAAAGAGAACTGAAAAGCAAGCAAAAAGTTAACATTTTAAAACACAATAATAAAAGCAAGTTTCTAATAAAGTGTACAAGTAAAAAATATTTTGATTTTATCGGAATCATTAAGGTTTTGTTTGTATTCTACTTACTTTTAAGTAGAAAGATAGTTTTTTCTAAATAAAACATATAATAGATTTGAAAAAAGTATGTCAAAGAAAAATTATAAAAACAATACAGACTATAACTTTAAATCGTTTTGTCCTGATAGTAATTTAATTTTCAATACGAATGAACTCTTTTACGTATTATGTGAAAAAGTATTCAATAATTGTTGAAAGCCAAAGCTTATTCAAAGTTGACATCGTTACGCTAGACAAGTATATACGGAGTGTTAAAAGTTTTTCATTTATACAACCACAATGTCGTATTGACTCAGGTTATTCAATGAGTATCGAACAAGGCTTCTTATGTAGTTCACTACAGATCTTCAGCTGCAAAATCTAGTTAGAGTATAATTAACTGTAATTGTCTTTTTAATATCATCTCATTTGTATCGAATGTTATTGATATTGTAAATAGAGAATAAATTATCCTGATACAATTTAATGGTATGGGAAAGTTTAATCTAATTAATTTCTTATAAACTGTAAACTTAATTATTCTGTAATCAGTTTCTTTGACTCTTTCGTTGCAGTAATAATAACAAGTTATGTTTGAATATAAGTTTGAACGAAAATAATTAATAAGTATGTGACTTTACTTTGACACCCAAACTGTTCCCCGAATACAGTTTTACTAAAATTTCAGTTGCTGTCAGTCTCAGATTGAATAAATTATTATTAAAGTATTACTGAATAATATTTGCACACCATTTTCATTTTTATATGAACCTTGTTTGTTGCTCAAATATCTTTATCTCTTTAAAACTCTTAAAATTATTTGTTTTTAAACTGACAAAGATGTATTCTTTTTAATTGAGTTCCTTATAAGGAGTTTACCAAAAAGAATTCTTAATAATTATTATTTTATTATAATGGGCTTCAAATTTCACGGAATGATTTTAACAAACAAATTTTCTTTTTGATTACTCCTAGTCCTATAATATACCTAATTCAGACATTCAATTTTGTTTCAGCAATTACATGGCGTATTTCTAATCATAAATCTTAATATAACTCAAATTTTAATTTGCCGCTAGAATTACTTATATTTGGTCTATTTTTTAATTAATGTAACAAACTTTTAGAGTTATTTTGTTAAAAAGTTTCGAGGAATAACCTTAAAAATTTTATAAATATATTTGCTGTAAGAACAAAAGATCACTTTCGGGACAGAAACTCTTTAACTTAATTGTTGTGGATTATCGTATAATTCAACCATTATATGTATGTATTCTCGAGGGAAATGAGTCGCTAATAAACAAAATACTATTTAATTTGTTTATATAGCCTTACATTGATAATACAAATGAAAAAGTCATAACAAGAGATGAATTAAGTATGTCCAATAATTGTTTATAATGTAGTCAACTAAAGATAAGGTTCAAAATTTTTTTTGTAAGAATAAACCTAAGGGCTATATGTGACGGAGATAAACTAAATAAGGTTTTATTGCATTACTCTGTATTATAAAATTTTTTGTTTTATTTATTTTTGATAAATTGCATAGTATTTTTAGTTGAATGTTTGGAACTTTTTAGTAACCATCTCATAATATAAATAACAATCTTGCTAATAAATATGTATTATATTATTTATTCTGTAATTTCATATTACGGTATATTAATAGTGTAACTAAATTAATAAATTAATGAAGCAGCGCTTACTGTTTTAAATTAATGTATAAAATATTTAATTTTATTCATTTATGATGTGAAAACTACGAAGAGAACAATAAATAATTATATCTAGAACTGTTTTTAATTCAATGTTATTAATTTATAGAGCTTAAAATTTGACATATTTCAAGTGATTTCAAGCAAAACCACTAACGAAAACAAGAGATCAATATAAAATTTTAAGATATATCGTATGAATATCTTCTTGTTGGTCCCTACATATATTAATTAACTTATTTTCATTCATTCTTCTTCGTATAATTACTTCTTAACTTTATATAAGTATAATATTAAAAAAAGGCTCTTTTTCATAGTATTGGTAATAGAAGGTTTAACTTTCAACATAAGTTATTCTTTGCTATAGTCTTTAAATCGATAACGTCAGGAAAAAAGTCTAAATAGGCAAAGAAAAATACTTGGTACGGATATAAATTAATATCATTATCTAAGGTAAGTCATATAGTCATATTAAAATTTAATAAGATGTATTATTTGTAGGTACGAGTATATTAAAGCACTACAAAAGAAGTTGAAGATACTATATAATATTTTAAAGGCCGATTACATTAGCTTCTTCAAGTCCCTAATAGCTTATTATATAGCCAAGTAAAAATATCATTTCTAATCTGATAAGTTAAGTCAATATTATTATGTGACTTATTGTCACTAAATCCTTTTTTTTAAAGGTTAATTTTTGTAACTAAACCATATAACTCAGAAATTTGATAAGTTTCGCTGAACTTCTTATATATCAAAGTAAAAAAAAAAAATTATATTAAATATATATCTACATCTACCTGTGTGATCTTGTAGGGATCTACTAAGAGGTGGTGCAGGAGGTGTAGCCGCGTGGTCGCCGCCGTAAAGGCCACCAAACTCCTCCGCAGACGACGAGGAAGCGTTACTGCATTTCCTTCCTTTATCTGGTGTGTATTTACTCTCAGCACCCGATGGTAGGAACTTGGCGTCCGATTGATGTTCATCCAACAACCCCGGCACGCCGAGCAATCCTCCAACTAGATTCGGCCTCAATTCCTCCATGATCTTAGAACCCTGACCGCCGCCGCCGCTGAAGTTTAGCTGGCGGCTGAAGAAGGCCGGGAATATGTTGAACTGCTGCGGATCTGGCAAGGAGGAGAGTGGCGGCGCGGGTGGCTCGATGGCCCCCGCGCACGCCGCGTTCTTAAACTCCACCGTGCTGTGGCCGGTCCGCTGGCTGATCGAGCAGCGCGGCTCTCCCGCGCTTCGTGCCTCGTGCTCCTCGCTGCCGTCGGCTCGACCCCGACGCTCACTGACTAACCACATTATAGTGACGTGGTGTGCCGCCGACACGCCGCCCCGCGCGCTAATTGTTCGCGACTGCGCGAGAGGATATCACGTCGCCGCCCTCGGGCCAGAGCGAAACGGCTCGCTCCTATCCCCGTAATCGATGTAAAATCTTTATATGGATGCTGTGTCTCATTCATCCCCGCGCGAACTACGCCGTAGCTTCTATACCGACGTGGGGCGGTCCCGTTTGAGTTCAGCCGGTTCGTGATTGGTGAACGCCAGCCCGATGCGGGGGTTCGTCGCACTGCTCCGGGCGAGATACGCTTCTCTTTGTTTTATTGTTTCCATGGCTTCTCGTCGATCTTGCGTTGAAAGATTATGCATTGTACCATGTTTTGTTCTGCAAAACTCGAAATCACGTATGAACTTCTTGAGGTAAAAGTGAAAATGGAGATTTATATTTTTTGTGTGAGATCTATATGTGATAATAAAATTTTATATAACGTTTAAAATATTCGAGTGTCTATACTTTATATGTATTATGATATTATTCTGTTTCAGAGATTATGTAAATGAAAGAAGCAAGTCCAGTTGAAAGCAAACGATCATCATTGATTGTACTTGCTGTGTATGCCAGTATTGTTGTACAGACAATATCTTGTCAGAAAATGCATTACACACAACACTGATTTTTCATCATTATTATTATTTAAATTCAAAAGCATTACATATATTTCCTTACAGTATTTAAGCAAAATTGATAATAAAAATATGATAATAACAATTTTCTTTTGAATACATTTATTAATCGAATCATAAATAGTAAAAAATAATTGAGTTTCATACAAACTGAATTAAATTAAACTATCAGTACAATAAATGGTATAACAAGTGTGTTCCTTATCGTAACATCAACCCTTTATGACGCTATGAATATCATTAGCGGTATCATATTCTCGGTACAAATGCCACGTTTTAAATATCTCTCATTGTTTTCAGATCAAAGATAACGTAATATTGGATTTCCATCGTCTTTGAAACTTTTGTTAGACTTTATATTTAATATCTTTGAGATTTTTTTATATAGATTCACTATTTTCATAAAGATAGAACGTATTTTGATCGTTTATTTACGTAAGTGCATCAATGCATCAATATGATTTCTACATTCTAATAAATCTTATTATTAAAACTACTAATTTAAGTATCAATTATATTTATTTAACTTACCTATATAGAAAAGTTTATACGAAAAACCAAGCGATTGAAATAAAAGGGGATCCATAGTTATAAGGATTTTTTATATGAAAAAAACTTGATTTCATGCATTTCTTCGAAATTGTGAAAAATCAAATATAGGAATCAGTTGGTTTCCGAAGAAAGATTTAATGAAACATTAAAACTTTTACTTAATGTTTCATTAATTTCGATATGATGGAAACGTGTGTTAATATACTTATTCCAATACATATACAATGTTAGTAATATAAAAAAATATATATCTCGCGAGATAGTAAGAAACGTTCCTAACTCTTTTTTAGAAACTTTCATATTAAAAATATTACTGCGGTTATAGTGGTATAGTTTTAACATAGAAAGTTTTATTCAGTGTGGTCAAAGTTTTATTGTCACTATCAAAGTTTTCAAATAAAATTACTGAAGTTTGTCGTAATCAATACAGCTTGCTGTTTAAATTGCAATAAGGAATTTTTTATACTGTTTTTGCCTACTACGAGTGTAAACATAAATATTATAAAAGTTAATTTTAAAATAAATAATTTTAGTACCAAATTTAATCAGTCTAAAAAATATCAACGACCCTGCCAGGATTCGAACCTGGAATCTTCTGATCCGTAGTCAGACGCGTTATCCGTTGCGCCACAGGGCCATATGGTTCAAAAAGAATATAACTTCAAATCATCATTGCCTATTGAGAAATAAATAATGTTACGTTAAAATCTATTCTATTAGACTTTACTAATTTTAAAACATAAAAGCATTTTATTTTTATTTAATAAGTAAATTAAAAGCAGTCCATATTTCTTAGTGAAATTGTCACAAATTTGGTACATTTGTTTGTACATGTTGCCGGTACCGCCTTCTCCGCCCCTCTCTTTACGATATTTTGTATTACTAAAGGGCAAATTATACGTCTTTCATCTGTTATTTGAGCCACGTGGCCGTCGGATGTTCACTAAACTAGTTAATAAACTCGTATTCACATACTTTGATACGTTTGATTGTGAATATTTATATTATTATGAGACATTAAAGTATGTATAGAGTACCTAATACTGAAAATCTTAAACTGTTTTTTTGAAAAATATTATACGCTATAATATACACGTGTATGTAATTATAAAGGTTAATGTTCTAAGTTGTTAGTAAATAAATACATAAATAGTCTTCATATTTATTATAGAAAGAGCATATTTTATTTATGTTATATTAAGGCGTCTGATGCCGACTGGTTCCTGTGGGCGCCCGCTTCCGACGAGACCGACCGTTCTAAGATGATTAAACGGATTTGTGAAAAATAAATATTTTAAATTTGATTCTTTTTTTAAATTGCTTCTATTTTTAAATTGCTTTTTTTTAATTATTCCTTTTTTAAATTGTGATAATTAGTTGTTAGTTATTCTTCTGAATGAGATAATAATACGGTTTTATTCCTTTTTAATAAATTGTACATACATATAGGTATATTCATATAAATTATAATGGGATTAAAATAATTTAAGCACTAAAAAGTACTTAAAATTATGATATGAAATTTTTAAAGATAAAATTTCAAATACATACTATGAAACTTTTCTGCTATGTTTATTTCAATACTTGAAAGCGATACTCCAAAACTAACGAGTACAAAACGTCAGGAACAAATTAATATTAAAAAAGAATGTTTTAATATTGAATTTATTACATAAGAAACATTCCCTCTTTGTCATTCGATGCTATATGTAATATAATGTGCGGAGTACGGACACTTACATATGTATGAAATACTGGAAATGATCTGTATGCATTACTTTGCGAACTTGGTTAAGCATACAGAAGTTTCTTTCAATTAACATTGAATTTTGTTTGATAAAATGTACATATAGACTAAGTAACGTTATTAATATTTCTATAATATAGAATATGGGTAATATTATATTGAAGCATACATATGTATATTAAAAGATTAATAATTAAATTCTCTTCGATCTTTAATTATTTAAACATCAGTAATATAAAGTTATTTAAAAGGATTTTTTAAAGTTGGTAAATATAAATCTTTTGCTTGATACAATTTTAAGATGTTAGAGCCGAAGTACTGTTTTAAAAACAGTAGGTACCTATATCGAATATGAAACACTCAAATTACTTATTACGGTTTTACTAATTGAAATAAAAAGTAACTTAACAATATTTTCGATATAACTTTTACGTACTTAATAAGTTTTAACATAACTTGTTTTTTTTAACTATAGGTAGCTTTATTTGCGGTTAAATCTTGAAATATTCTGCCAATGTCAACGTTTTTATTTATTGGACGAATTATAATCTCAGTACTATGTGGAGAAAACAGGAAGGAGATTATCGAATGGGATAAAGGCGGTTATTAAAATCATGATTTCTTAGAGCTAATGTACGTATATGACATAAATTTTACTTATATAATATCAAAAAAATACTGAAACTTATTATATGTTTTTGTATTCATACAAGTTTGACAATTATGTAAAAGTTTCATGTAGGTACATTTTTATGTAAAGCAATTAAAAAAATATAAAAAGTATGAAAAACAGATTACGACCGACTATATCAATCGATTGAAAATATACATAATTTTTTTTAATATGTAAAGCCGTTTCATAGTAGTGTGGCAAATACAATTTGAAACGAGTTTTATATGTATGATAGTATAATATTATTCCATATTGTTAAACGAATGCCTTATATCTAATATTAAGTAATCAACACGGCCGTTTAAGTCCTTTTAAATACATAGTTTACGTTTTCATCTATACATATATCTATACATATAATAAAATTGTAGAAAAGTGCTGTCTGTACATTGAAAATAAAAATAAAAAAAATATCAGGGGTTATTGTTATGTCGATGTCGAACACAAAAATGTAATTAACTTTTTTTTGTCTGTTTGTCTGTTCACGCTAATCTTAGAAACGGCTGATCCGAGTTGGATGCGGTTTTCACGAATATATAGTGGTATGCTTCAGTTATGCTTTAGTGTTTGTTTCATGTCAATCGGTTCATAAATAAAAAAGTTATGTCAAAAAAACGCTGCTCATAGTCACTATTCCACGCGAACGAAGTCGCGGGCACAGCTAGTTTATAATAAAATATGTAGGTTTATTCTTGAATCTCTGTAATGTTGCCTACAAATGCAATAGATATTATAGTGTTGTAGGACTTCTACAAATTCTCATTTAAATAAAATTATATTTAGATTTTACTCAGTAATTTTATTATTTAATATTTTAAGTTGAAACTTTTCATATCATATTGTCTGCTTGTGATCATAGATAGTGCAAAAGAAGTGGAAACAACGGTTACAATAAAAAAAATATATAATCGCGAAGTTAAATCTGAAAATCATAATTAGTATAATTATCTTATTTTATTCGGAATTTTCTTTATTATTACTAGAACTTATTAAATTGTGTATTATTAAACGTATAAAAAACTTCATATACTCGTTATTATATTCATGATAGGGGAGAGTCGGATATATCGTACCACTTTTCACTTTAACTCAAATATTTCGACTATAACACGTCTTATAATAATTAATACATATGTAAAATAAAGTTTCATATTTTAGCTTCCTAAGGAGGAGAGAACGGATCCTTGCGATTATTCTAACGTTGTTAAAAATGCTTTTTTATAGAGGCTTGCCATCGGTACGATTTAGCCGACTAGTCGTTTTAATCGTACCACTAAGTCTTTTAATCGTACCATGGGTGTTTAAGTCGTACCACTGAATGAAAGACATTAAAATTCTCAATCAAATTATTTATTTTTAACTGTT